AGCTGAGTTCAACAATGACGCTGTCTGAAGAAAGCTTCGCGCTAAGTTCCAAATCGCTCTGTCTATCTAACAAATAACAACTAACGCGCGTTAGTTTGACGTTCGAAAGCACACGCGAAATATCACACTACCATGGGCCATCACTAGTTAAAAACTATATTCGACTAGCGAATTGCAGAGGTGCGTTAGAAGGAAAGAGGTGACGCCATGATGCTAGCGCGTTCGAGTGACGTTGAAGTGAGCTGGGAGCAAGTCATGAAGGAAACCTAACAGCGTACCTTCTAGACAAAATGATCAGTGTCTAATGTCCACTCATACCTTCGTTGTTTCCAAATCACACACAAATATCCTGGATCCAAAGTTCTAAACTAACACCGTAACTTCTGCTCGAACCTTTTTTTTTTCCCCTCGAAAAATCATGTTAATAAATTTACACACGCACAAAAAAAAAAAATAATCAGGAGCTAGCATTTGAATATTTATTATTCAAGCTCAACTTAGAAACGTTATTTATTTAGAATAAAAAAAAAAGCAATTTAAGGTCGCAATAGACCGATGTCATCTCTGGCGATGGGAGGAGCATGTTCCGAAACTAGGAGCGCTGTCAGCCAATAGCGAGCGAAGGGTCCTCGCGCCTCCGACCGGTGGAACCGCGGAGTGATATCTCGCACGCGCGTGGCTCCTTGCCCCCGTACAGCCAGGACTACGGTTCCACCCAGCGAGCGCGGGCTCCGGCGCTCGAGAGCTGACGGCCAAATGCATCACTCCCGCAAAAAAAAAAAAAAAAAAAAAAAATCATAGTTTGTTGTTTTTGAGACGATTACTGCAGTATCATGTTCCCTCTCCGCAAAAATAACAAATTTCGACTACTCTTGTTTCAATAATCTACAAAAGCATACACATTTTGTAACACCAGCATTTGGAATCTCAACCAAATGTCGCGTTTTCATTGGTCCCATGCCGTCCTGGCTGGTGGCACAATGTTCCTCCCCTCGCCGGGGATAATTTCGCTCTTTGGTTACTTTTTAATAAGAAAATTTAATAGTAAAATAGGGAATCGTTATGATTCATGGATTTCTAGGATGCTCAGAGACCGCAGAGTGGGTTATCGCCATATTTAGGCGACCTCAGAAACCTCCTCAGGACACCTTTATTGCTTGGGACACAGCCGACCAATTCATAAAGACCACGCAGGCCTTGGTAGTGTTCTTCTTAAATGCGGAGTTGTCGAGCGCTTTAAAGATTTATAGAAGCCTGAGAATACGCTTGTGGGAATTTGAACATCCTCCCATTAGCATATCCACGTGACTGACGATTTCGTCCTATGTTTCTTTCTCTTTCCCTCCTCTTATTGTCAATACAGAGTAGCCAGCCAGAACCTACGTTCAGGTTAACCACTCTGTCCTCCCTTCGTGAACTTATATATTTCTATATTCTCAACGACCTATTTTCCCTTCCATAGTACTTTCAGAGACCGAAGACACCATAAAACAAAAGCTTTCCAATAAAACAAAGACCTTCTCTTAAACTGTACCAAAGCTGTCTTCTTATTCTTTCTTTTTCTGAATCTTCAGGAGTTTTATTTTGTGAATATTTCGACGAGTGCGTTAGAAAACGCCCAAAAGAGAGCGGAGACGAACATACGCATTGTGCGACACTTAGCCCGAACAAGCCATCGGTCGTGCATCTTGTTCTTCTATGAAATCGCAAATATTGTCATAAAAATTAAATATGCTCATGGGGAATATGCACTAATATCGACGGCATTTTTTTTTTCGCTACTATACATAAGCAACACCCTCACAAGCGCCGATGTAGTGTTTGAGCTAACGTAGACGTGAAGTGCATATGTACATCTTTGGTCTTCCTTTTAAGTTTTGCTTTCATTTTCTTTATATTTTATTCATGGTTGTTTTTTGCCCAACCCCTGTAAGCAGGTGTGGCTTGTACTTTTCTTTGTTTAATGAAAAATGTTCCGGGGACGCTATTGCCTTAAAAAATGCTTTCACAGCTGGGGGGAAAACAAACACATGAAAGCTGCTGATCAAAGTGAACGAACACATGTGAAAAATAACAAGGTAAAAATGTTTCAACAAAACTCGCGAGTATTTCTTCAACAATTCCGTTCCAGATTATACGTATAGTATATTTTCGCCCACTTATTATTAAAATTCACATACATTTCCGGTCGCAATTTACTCTCCATCGGCGCAAACTTTATAAACACGTGAAATTCTAATTGATATCTTATTGCGCTCAATTAAATCTGATATTTGGCGGTTGCTCGACTATGCAACTAACATATCCGTGCGATTGTCTCCTACCTGAAACATTCCTGTGGAACAAAAAAGTCAAAATAAAAACACAGCGGGAAACGTAAAACATGCCGTTCGTATAATGAAGGCAATGGTATGGCGTTTTGTACCTGCCACAGCTTCACAGCTGGCGAGCAAACTGTCGGGCGTTGTCGTTGGCAGTGCTGGCTTTTACGGGGTTGGCTTTTACAATGGGGGCAATTCTGCCAGGCTCTAAACGTGGTCCCTATCAGCGACGCCCGGATCCTCAGAACTCACTGTCTGAACAGTGGCTGGCATTTTCGCGACTGACGGGACGAGCAGTCACTCTTTTGTCAAACGAGCATTCTGTTCCAAGATGGCCGACCGCCCTTCCAGACACAAGATCGACCTTCATACGCACATTCTTCCAGACAAATGGCCGGACCTTAAAGAGGTACAAGTTTTATTTTTTTTTAATTTTTATAAATAGGTTAAGGTTAAAGGCGACAAATACTCTAATTTGCTTCTCTTCAGCGCGTGAAATATCGCGGTGTGGAACATGGTGCTGCTCATCAATATTTTATTAAGAAATTGTACACTCTCAAAGTCACCCGCATTTATAGGGACTCGCAATGCATTAGGAACACCAATAATCTGTCTTTGTTTAATTAATTTAGCCAATAACAAGGGAAAGCATTACTGCACCCCTGTATAAGGGTGTGTCAACATATAAGCTGCCAATCGCAATATATTAGAAAAAAGGTTTATAGAACTCTAGCCGCTTTTGCATGACGTTGTAGGGAGTTCCATCAGATCAACCTCTTCGGCGTTAATCGACACACGTGTGACAGCGCGGACAATCTCCTTCACACGTCATATTGGGACCTCGATTACAACCTCTACGGGACGACCTTGACGTTCCTTATCTGCGATGCTCGTTGGTCCAGTTATACACGACATTTCTTGACATGCACTTTTCACAACACACATCCTCCTTCTCTGACACCAGCCCCCTAACCCACAAAAAAGTACCATTCCGTGCTGTTCTTCTCACGTACACGCATGCAACACATCCGCCATGCTCATCTGGCGGTAGTTTTTTATTTATTTATTTTATTTATTTAGGAATACTACTGGCTCCAGTCAAGGAGCCATGGTAGGAGTGGGTACAAAACATGTATACAAGATGCAGATTTATAAATAAAAACTCAATTAAGTATGAATTCTAGAGCAGATACAAAATTAGCAACAGTTGTGTTAACGACGACATCATTTGGTAGCTCGTTCCATTCTTGAATTGCCCGAGGGAAGAAAGAATATCTAAAACAGTCGTTTTTGAACCTGTATTGTTTTAACGCTTTTGTGTGGTTTAGACGTGAGGACCCGGTCGATAATGGTTGTATATAGTTAGAGCTTTGAACATGAAGAGTGCCATTAAGAATATTGAACAACAATCTTAATCTATCAATTTTCGCTCTCATTTGCAACGGTTGAAGCTTCGCTCTAATAACTAACTGTGACATGCTGGAATGTATAGCGTTGGTTCTGATGTCTCGCCCAGTGGTGCTGCTGTCTAGCGACGAAAAATAGGCGCTAAATATTAAATTGTTTTTAGATTGTGCGGACTTGCGGAGTCTCGCTGGAAAAAAGGCATCCGCCCTCTTTGCTTTGAGAGTGTCTCAAGACTGCATGTATACCTATCTTTCTTCTCAAGTGCCCATTTAGAAACTTCTGAGTGCCTATGCGGAGAGCTAGTCGTCTGCTTCTTTTGGAGGAGTTGCGGTAACGTCAGAAAAACGCCGAGCTCTGGTTGGCTCTGATTAAAGGATAGTGGGTAGACCTCAAAGCAAGCTGCCTTGGGGTCTACCCAATATCCTTCAATCAGAACCAATCAGAGCTCGTCGTTCTGACGTCACCACAACCCCCGAAAAGAAGCAGACTGACTTGCGCTCTGCATACTTTCAGAGGTCGTGAAAGTAGAAGTTTCGAGTATAATCTCAGAAATATCAGAGATTCGCTGACGGTTTCCATAGACGACGTAAGTACCCCACCGATAAATAATGTAATAAGATGGTGTTGATAAGAAGCGTCTATGCTTTCATCAGCATAAAATGTTTTCTCCCCCCTCACTTATACCGTTGGGATCTGCGGCTCACCACGTATAGGTCAAGGACACCCTAAGCAGCCCAGAGCATGGCGCGTCTCCAGTGTCTTATCGCCGCTCCTCGGCCAATGAGATTGAGGCACTAGCCGATAAGAACGCAGAAGAAAAAGAAAATTCCCAAATCTGCATTTCTTCAAATATCGGTGACTATACAGGTCGTTCGCAGCGCATTCAACACTATAGGCAATGCCTTACCTAAAGGGTTAATGAATTACACCCGTAGAAATTTTGTCTTGTGTCAAGTTACACCTAAAGCCGCAATCACACTTCTAATATAACATCCAAAAGACGGTCTGAAGACACTGTCTGAAGCGTGCTTCGTGTGGTGGTTACATTGGCCGCACAAAAACTTTCTGCGGACATGTGCGGAGCAAACATGCCTTGAACATACTTTAAGCGTGTCCGCACATTATTCTCTCATCGCACCGAACACCGAGTCGTTTGTATGAGCAGCGTGACTGCGGTTCGCCGTCTCCACCAGGTGTCGTCACGGTCTATGACGATGCGCAACTGCCAGGAAGTATGCAAAGTTGAGCGGATACAAGTAGGGGCTTTGCAGCGCTACGGATATGGCGGCTGGATCACGATGGAGCCTGAATGCCGAGGGCACGCGGTCATGAAGTACGACGACGGACGCTTCTTCAGGCGGGTGGAACCCAACTGCTGGTCCCCAGAGGACAGGATAGCGGACATGGACAGAACAGGTGGGACGCGAGCTCCGATTTCAAATAAAGAAGACAGAGAACCTGTACAAAAACACCATAAACAATAACGAAATTTAGTTATTTCTCTTCTTGTCATTCCGTCAGTTCGCACATTGAGCTCGTCCCTTGGAAGATCAGGCTTTTTATCTACCCTCGTTAGAACAAAACTTAAGCCCACTATCTTTACAATCCATAATCTCTGCTGTGTCTTGCTAAGCAATGGTTCAACTTAATTTGTTTTCCTATTTCTTCATTGCAGGTGTCACAATCCAAGCGTTGTCGACAGTTCCGGTGCTCTTTAGTTACTGGGTAAGGGATCTGTCCGCATCTTTATCGCGGAAGCTTTAGCGTATACCTCCGCAATGGCGAGAAAAAACAAAAAGTAAAGACTTCGCGCTAAACTGGGGCCACCTAAAGTAACGAATTGAGCCTTGGAACCAGCGCGTTTCGTCGAGGTTTTACGCAACGGCCTTATATATATATATATTTTTTTTTTTTGCATTTATGTCAAGACAAGTTTTTGAACTATGGATTGATAACTGCTTCAACATGCTGTAACTAATCGTTTTTGTGTATCTATTTTTTTATTGAAATACATATACATATTGTGAGGGCGTTCACGAACAATTGCTTCATCAACTTCATCACTAACTGTCATCATGATCCTTATTTATTTTAAGATCACTTCATCACCCTCTTATCCTCCCGAGCTAGCGCGTTGTTCACTCTTATACCCGTGCCACACGGATATGGCAAATGTTATTCAGGGCGAATCTCATTCAAGCGCCGAATGACATTACACTTCAAGCCCGTGCTACACGTACATTTCGAATGTCATTTTGCGCCATGGTGATGATAGCGCCTGCTCTATGAAGAAAACTAATAGCAAAGTTTTTTGTAAGCTAAGTACGTTTGTTCAAGGTTATGATCTTTAAAAAGTGTCCATAGGTAGTTTTGAACAAATACTGCAGTCATTTACTTTATGTTTTTTGCGCTTCCGCTGTAATTCATTTGTTGGTGACGCTCTAGTTCCTCTAGCCGCAATAAGCCAAAGCCAAAGACTGAAGCTGACCAAAGCGAAAAGAAATGGCGCCAGTACAGTCGCGAGTGTCGGTCCATGCACCAGAGGACGGTAAACGGATGCGACGGTTTATGAGCGCCCTCTTTTATTTACGCGCTAAGCACCGTGCCGAGCAGCAAAGGCTCGAAGCCGAAGCTGAGGACGCTCACTCTCGCGTTCGTGAAATCGAAGAGCAGCTGCTCTCGAACTCCGTGGCTCTGGCTGCTGCTTTCGCTGCGCACCGCCCAGTGCACCGATCGCGTTGGCGGTATCCAAGAAACCAGAGGTGGTTTGAGGACACCCTGCCCCGCCTCGAAGGGCAGGGTGTCGTCGAACCACTTCAAACCACCTCGCTTGGCACGCCGCAGGTCACTGAGCTTGTCTCCCCAAGCTCTTATAAGAACTGTTGTTTCGTGGCCGGACCACTGGGTCTACTCTTTCGTGGCTGCTTGCAGCTCCATTGGAAGAAACTTCGAAGTTGGAACAAAACGTAACGAAACCGAGAAGAAACGCGAAAAAGATGGCGACGCAGGCGAAGTGGCTGTGTCTATTGGGTTAAAGAGTAGCCGCTTGCAATTATGTGACAAGCCGCGCTTCAAATCTAGTATAAAAGAATGCATACACAAAAACAAACTCAAATAACTTTTAGTTCGGCTGTAATTTGATTAACGTGATCACATTCAAGTTTATTTACTTGGGCCTGGGGTAGGGGCTACACATTTAGCCCGTGACCGAATGCGAATGAGTTCCGCCGAACCCCTTCGGTGGCAAATGACATATGCAGCGAATGCCATTCGTGCAGGCCGTGTACCATCGGTCAAACGACATTTGGGGCGAATGTCATTCGTTGTAAATGGCATTCGAGTTGCCTGTGTCGCACGGGTATTAGATTCCCCTTCGAGCGGTTGGACATTAATACCCCGTTCCTGGAGCTGCTCGTCTCGCCCTCACAGCGTGGTGGGGGTGCGGGGTACCAAAGATCTCTCTAACTTTGGCGGTAAAAGCTGCCCAGTCGGGAACCTCATCGTCGTGGTTTAGGAACCAGGTCCTAGCAACTTCTGTCAGATAGAATACGACGTTTGCTAGCTTCATGGTGTTGTCCCAGCGATTGTAATTGCTTACACGCTCGTAGCTGTCTATCCAGTCCTCAACGTCATCATGTAGACCGGCGAAGACCTTGGGGTCCCGCGGCCGACTGCGGACGGTCCATGCAGACGACGGTGGGACTGGGACTGGCAGGTTGTTGCGAAGCTCGAAGTAATATGTAGCTGGTGTCTTGATTGGCTGTTGGGGTGCTGTGAGGTTTCTTCTAATCGATTGATAATTTTTTTTTCGGATTTCAAGATCGTTAAGTTTTTCTGATGCGATGGTAGCGGTGTCAGAAGTAAAAAGTGTGGGTTCGTTTCTCTCAATGTTCAGAGGACTTAGAGAAGATTCTGGGAGAGGAGAGTGAGACAGAGCGTCAGCATCATTTGTGTGTGTGACCAGACTTGTAGAACATTGAAAAGCCATAATCCTGCAGACGTAGGGTCCACCGACCAAGTTGACCTGACAGGTTTTTAACTGTAGCAAGTCAACATAAAGTTGGGGTCACACTGCTTAGGTATACGTCATACAAAGGGCAGTCTGCATACAGATTCGAACGCGAGTCACCGCGAGATCCGTGCTTGGATTGCTGCATGGCAATGAGTTCAAAGAGAAGCGTGGCACGCAGTATTCGAACCACGGATACTGACGTGACTCGCGTTTGCAGACTGTCTTTTGTGCGATGTATAAGCAGTGTGACCCCGGCTTAAAACGTCATGATTCGAACCACGGTAAAATGTCGGTCATAGAGGTAAGGACGAAATTTGTTGATCGCCCACACCACAGCGAGGCACTCCTTTTCCGTGATTGTTTAGTTCGCTTAAGCTTTGCTAAGGGAGCGGCTCGCGTAGGCGATGACGAGTTCGACAAAAAGAAGTTGCTCGTTGTAAGAGAACTGCTCCAATGCCGGTGTCACTAACACCCAATGAGCGCCCTCGTAATATATATTTAGCGGTGTGTAAAGACCCACATAAGCGTCTGAAAATGCGCACAAACAAGGGAGTAAAAGGTATTCGCTTTTAACTGACAGTTCCATTTTTAAGGGGTTCAAGGTCACAAAAATAGCGTCTGCACTGTGACCACAGCATGCGGATATTCGATGGGAAGATAGCCGTCACAATCAACAGAATAATTATTAAAGTATTTCTGTTCATGATTAAATCACCGAGTTTAGCCTCCAGGTTGTAATTTTGGGTTTGTAGGTGGCTATTCCTTAAGTCTAAACCGATTCTTAGAAAGTTAACTAAACCGATCGCATGTAGCTTCGCTGGCGCCTCGACTAATTTCGATTTTTTTTTCTTTTTTTGTCGTCTAAAAAATCGTAACAAATTTTTAGAAAAATTAAAACACAAAACACAAAATTGCTGATTCAAAGTTCTTAGTGGATCAAGGCGCCAGCCGCTACAACATGAGCTCACACTTTGTTGGTAAGTCAGGACTAGTGCACTCCTCACCCACACCACCAAAACGTTACTGTACCTTGACTGATATATGAATACCGATTGAGCTCAAGGGATAAGTCATCTTTAGCTAGACACCGTCGTCCAATCATATCGTCGAAGACGTCGCGCAAGATGCATTGATGTCTTGTGGTGGGTGAGGAAGGTGTACTGGATTTGCGTTGTTATCTCTCCTTCGTTTTCCCCTAAGTCAGAGAGCAATCAAAAGCTACAAGGCAGACAAACGCAAACGCACAGAGAGGTCACGGCACATTCACTTTGCTTGAACCTTTTCCAAAAGGCCGTAGCCATCTTGAATGTCGTTACTTACAATTTGAGCGAAAACACTGTTTTGCTGTCGCCACGGCAATAGCAGACATTCATGATATAAGCGTAACCGTCACACATTCTCGTCTGCCGAACCTCTATGTTTTTTTTTTGTTTTTTTTTTTTTGTATTTGTAAGTTAAAAAGCTTTTTTTTTTTTTTTTTTTTTGCTTATATTGGGTATGTCTACTAGGGGCTCTAAACTCGTCAAACACAAAATGGGAACCGGAAGTTCGAGGAGCGCGCCGATTAGACGTAGGCGACAAAAGTGCGAAGTCATCGCCGTGGTATTCCAATAGGTACGCTCCCTGAACTTCGGCCCCAACTTTGTGTTTGACGAGTTTAGAGCCCCAGGTGGCTGGAGACAAGAGTAAACGAAAGAAAAAAAGGTGCGTATGTAGCCCACACACAGAAAGACAACGAACGCACGCCATGACATTGCGTTTTTCGGCGCTGCATGATTATTATTCATTATTATCAGTTGTACTCTTACTGGTGATGAAACGAAGATGCACGAAAAATGCACTTCGGCAAAAAAAAAATGCTTAGTCACTGGGGTGTGGTCGCATGCACGGCGTTTGATAGCTCGTACAGGAGCTACTGCGCGTGTTGAGAAGCCCAGTAAACAAAAATGGCAACACAAAAAAGGTGATTATGGGGACAGTCTCAGAGTGGCGTTGGCTCTGTGCCGACACCTTCTCCTTGATACCAGGCAAAGCCGGAGGACGCGCTGGACTTCAGCCGCCTGCAGAACGACTACGTGGCTTCGGCAGTGCGTCGCCACCCGGACCGGTTCGTGGGCATGTGCACACTGCCCATGCAATCGCCGGAGCTGGCCGTGCAGGAGCTCAAGCGCTGCGTCACGCAGCTGGGCTACGGCACGGTCATCTTGGGCTCGCACGTCAACGACTGGACGCTGGCTGACCCACACCTGGACCCCTTCTACAAGGCAGGCACCTTATATTTCTCGATAGCCATAGATAGGAAGGAACTCGAGAATTAGCGCCTAGGTACGTCTTTGAAAATTACAGTAGAGGACTCAAAGAGTGTGAACCAATCTCTATGGCTGGGAATCTCTTCAAGTAAGAAAGCAAAATTACTGTTCAAGTTATTTAATAACATCTATTATTGTAAAGCAGCGCTAAAACTCTCTTTTCTTCGCTTTAAATATCACGTCTTGTATATATTGAACGGAAGGTGCCCGAATACAAATGAAAACAAACCACTTGAAATCTTTTTTTTTTTCTTTTTTCCTAAAGCTATTGGCGGATGGAACCAACTGTTTTCAGGATTTTTTTTCTTCGCACTATGAGATGCTCTTTTTGTTTTAAGTATCCTTCGTGCTTTTTTTGTGTGTATATGCGCTTTCCAAGACGCTCATTTTGTTCTCCAGCTGTAGTGTATAGTATTGACGTATGTATTCCCCCCACACGCACGCGCACACACACGCACACACTGTAATGACGTTTAGGTGTTGTAGATACGTGAATAAATAAATTAACTGTATATACCTCCAAACCCTCGGAGCACCAATCATCGTTCTTTTTTTAATCAGTTCAGCCGATACAAGGGCGGTCGCTATCCTGATCCAATGGTGACGCAGTCTTAGAGGCGTCCATCGTCTTTTGCCGCTGAGATTCCTCCCCTCTGTATCAGGATTCCGATTGCTATTAGCTTATTGGCATAACTCGTTAAAGGAAGTCTGACAATTGGCGTTCTGAAGGTACTGCGGTGTAACATGCATTCAGGAACGCCTGGGATGATTAATAACTAACCCTGTCTGCCCACATCATAAATGTAACTTTTTTGGCAAAACAAGCTACTTCAGCACTACTATATAGACCGCAGTGATATTATGTTGCCAGTAGGTTTGGTTCTGTTCAAGCGTAAAAAAAGGTTGCTATAGCATGATGCACATGACATGCTTGTGAAGTGTTTTCACAATGTTCGCCCAGTCACTGGAAGGACTACTGGCTCACTGCTCGTAAGATTCTACAGTCAAGCGCGCTCTGGTGAAGACCAAAATGAGGCTCCGTTTGCCTTGCTGCGGGCTGCAGCGAAGGCTGAGTGGGGTCGCTAATCTCACTAATTTCTGTGCAAAAAAACAACAAAAAACGTTGTTAAGACGCAGGCAGTTGACCCTTCGCCTGCCCCAGCAACAACCGTTTCGACCGCATCTGCATTCACCCCTCTCACGCTATTAGTGACACCCATAAGCACCGAGGACACTTACCAGGCCTTACAGCGCCTCAATGCTCACCAATCTGCTGGACCTGACGGAATCCATCTTGTTGTGCTTAAGGCATCAGCGTTTAAAGTCATCCTAGTTCTTACGTCGATGTTCAACCGATTTCTTACTCTCTGCTGCGGTCCCTCCTCTTGGAAACAGGTGTATGTCACTCCTCTCTTCAAGGGGGCTGGTGCCCGCTTTGACGACATGTCCGGCTATCGCCTGATATCAACTACTTCTGTCGGGTATCGCACAATCGAGCGAGCTTTTTCCAAGCAGCTCTCTAAGAACTTGGAGTCTCACATGTAACTTACTTTCCCCTCATCATTATGATTTCAGGCTAGGGCGTGGCTGCAACTCAGCGCTCGCTCTCGCGGTCCATACCCTAATCGAGCATCTTGGGAGTATAGAGCACCCTGCGAACTCGTTCAACTTGTTTTCCGTCAAGGCTTCGAGAAGGTTAGCCATGCGCTGTTGGTCGACAAGCTTAGTCACTATGGCATGGAAGGTAATTGCTCCGGTGGCTTACAAGCTTCATAACTTCTCGCCAGCAACAAGTTATATATCATAGTTGTCGATCCCCTCTCAGGTTGGTCCCCTCTGGTACCCCCAAGGATCTGTCTTAGGACCAGTGCTGTTCCACACGTTTATTATTTATGGTGCCACTAATCTCAAGTCTTAGCCCCTTCTCACGAAAAGATTGCCACCCATGTCTCGATACTGGAGCGCACTCCGACCTCGACACCATAAATTCACCTGCTTAGTCAACGGTCACACTGCAGGCGGTGATCACACGTGCATTAACCGATGACGATTCCACTGACTGGAGTGACGAAACCCTCCGTACCCTTCAAAGAGAGGACGACAATATTCGGCTTATTGTACAGTGGAAGCAAGAGGGCGATAGGCCGGGTTGGTGCCTGGTTGCACCATACAACCATGTCGTCAAAGTCTATAATGGGCTCAATGGGATTCTCTCCCCACACAAGACGGCATCCTGCTTCCCTTCTGGAAAGCAACGATGGAGTAAACGTTTCCCTTCAACTTGTCCTGCCTCAAACGTGAGTCAAAACTGCGCTGCGGGAACTTCATGGTAGTCCTACCGGCGGACATTTTGGGATACACAAAACTCTACAAAAAGTGCTTGACACATTCTACTGGGTCGGCGCCAGCCGTGACGTGCGCGAATAGTACAGAGGCTGTGACCACTCTACATCGCGCAAAGGACCTCGCTCTTGTTGCCAAGAACAGGGTCACTACCAGAAACAACAAAAGGAAAGCGCTATCTAATTGTAATTGCGGACTACTTCATAAAATGGCCAGAAGCTTTCCCTGTTCGTGAGTACGACGCAGCAACCGTCACTCGCATCTTGCTTAACAACATCGTACAGAGGTACGGAGTTCCCCTAGAGATCCATTCTGATCAGGGACACACCTCTGAGTCGCAAACCTTCAAGAATGTGTGCACAGCACTTAGCATAAAGAAAACCAGAACAACACCGTTACATACACAGTCAAACAGTACGGTGGAGAGGCTCAACCGACCCAATACCTATCCCTCTTCGTCGACGAGCACCAGGACAACTGGGACGAATTGGTTTCCTTCGTTTTACTTGCCTACCGTTCAGATGTCCACAGGGCAACAAGATACACACCATCAATGTCGCTAATGAGAAGAGAGCTAAGGCTACCTGCGGACACTCTGTTCGGTACTCGGGTGCCACCACCACAGGAGGCAACACGTGAAAACGTTCACTTGAACCACGCTCTTGAATTACGCAAGAAATCTAAATGTGTCCATGACTTCACCCTAAAGGCATTTACAACTTAGTAGCGGCCACGCAGACTCGCTACAATCGAAATGCATCCAACCATCAACTGAAACCTGGAGATTTGGTGTGGCTGTACAGACCAAGTAGAACCAAGGGTCGTAGTCCAAAACTACAACGAAATCGGGATGGCCCCTACGAGATCATCAGGAAATTGAACGACGTCGTCTATCGGATCCGGCATGTTAACAATCCTAAACCTCAGACAGTCCATTTCGATCGTCTCCCACCGTACCACCCTAAATGAACACTTATTCAGGCCTCGGGACGAGAACCTCTACAGGGAGGGGTGCAGCGCTGTGGAGCAAGAACGCTACACCACAAAGAGTGTCATGTAAGACGCAAAACAGTAAGAAAGAAGACGAGACAGTGTGTGCGTGGCGGAATGGACGCCATTAGAGGCTGACGACGGAACCTTATGAAAGAAGGCCTCCGAATTGCGTTCTGCCATAACAATTGTATTTATTTTTTTATTCTGGTGTACTAGACGGTACGGGCCTCCACCCTTTCTGACACACCTCAGCCCTTCTGGGTCGAAGTAAAGATGATGATGATGATTATTATTATTAAGATTACAAGCTCCAGCTGTTAGGTTTCCCTGGGTCACTCATATCTTGCAGCAAGGGTTTCCTGGGCTGACTTTAGAGCCAGTCACAGATTAATATTTTAAATGCCAATGTGCCAATCAAAGCAATATTGAAATATTTCGTTCTGCCCATTTCGTCAAAGTTAAAGGATGTTTCAAAAAGTTATCGAAGGTGAAAACACTGCAAAATACTAAGGTTGTTCAAACCAGCTTGCAGTACCCTTTTCGGCCCCTCTAATTTGTAGGCAAAAGTTCTTATCAAACAGGTTTTAACGTCATTCTATTTTTCATTCGTGACAAAATAGACCGGTTGGCCTGGTCTTCTCCTGCTCTCTATGCATTAGGAAGCTTTGGGACTAGAAAGAACGCAAAAATCAAAGAAGCAATTCCCACACCCTCTTGTATAAAGGATATAATTTACTGCCACCGGAAGGCTTGACGTACAAGGTGAGATTTCCGAACGTAGATAAGAGTGTCGGCTCGAGGCAGATATTGCCGAAGCCCTCGTATTCCGCATCAGTATAAATCAGGGAGGGCTTAGCACGCCGCGAGACATTATTAGTCGTCTTTCTCTCTGCCTTTGCCTAATTTTCCCCTCGTGTTTCCCACGGTACAAACATAAACAAGTAATATTATTAATAATATTAAAAATAACCTTTATGGACTCAGCAGAGACCATGGGAAAGCAATCACGCAGTGCCACGCCTATAGTGAAGCCGGTTATGGTACGAATATATCATACAAGATTACGACGAGATCCTCTGCGTGAGATCTTAGGCCAAATGCGGGACAGGTACACTCGCAATGCATCGGCAACAAATTGGGATATGAAAGAAACGTCACCAGACTTACAAGTAGGCCTGCTGAAGTTTCCGAGCTGGTGTGCGCTGACCCAGTCGGCCACCGATCTCCCTGACCGTCATACGAGGAACGCTCAGAGAGTGTCCGCAGACTGCATTTTGTACGCTGTATTAGAAGAGCGACCGCGGCTTTAGCGAAACGTCGCGCAGCATAAGCCTCCGGGAGGTGGCGTTCGAAGTTCTTTCCCTACCAGTGCTTACTACCTTCATAATTCGATTTCACGTAAACACGGAAGTTCACTAGGATTAAAAAACTGTGTTTCTTTTACTCGTGCACCGATGGAAGCGTAACAAATTTCGATAAGTGTTAGCGGGGACTTTCATAGGTGAACACTTTTGACGAATACAAACGACGAAAGCCATTTACATGTTGGAGTCTGCGTGAGACACCGAGTTTTTTACGGAAAGCTCGTGGTCTCGCGGGAAGACTTTCCTCGTATTTACGCGGCAGGATAAATTGATGATATAGAATCTCACTGCACTTGTATACGAACGGGACCTTCTCGCGAATAGGGTGTCTGTCATATCGGTATTCCGATGGTTTATTACAGACAGCCGAGGAGCTAGGCGTCGGCGTGTTCGTGCACCCCTGGGATATGCCGCAAACGAAACGCATGTCGAAGTACTGGCTTCCCTGGCTAGTCGGTAAGGAAAATCGCGCAAGGTGCTTTCGGCGAGGCGAATATCGTATGATTTCCTAGCGTGCGTATGAAGCGTCACTCCAAATATTTAGCAGTACGTGTTTAATACAGGCTCTTTTAGAATGCGTCCGCTTAGCAACAACAAGATGAGACCCCCTTACTCTTGACCAAAGCGTGCTTCGACTTTTCATTGCTAACGCGGCGAAGTCTGTGCAATGCTCATAGAAACGCATTTAAGGTTTCAAAACGTTGCTCCTTTCCGCGTGTTACTGATCATTATTAGCCCGGCTAATAGTCAAGCTATCGCTTTCAAATGGGGAAAAAACTAATTGATTGATAGATCGCTCGATTGAGTTGAAATAGACAAGGCTGGCAAAAGGTTTGCAAAGTTGGAATTGCTTTAAGATTCAATTACAGGAAATAATTAAGTTAGGAGGAATGTGTGTAGAGACCATATGGTACCCTCCCTGACAATATGATCTGCAACACTCGATCTGGACCTTTGGTAGGCGCATGGGGTCTTCAGAAACTATATTGTCTTTCTATATTAGTCAGAGTTCATAAAACGGGTCACGTTCCAACTTTTATCTTAACCAGAGCTTCTTTAAAAACCGGAGGTAGACCATAGAAGCGCGAGCACGCTCATATCAGCCGCCATTGTGCATAAACAAAATGTCACCTGAGGGTATTCGGTTTCATTGTGAACTCTTCTGATTCTGAAATTGTTATGCAATTACAGTATATGTTTTTTACACGGCCACTGCATGGATCTTCACAAAAAAATATCACCAGACTCGAATGACCTACGAATTTCGCGTAGAAAGCAAAAAGCAGGGGTGTGCGTGCTCATCTATAGATTCCTCAGCTGCCTGTTTATATATTTATTTGTTCTTGTTAATGCTTCTGTCGGGTTGTAGAGTGCTCCTTCGAGAATCGTAAACCTGGTCGTTGCGTATAAAAATCAACACATTAGATACTCCGAGGTCTTTAAGTGATACCGCATTGTCTATCCCGTAAACGGACAGGCATGCCGGCCGAGACGACGGCCGCCATCTGTGATGTCATCTTTGGCGGCGTCCTGGAAAAGTTCCCGCGACTCAAGCTCTGCTTCGCCCACGGGGCGGGAGCCTTTCCTTACACCGTCGGCCGGATACAGCGCGGATTCGACGTGAGCGACTCCCGGCGTATTTCGGAAGAGGTCTACAGCCTTCGGTCGTAAGAGTGCAGTTAAGCTGCGCGTGAGCTCACATTCGATACGATCCGAATTCACGAGCAGACAAGGCTCCGTCGAAAGCTTCGTACTCACGCTCGACGTGAGCGAAAGCAACACCTCTTGGACAACAAGGCCTTATTGCAGGGTCATATACGTCAGCTACAAGAGGCCAGAGCAGGGATCGGACGCGAGTGCAGCGTCGGTTTCCGGCTGGGGCTCATTTGACTGACTGAATACGATGTCCCAGCCGATCGATAAAGCAGATCTTGTCAAGCTGTGCTTCACACTGGCCTCCGCTAGTTGACCTAAACAATTCAGCACTTAGCTATGCTTGGGTCTTATTATCCAGGAGATGTTTGGCGAAAGCCACGCCCGAATGATTCGAGGGAGGGCCTTACGACTACAACAGAAAGCAACCAGAAAACCCCTTTTTATTACTATAATAAAGTCTTTCATCTAAATATGATAACGGACATCATATTTGAACAGTTGACAGCCTCCCCCCCCCCCCCCCCCCCTTTTTATGTGTAGAAAAGAAGCCTCTATTTCTAATATGAGTAATGCTGAAAACCATGTTCATATTCTCAGCTTAGAGCTCAGACATGCGTAGCTTATGGCGAATTCCACTGGGCGTTTTGGAGCGCGCCGGGATCAGTCGACCAGATCCGGATTGGAGCACAAGATCCGAACGGGGTCGCGCCGCCTACGGATCCTCAGTGGAACATGACCACTGCTCCGGGATTGGCGGATGCCTTCTTGTCATTCAACTGCCCGGGAATCCCCTTTTCGCGGCCGCCGCAGTCGTTTCGAAGACGTTTTCGCTACGCGGCGCTAACACGTGTTCGACGCACGAGTGGCAGGAATGGCTCAGGCGCTTCTAGCAAAGATTGCCGGAATGCCCGTAGCGCGGCAAATACCTTCTCTTCTCCTTCCTGGAAAACGAACCGGCTGTCGAGCCAATGGGTAAGCAAGCGGCCATTACGATTTCTTCTGATGTCGAGACAATCTAGGAGCCCAGCCCGCGACGTGCTTCTTCTTCTTCTGAGGCGAGATGGGCGAAATCACAGTAGGCGAAATCAGGCGAGATGCCCCACGAGAAAGGAAGTCACGTGTGTGCGCCGAGGGCTCCGAAATCGTTGGAGCGACTTTTCTCGAGGCGAATTCCACGGGTCGTTTTGGAGCGCGCCGGGATCGATTTTTCCGGAGCGAGCCTAATTCACGGGGCGATCGGAATCGAGACGAACTTGTTCCACTGGTCGTTTTGGATTAGCTCCCGCTCCAGATCTCGATCTGGATCCGAGAAAAGTCGCTCCCCCGATTTTGGCGGATTCAACCGGAAGCCAGCCGGGTCAGCCCTCGGCGCACACACGTGACTTCCTTTCTCGCAGGCATCTCGCCTGATCTCGCCTCAGAAGAAATGGTAATGGCCGCTTGCTTACCCCTTGGCTCGACAGCCGGTTCGTTTTCCAGGAAGGAGAAGAGAAGAGAAGGTTTTGCAGCGCTACGGGCATTCCTGCAATCTTTGCTAGAGGCTCCTGAGCCATTCCTGCCACTCGTGCGTCGAACACGTGTTAGCGCCACGATCTCGAAAACGTTGATGCTTGGAACTTGGAACCAGCCGCTACCAGACACCTGATTTGTTTCAAAAATACCCAGGACGTTTTGGGGGAATGAATCGATCACATAGCAGGCGGTAGACAAGTAGACAGCGTTGAAAAATATTTATTCCACCGATTGTTATGAAGGCCGATGGTGTCGGTGTCGCAGTTTTGAAGCACTGTCAGTTCAGCTCAACCCCACGTTACAAGATTAAGACGGCTCGGACCTGAGCTTTTGAATAAAGTTTTCCTCCTCCTCCCACGTTACAAAAGACGGTTTGGGGTACTGCCGGTGCTAACGCAATTTCACAGTAGAAATAGGAGTTGCATGAAAGAACGGGACAGAAACACTTCATACGGTGGCGTAAATGCCGAACATATATCAGCGATGTCACTTTCCTCGGTTAGGGCTTTCTGCTTTGTCAGCAAATGAAGAACATCCGGAAAATACTCTCCGTGTCAAGTTTTCTAATTATAGCCACTGGTTGATGTCGTACCGGTAATTCCCGGCCCTTCCAACGCACTAGCACTTTGTAGAGTCACATTTCCAGCGATTCCGTGCCGCACACGAACGAAGGTAAACAATCAAGATGGCGGAGTGTTCCCCGTGTTGTTCTCGCCGTCAGCGCGGTGTGACAGGGTTGTCGGACAACAAATCGGGCAACACTGCTGCCGGGCGGCAGCAACATGTTGCCCGACTGTTGTTGTTGCCGCGATGTGACAGGGTCGCCGGCAACATGACTTCCCCGTGTTGCCGAATAGAGTTGTCCATCTGTCCCCTCAGTGTGACAGGGTCTTTACCCCTTGGCTCGACAGCCGGTTCGTTTTCCAGGAGGGAGAAGAGAAGGTTTTGGCCGCGCTAAGGGCATTCCGGCAATCTTTGCTAGAAGCTCCTGGGCCATTCCTGCCGCTCGTGCGTCGAACACGTGTTAGCACCGCGATTGCAAAAACGTCTTCGAAACGACCGCGGCGGCCGCGGAAAGGGGTTCCCCGGCAGTCGAATGACATGAAGGCAAATGCCGATCCCGGAGCAGTGATCATGTTCCACGGGGATCCATCGCCGGCGCGACAACCGTTCGGATTGTGAGCTCCATTCCGGATCTGGTCAACTGATCCCAGCGCGCTCCAAAACGCCCAGTGGAATTCGCCATCGGATCCAGATCAAGATCTGGAGCGGGAGCTAATCCAAAACGACCAGTGAAACATGTCGGTCTCAATCCCGATCGCCCAGTGAAATAGGCTCGCTCCAGAAAAGTCGATCCCGGCGCGCTCCAAAACGACCAGTGGAATTCGCCATTAGTCGCAGTCCAATGACTGTTGAAAGCGGGAGAAAGTGCTAAAAATAATTCGCTTAATCTTTTACAATTAAAATTTTAACGTGACTCGACGATAATTACGGACCGGATGAGTGATTCCCGCAGGCGCGTCCCGACCTGTGTGCCGTTGACAACGACGTGCCACCGACGAGCTACCTGGGCAAGTTCTACTCGGACTCACTGGTCATGAGCACCAAGGCCCTCCAGCTGCTGGTCGATACTCTTGGAGAGGTATCTTCAATAATTTGTTTTCTTCTCTGTCTTATATGCAGATATAGAAAACTGCATTTCAAGCTCATGATGTCAATCATACAAAGAGAGAGAATGCCTTTGATAAAAATCATTGCGCCCTATGTCCATGCTGTTTCTACAGTGTTTACAACCAACCTTCTGGGCTTTTCAACTAGATATTTTGAGTCGACGACCCTAATATAAACGACCCCATAGATCTGACAATTTTTACGGATACGTCATTTGTCTTTCACTGCTTGCCTGCCGATCTCAAAACTGCCTCTATGAAATGGATCAACGTGCTTGTCGCCGTTTGCCTCAGCGAAATACCATCCACTAGCTCTGCCTACGAAACCCATGAGCCAGCAAACCGGTTGGCTGTTTTGTAGACCCTTTCACTGTTCACAAACATGAACCGCTGCTTGCGTCCCAATTAAGCTACTACCGCCCGCTCCGTCTTTGCAACCCTGTCGAGCTAGCTTATGCCACCAGTGCAAGAAAGCATAAATGCTACACGGACAACAAAGATGAAGAATTAGCGAGGGCATTCGGCTGTTCGATTTAACGTCTTGGAGGAGACAAGTTGGTTTACAAGAATATTCAAAAAACTTGAAGAAATCTCGCGCTTATTGGTTCTATTGGCGTTCCCCTGGAGAATTGGTGGTTAAATGTTTCATCGACGTTTCAAAAGGCGGTGTTAAGGTGGGCTTTGTTTATCACTTTTATAGCCCGTAAGTTCGCTGGGGTGTTAGAGCCGTGCATGGAGAGGGTCTGGTCAATGGGAGGAGCTGGCGGTAGCCGGGGTGGAGCGGTGAAAGCGACGCCGCCGGCAGCGCCGCAAATTCCTCATGTGATGGACTTGCGAAGTAAGAATCAGCTGGAATGACCTTGAAAGATTTTCGAAGCGCGGCGCAGGTATCTTGTTTCTGAATGATGCTGAAAGTATACGAATGTACAATTTTAAGAAATTGGTTGAAAAGGGGAGTTTTGAGATGCTGAGTGGCGTTTACTGAGCCAGGGAAGGCGACATTGGCGAGAAAAATTTCCTGACACATGAGGCGCAACTGCGGATATGGGGTGCGCGTTCTCTTTTTGGGTCAAAACACCCACGAAGCAGAATCCGCACTTTTTGCCGTCCAATCCGTCGTGCACGCGGTGGTGGCCGCCGAGATTGCAATCAAAAGAATGAGCGCGTTCTGAGTCTCGCCGTGACAACGTCATGCGCATTGCCCTTTCAGTTACGAAGAGTCGCAAATTTGAATTCTAGGGTGCTGAAATGAAATACTTAACACGTTCTTACATACAAATTGTGATTGGAGGGTATTTGTAAAGCTCATATCTTCCGCTAGGGGGATATGTGTGGCTAGCGGTTAATCACAAAAGCTGTCAATCATCGTGGCCAAGGTCATTGAAACAATTTCGGCCAATGACGTGCCCTTGTTTTCGCCCTTTCCTTACCAATCAATGACCAAACTCTCAACATATACGGCTCTGGGACGTCAAAGGGTGGAACACTGTTTTCAAAGAAAAAGGTCTATAGGTTCTTTTTTCAAAATGATTCATTCGTTTTTGTTTTTTTTAAGCTTTTGAACTCTAAAGAAATAAAAAAAAGGGCCAGTCTAGATATTACAGTTGTAGAGTATGAAACGCGTGCAATCAAACAGCAGCTCCGCCATTTTGTGCCGGCAATGTAAAAGAAAGCACTGGCGTTATCTCGGTGATGACGCGAAACATGAAACGACAACCGCGTCTTGTGTTATCACAAAGTCGGCTGAATCTAAAAGGAAACATGACTGCAGCACGGCGTCCGCTACGCACACGCTTCAAGCATATTCGAAGCCTGCTTGCTTGATACATGCTACGAACATGTCTGCGGACAGTATGACCAATACGACCGTCATCCAAGGAAGAAACACGCCTCGGGCAGCGTTTGGAGACTCTCCGTTTTATATGATGTAGTGGCAGTGTGACCGCGGCGAATCTGTCGCTATCGCTCGATGACCAGTCAGATTTCGGCGTCAGCCAATAAGGACACCGAAGAACGAGTCACTAAGCAAGATGTGCGATCCTAATAAGTGATACCCTCCATTTCCTATGACTGTCCGTGACTAGAGTGCTCACACACACCCGCTTTTTCTTAAGTGGTGACATCTCAGCCATTTTTCCGCCCAATCGCTTTTTGATGCATTTTGAAGTGCACGCAATCCGGTGTCACTTAGCTCGAGCGCGTAGCTTACGCTAATGCATAGACGCCATTTTACCGCCCAAGCCACGCACCGAGTGCGCGAGAGTGTTACGCGCTGGCACACTCCGGGCAACAGTGGATGTCTTCACCCTGAGACCGACAGACATGCAGGCACCCTATCCGTGGCTATAATTAAACCCTGTAACCATGGTGACAGCAGAGATAACTAATACTCCATTTCCGTTTACCCCCGACCGCGCCGACCGCTACGAGTCATCTTGGCCAATCCAGAGCTCTGTGAACGGCACTATGACAGAACAGCACACGACAAAACAGCACGCGACAAAACAGCACGCGACAAAACAGCACGATCAAAACAGCACGCGTCAAAACAGCACAGCGTCAAAACAGCACGACGACAAAACAGCACGCGTCAAAATAGCATGCGACAAAACAGCACAGTGTCAAAACGGCACGGCGACAGAAGAGCACGTGCCAAAACAGCACGGCGTCAAAACAGCACAGCGTCAAAACAGCACAGCGACAAAACAGCACAACGTCAAAAGGGCACAGAGACAGAAGAGAACGGCGTCAAAACAGCACTGCGACAAAACATCACGGTCTCAAAACAGGACAGTGACAATATAGCTAGGGTTTGGCATTTTCAGTTCTTATTATTTCTAAGTTCGGCTTATCATTTTCGGTTTTTATTCGAAACTAATTTTCGGTTTATTGCTGTGTATATTTGTAGACTCATAAACTTCTCGGTTCTTTTCGGTTTACTGACGAAACCAGTATACTGCCGGAAATGCAGTCTTTAAAAGCGTTTGTTTGAAATGTATAGTGAATAAACCAGGTATTGATTTTCTTAATTATTGCTGTTTGTGGCAGCCGACGTGACCTGTTCTGCAAGGCGCACTGGGACCCTATCGTGATCTAATATTATCGTCGTGTGCTCTCATTTGTACGTACACTGGACGAACATGAGCTTCACTACCACTTCGGTCGGAGAGCCAAATTTCAAAATCCAGAAATTTGCAAGCATTGTACTTAGAGCGTTTTTTCTCCATTTTCGCGACTGGGAGGGGTGGTAAATTCGCGCCGACCACAGAAACGACAATAAAGCAATCGTATGCATGCCCCCCTCTAGTAGACGGAAGCTAGAGCTGTTAAAAATGTGGGACATTTATGGACGTCATTGATTTTCATGGTTCAGTTCACGATTAAACTCTCTTCTTTGAACAAAGAATTCGCAACACAACTCCCTATCAGGTGAAGGACCCAGATTTCGTTCTGAAGACCCCTGGGCCCCCGGAGCTTTTGTTGAACGTTGAACCGATCTCGGAGACAAGCTGAAAACTGCGAAAGGAAGTGACATACGGTCAGTAATGCCTCCCTGCCTCTCCGAACTTCCTCGAAAATACTGACCTTTTTCAATGAAAACCGAATTTGATAAAAAATAATTCGGCGTACCTTTACCGGTTTTATTCGGTTTAAGCCGAAAACGTTGAACCCTAAATATAGCGTATGTAGTTTAAAAAAAATGTAAATCTCAAAGTACGCACTGTAAAATAATGGAGGGTCAAGGCCAATTCGTCGAAAGCCAACTCGTCGACGGCCAATTTGTCAAATCCGTTTTCTTGGGAGCAAGTTCGGTGTGGGGAGTATACTCGATGGGCACATGAAGGCTCCCTGGACAGTACCGAAGCCTTTACTTGTGCGTATTATGGCTATTTCTCGAGCAGTTCTGGTAATTTTGACGCGCAAGTTTGCTGGCAATGTCGTCTACAAAAAAAAAACAAGAAAAAAAAACGAATTAATTGGACGGGTTAGTGTTGTCTTAAGTTGTTAAAAAACAACAACAACAACAGAAAGCGTGTGCGGCAACAGTGTGCTCAGCCCATGCTGTACGGCAGCAGTATTGAGGCTGTGGCATGTTTCTGCTTTACCGGTTTTAGCTCGATCGAGGCCTTCGTCAGAAATAATCTGTAAATTTAATTTAAAACGACTTCTCGCCTGCAAGCTGCAGCCGCGTGTTTCCTGGACATTTTATTCACAGAAAATGAACCACGCAGAATCGGTGCCCATGGCACACTTTGAATACGCTCCACATTAAAGTCACCTTATCTTACCGGTTCTAACAATGCATCTGTAATCAACGCATCTCCCTTTTTTTTTTTTTTTTGGGGGGGGGGGGGGGGGGGGGTGGGAGGGGGGGAGGAGTTTTACCCTTAGGTGGTTATTACGAAATGGCGAGTACTACGGAACCTCACTGGAGCGCCGCGAACCAGACGGTTCATAACTTAATTGAACTTATGGATTTCTTGTTCCCAATCAATTTTCCGCTTTCGCTGGTCCTACAAAAAAAAAAAAAAAAAAAAAAAAAAACAGACAACGCGGCCAACATTGACGCCGAAGATATAACACCTCTAACTACCCAATCTCTTCAAGTATGCCTCCCTGCTTTATAACCTAGCGCCAAAAAATGAAAGGGTCAAGGAGGTTTAAAATTATTCGCGCAGAGAGAGGTGAAGAGCGCGCTCAAAGTTGCTACAAACGTGCTGCTGTGCTGTTTTGACGCCGTGCTGTTTTGGGGCGTGCTCTTTTGTCGGTGTGCCGTTTTGACGCTGTGCTGTTTTGTCGCGTGCTATTTTGACGCGTGCTGTTTTGTCGCCGTGCTGTTTTGACGCTGTGCTGTTTTGACGCGTGCTGTTTTGACCGTGCTGTTTTGTCGCATGCTGTTTTGTCGTGTGCTGTTCTGTCGCATTCCCCTGTGAACGTAGTACGTGAAGGGTATCCCCCTCCCTTCCAATATCACGTAACACTTACACGGCCTTGGATTGGCTCCGATGGCTCGTAGTATCCGCTGCGGTCGGTCCCACTCAATGCCGATGACTGGCGTCACTGGTGACGTCACTCGCCACCGAGACTACAATTTACAGCAGGATGACTGGTTGGGTTAGTTAGCAGTTCGTAATATTTAGCAATGGAAAAAAAATAGCTACAAAAAGGTTATAGTGGACAGGGCACCGAGTACTGTCCGCTACTGCTACCTTTTGGTTCCAGTTATTAATGCGAAAGCAGTCATGAAACCCTTTTCCAACTTTTTCCTGTTTATCTTTCCTCTTGACGAAAGACGGAAAGAGGAGAGTCTCCTCTTGCTCGGAGTCTCGCTTGTGTATTCGGACACAGCCATTCTCCCCCTAGAAGATTAGCCCGTCGCCCAAAATTCAGACCAAAGTTACTTTCCCCACCCCGTTCACCCCGAAGCTGACAGAGCTGTGGAAGCTACGTGCTCATTGGACCAGCCACACTTTTGCCACATGATCACGCTCTCTCGCACATACCAACGCGCAGAGAATGAGGGCAGGTGATAAAAGGGAGGCAGCTGATTGGTCCGGCAAGCGCGTAGCTTCCACCACAATGCCAGCTTAGGGGTGAAGAGAATAAGTGAGGTCCGGTGTCGTGTGACGTGCGTTTAGGCCTGGTGACGCGCTGCGGGGGCCCGGTGACGCGCTGCGGGGACCGCGGATATGTATCACAGTGAAAAGGCAGACAGCTTACGAAGGGAAGGAGGCACGAAACAGTTCGCTGTGTTTTCAAAATTTCGTACCGAAAGTCAGGCTTCCGACTTTCTACCTTTTTTCTTTTGGCCCACTGAACGATGCGCTATTAGTAAAATCCCAATTTAATTGATTTATTCCAGCCGAAAATTCGTTCCATGGGCCCTTTAACTGTCCCATGGGACGCAGCGGCGTTATCAGTTTTTGAAGCCGCGCCAAACGGCACCTAAATTCCCCTGTATACCTTGGAGCGAAGGCTGTGGTCTGTAGTAGCGGCACCATTGGCTGGCGCGCGGCGTAGTTCCAAGGAACGCCACCCCACATAGAAGCCCTCTCCATGGTGGCGCAGCGGCCCGGCCGCCGCTAAGAGAGAGCGGCCGTCGCAGGGCCAGCAGAGCCCGTCCGGGTAAACTCCGAAGAGGCCGCACGGCCGAGTTCAGCACGGCACACAGCTTGTAGGAATACGCTACGTATACGAATGCTTTCGCATTCCGACACGTTAACAGTCTTACGTGTATTTGTAGTTTTATGGCGTAACACAAGTATAACTTACATCACTCGAAATGAGTAAGAATAACTGTGAAGACGTGTCTTTATCTCCAGGACAAAGTGATGCTTGGCAGCGACTACCCGTTCCCACTGGGAGAGGCCGATCTCCCAGGTCGCCTTATTGAGGAGAGTTCTTTCAGCGAAACGATCAAGGTACGATGAAACAGAGAGGAAGCTCTTAATAAACAAAATCGCGACGCTATTTTACATTTTTCTTTTTCAGGAAAAATTACTTTGGAGGAATGCTGCAGCCTTCCTGGGAGTCGATATCGACAAAGCCTGACACATATTTTGATTTAAAGCATTTAAAAAAAACACGAGAAGAAATGAGCACCGAATACGACAATAAATAAACATAGATGTTGCAGGTTTGCAAATGAGTCGTTTACGCGAAAGAAATATAAACAAAAAAACATAACTGAAAGACCGGTAGCATTGTCCATTTATAATACCGGAAAACACGTTTGAGTTTGCCTAAAAATGGAAATGAAGCATTTCATCGTAGAAATTATGGACGTCTCGGCAAACAAACCAGGAATAAAGAAACGAGCGCCAGCGAGGATCTTCTCTAGAAATAAAACCTAAAATGAAGAAAAAATGACGTCGCTTAGCTCTATACCGCTCAATTATGCAGTTTTCTAGTTGGTTCCACTCCGTTCGCATCATCGAGGATTCCGTCATTAGTGAACCGCTCCATACCGGCGTCCCATCAACGATCATTTCGCGTCCTGCTTTGCAGACATCATATATTACGCCGCAGACGTGCGCATACGCATGAATCGGCCCCAGGAACGCAAATATTTACTCCGCGCACCGAAGCCACGATCCGGGCCCGTCCTTATCATATTCGAACCATCGACTGGGCTCACAAGCTTCTCTGTGCGTCAGACCACCGGCTGTGGCCCGCTGACACAGATACTAGTTGAGGTGATCTATACGTGACCTGACTTCAAGCTCGAAGGGCGACCTACAGGTACACAACCGTACTTGAAAATCTGTTCTACCGAGCCCGGCCGTGTCTGTTGTTCCTATAGATTTTATGCTCTATTGACCAATAACTAAATTAAACGAAAGCTTTCACGAAATATACTTTGTCCGAGATATTGTACGCCAACGGTATGGGTAACAGCTGCGTCCGAGTGTCGCCGTCGGGAGTGGCTTCGACGACTGCGGAAGTCAGCGTTCGTACAGGCTGGGGTGCGCCCGAGGGCCTCGGAAAGTCAGCTACGTTGGAGGTAAGTACGCACCCTTCGACGCCACAAATCTGAGAGCGTGATTTTGGCTTCGAGCTGGGCCATCATGCTGCTCATCGATACGCACGATGTAGTTTCTTTTTTCTTTTTCACAGTGTTCTTTTTTTGCACCAGCTGTGATCGGAAAAGATGCGTTGTGGATTGTCTTCAATCTTGTACACGTTACTAAAAAAATAGTAATCGATTACAATTACAATTACTTTTCGCTAAAAAGAATTCAATTCGATCACAAGTAATTGGGCGTTACTTCAGAATTTTAAGACGACAGATTTTTCCGCCGGTTTGGGAATGGGGCTTTCGTACTGTCTGTTGTTTAATTAGAATCACCCAATTATAAACTACTTATCTTCTTAATCCACCAATTTCGTTAAACCATTCTCCTGTGGGAAACTTGGTCCCAGCTTTCCTCGGCAGGAAACTTCTGGAAAGAACGGGCGCCATTAAAAGTAGGAGGGGAAAATAGTAGCAGTTAAAAGTAATCTTAGTATATCAAAACACAATCATATTACTCTTGCGATTACTTCCTGATAAATGTATTCAAATTATTACAACTTACTCCAAAAAGTAATGCAGTCATGGAAGAGGCGCATTTGACCTTTTGTAGCAGGTTCTGTAGCGGGTGAAATGTTGGTTTTGAGCAGCCACTGACGCTTTTGGAGCAGATGCCAACATCTGTGAGCGCATCACTCGAAATTGAAAAAGAGTGATTGCATCTCTAAATGAGTTCATTTATGATAGTGATCAAAGGGTTTCCCTTTTATACTCGAGCATATTATTTTTTACTATTTGTGATAAGAATACGTGGGGCGTGAAAGGAATACAGTCTCGTTAAATAAGTCTCTAGTCAGAGTATGTTATTAATAAGGGTATTAATAAATGGTTGAAAAGTGAATCATAGCGCAACACTTCATTGGGATAAAACCTCTTTCCCTTCCCCATTTTACACTCGGTACTTTGTTTAGCCTGTAAATACAGGGTGAAACAAGGAGACGGCAGGCTCTTTAAATCGACCGGAAAATTCGGTTTCTTAACCTATCGCGCTACGACTTTGTGTAGCGTTGCCCACAGATGGTGCATTTTTTTTTTTTTTTTTTGTAAAATTTGCAATGAGCGAACTTACCTGAGGAAAAAGTAAAGAAAGAAAAAGGCTAAGCTCCTATGGAAACGCAGCGACGCCACCGGTCTGCAAACAACACGGCGCCGTTTCGCACGGGAGACAAGAGATGGCGCAAGCAGTCGCGACGCCAACTGCCGCCAACGAACGAGCAGACGACACCGAGAGCCGGCCCTTTTGCAAACAAGGAACTGCAGTTCCTTGCTGTTACCGCGCCTGTCTTTTTTGTTTCTACGACTGTCGCCGCCTGCGGAACGCGCGCCGCTTTTGAGTCGAAAAGATCGTCTGCTAAAGAGGCCTGCCCTCGGCGCCGTATGTTCGTTCGTTGGCGGCGTTTGTTGCGCCATCTCTTGTCTCCCGTGCAAAACGGCGCCGCGTTGTTTACAGACCGGTGGCTTCGCTGCGTTTCCACAGGAGCTAAGCATTTTTCTTTGTTTCCTTTTTCCTCGGGTAAATTCGCTCTTTGCAAATTTTACAAAAAAAAAAAAAAAAAAAAGCACCATCTGTGGCCAACGCTGCACAAAGTCGTATCGCGATAGGTTAAGAAATCGAATTTTCCGATCGATTTAAAGAGCCTGGCGTCTTTTTGTTTCACCCTGTAAAACTTCTGTAATATGCCAACAAGAACCAGCATATCCGCTAACGGGTCTACCATTAAAAATGCGTACCGTAAGTTTAATGGAAGGGCCAAATTCAAGACTCTAATGTCATAAACTGCATAACCAACCACCCCAAAATAATATAAAAGCCTACACTTGCGCTTTAAAGGTTACACTGCTTTTTAGCGGCGTAGGAACCAGAGTTACGTCAAAGTTCGCTGCTCTTTCGATCGACAGCTGCACGGGAACTAGATTGACTACCGTATTTATTCAAATATACATAGACCCTAGTTTTATCATCTATCTTTCTGCTGTTTTTCTTAATTTTTTTTCTTAAATTAGAAATTAATTTACATTAAGGACAAAGAAGTTCGACCTGTAAACAATCCTGAGCATAACTTGAATGCCTATCGCGCTGAGCCAGGCGCTCCCCCGTGTCAACCGCTGCTCCCAGCACTCCGATGCAAAGCGGTGAAGCTCGACGCGCGCACGCTAGTGGGAGGCGAAGGGTGACGCGAGCGGCGCAAGCGCCACGGAACGAAGGCACGTGGCCGACATGGTGGTAATCAAGTGATCCTATCAGGAGTACAAGACCCAGGTTCTGTTTTATCACAGTAGCCGTCCCACTATTTTGCGAAGCTCTCTCGGGACTCTTCGTTCCTGGCATCGACGACATCGTCTGGAAATTTAGACTATGTGGGCCATCAACCAGCCAGCGCATCAACCGGCCAGAGCGGTTGATGCCCAGCATCAACGGCTCTGGCCGCTCGATTCGGAGCATCCGAGCGTGACATCATGGCACTCGTAATCTCCTGGTACGAGTTCTTTCATCGGCTAACCCAATCAAGTGCAGCGAATGTTCCGGGACTTGCGCTTTTAGTATTTGTGTTTGCGGTTGTATCCGTTCGAGCCTTCGACTCTGCTCTGACCTAAAACGAAACAAACTATACATTGAACAGAGATGATTTGAAATTCATATTTGTAAAAATTTTCCTTCCTTATAAATATATTCTTTCGTTGTTTTTTTTTTTTTTTTTCGTTAAGTCTATTTTGGCGCAGGTGTGGCACAATTCTTAGCAAAAACGGCATTGTGGCGCAAGACGTAGCAGACTTTTCATTCGTGGCGCAATTTGGCGCAAATGGCAGAGCACTTCCATCACATAGTAATCGATTTCAAGTAATTTGATTAGTTGTCATGAGTATCGTACAAGTATGACTGCCTTCTTGCATAACGTCAGGGACCGGATTAACAATAATTAGGGTTCAAAGTTAAGAGTTAAAACTAAGATGACGGTTTTCCCTGCCCGACGATCTTGGTGTTATAGAATATCGTATAGCTCTGGGGAGTTTAAATGGCAAAGTGCGACCCAGGGTCTGCCAACCCTTCGATAATGACCACTCTCGTTTTCAGAAAAAGTGAATGTCGGTGGTCGCCTTTTCGTTGTATTTTTTCTTTCTGAGAAGCCAGAGCGAAGTCAACGATACGGGCCAATAGTGCCGATCAAGCAGCACCAAAAGTGCAATGCCCATTTGTCCCCCCCCCCCCCCCCCCCCCTCCCCCACCTCCCCTTCAAGGAACGCCACTCCATGGCACTGCGGTCTCCTGCGGCGGTAAAAGGAACACGGTGGCGCGCGCTCGGCCCATTCTGCTCCTCTGGGTTTGGACAGACATGGCGCCGTTTCATTTGACATTCATGCTTTCGCATTCACACGTCATAAGAAGTGCTTGGGTGTCCCCGGATTTTCGTCTACGGGGCTCTGGAATGCGTTCTGAGCATGCGCAGTATTATGTTGTTTCTTTTAGAATGGCAACTATGTATACATATGATGAGGTCAGCTGGCAAGAAACGACTTTTCGTTCGTCGTTCGAACGGACTTGTCGGCCCTTTTCTGTCCTCGAAACATCAATAGTACCTTGCGCAAAATATCAGACGTCAGGCATGCGGCCAGAGCCTGCAGTGACTCGGCATCATTTTCCTGAATGATGAGCGCTGGAAAGGAGTATATATCGAGAGGGGCAAGTGCAGTAGATTCACCGAGTCGTCTGAGCCTCCAATAAAACAAAAGTGCCCGGGAAATCTGCTAGCAGACTAAAATATAATGCGCCGGCTGAGCAAGCCGCTACACAATTTTGAACCGGACTGCGGTCGCTCTTCGTGTTGTAGTGATCTCCCAGCATAAGCGGGTCGGCACTAATGTCCCGAGCATCATCAGGGGAGTAAAAGAAGCGACCGGAATTTCACAAACAGCTGTCGCGCTTAATGAAATATCGGTGTTATGACATTAAAATAGTGCGCTGTGGTTGTTTGTTCACTGAGCTGGTAATTTAAACCCCACTGACTGTGCCCTCGAAAGGACGGAGGTCTCTATAAAGTTATTAACGAAACAAAGCCTTTCGTCCAACCCAGCTACTTGTAAATAAAGTTATTCGTTCACTCTTTACCTAACCAAGATAATGAAACTCCTTCCTCAATCTCACGTTTGAATCTTAAAAAAAATGCATAAGACCAGAGAAGGTGTGCTGCTTTTGACAGTGGAATGCATGTTGGAGGAGTTGTGCCTTCAACCAGTGTGCCGTAGAATGTTTGCAAAGGGTTCTTTGCTTTTAGTGGAATTGATGTAGGAGACATGTGCAAGATCTGTGCTTGGGTGGAACGATTGTGCGAAACGTTGCATGCCGGTTTTTTTTTTTTTTTTTTTTTTTTTTTTTTTTTACAGCGAAGCTGTCTATGGCTAGGGTCCCCTGGATATTTCGTGTGCAGTGACTATAAAGTCACTAAAATAAAGCGTTGACGAACGCGCGTGCAAGATGCAACTTTGTTTTAGACTTTTGCTATAGACGCTTTACACACGCGCCAAATTACAGCCGCCATTGCTGACCTTTTCTTGTCTTACCGAGATGCCGAGCAACTGAAACGGTAGTTGACGATCCTCTACAAAGGCCGATGCTTTAGAAAAGGACACAGTTGAATTTAATATGGCAATAACCTGGCCTGCTATGGTAATGATGAAGTGAAATAAACGGAATAAGAGGAAACAAAAACTGAAGGTCAGTTATGGCGGCGTCCATGCACAGCTGCTGCAAAGCGTCTATAGAACAGCTACTGCTGCAGACGCCGGCACGTGCGGCGCGCGGAGCACCATTCCCTGCATTCTCCTTGATGCTCGGGCAATTTACCAATATGTCTTATTCAGTAGGTTAGTTATCAATAGGCACCATTTTCAAGGTCAGTAGACTCTCAGGTAGATAATAAAGGTTTCTCAAGGATTTGCCGCTGTGCGATCCGCGTCGGCCATGTCTACGCCCGCACCGCCCTCTCTTTGTGGTCGTTCCAAGCGCCTGCGTGCCTAATTTCCTTTCGCTCTCCCGGGGTGGCGATCCCGTCGCGCGTGTCTAGTTTCCTCCGGCTCCTCGGGGCGGTTCTGTGTCGTGTGCTAAACAGCTTCGCTGGTCATTCACCTTCAAAAAGTGGAATGACTTTTTTTTTTTCTCTCAAGGGGAGGGGGGGGGGGGGTATGAATCAGTCTTTGTAAGAGGGCAGCGCATGTGACCGCGTCTGCGGTAGAAGCAAAAGTATGTACGTACGCGAGCTGTTCTGTACAGGCGTGGAGAGCACACGAACGAGAACGGAACCTGGCGGCGGCAGTGGGCAAGCGAGGGAGCGTGGTCCGCACAGCGCAGCCACGTGGGTATTTCGCAACGGCGGCTGCCGGAGGGGTGGGAGGAAGGGTCAGCGTCGTCGGAGGGTACGTGCCCTAGTGGATGTAGCAGGAACGACCGAGAGCGCCCTCCCCGTGGTCACGTGGGATTTTCGGAACAGCGGCGGACTACAGGGGGAAGGGCGGGGGGCAAGAGAGAGCCTTGCTGCAGTTGGCGTGTATGTGCGAGGAACGACGAGAGGGAGAGCCGCGACTCTCCTGAGTTGGGTTTTGCGTTCGCACATGAACATTTTTTTACCGGGAAGGGGCACTAACGGCTACCGCTGTAGAAACAGGGTTACTTATGCACGTAACTTGCCAGGTTGACACCATCTATCATATAGACTAACCTTTTTTTTTTTCGTTTTTTTTTTTTGCAAATTTCTAATATCTAATGCGCGCGTGTGAAGCATCCCACTCTGGAAGAGTGTTTTTCCACCCAGTGAGAGCCTGCGCTGCGGCGAAGCGACATAAGCAGAAGCGCGATGTCTTTCTCGCAGGTGTAACTTCCCCGCAGTGCACTAGTGCGCTGCGAGAAGCGTACTAATGGGGCAATTAACCCACCCGAAGAGACCAGACGCAACTGTAGTCACTAAACTGGATCTTGCAAAAGTTGCACCGAGGTCCTTGTATGGCCGATATTTTGGTCCATGGAATGTGCAGTTTTTTCTTGATCTCTCCATTCCTGGTGAGCCGATCAAAAATTCGCGATGGCAGGTTGCTTAATAGACATTTACGGTATAGTCAGATTTTTTTATCCACACACCGGCGAAAAAAAGCGCGCATCTTCTCACCGCCACCACATGTTGCTTTGGTGCTTGGCAGCATTGAAAAATAACTTTCCTGTTTTTGAATACGCAAGAGCAATATAATTGTAGGAGATCTGTGGAAATAGGCATGATTGATAAAATGATTGTATACATAGCGCCAAAGACACTTATATTGGCGAGGAACGCTTTCAGTACGATGCCGCTCCATAGCGACCTTGGCGCGGTTCAGGACAATCCTACTGAAGATTGGAAAGGGCGGAAATGGCAATTGCCATGGCAACTGATACCCATCAACCAATCGCAATGCGAGGTTTTTGTCATCTGCGTGTTAGTATCTGCTTGTGTCCTGCTAGCAGGCAGGAAAGGCAATGACACGACTTTCACGTGATGATCCAGTGACTTTCGGCACAACGAGAATTATTGTGGATCTTCCAAGTATTGCATCATCTTCGATAAGATCAAATAAAATGGAAAGTTTTCGCGGATTGTTTTGATAACTTCTGCAACAATAACCAATAACAATATCACGCGCGTGCAAAGGCACCGGTGGCAGCAATATCAGAACAACCTATTAGAATTCCCTGCTGATATGTTATTCTAAGCAATAACTCAATAACTGAGTTTCGAAAACTCTCGCAAGCTTATCTAAAGATCAGGCAGTGTGGGGACGGCCGAGCTATTGGCTCCCGCAGATATAGTGAAATAAACTTTTGCCGCAATGTCGGCGCGAATTCGTCCTACTGTGGTAAAGTGTAGCAGAGTAACCATTTGGCGCTGCCCGGCGGAAATGGCACAGAAATCACATATTTCCGAGTATATGTTATATCAGTCAGTAAAATCGATGGGAGAGACATTTAATTGGACTAAATTAATCAACACGACTTCATCATCAGGTATAAAATATCTTTTATACAGGGGCGAGAAATAGGTACTAAGCATTCTAGAGGAAAACAATGGAGGAAGACAAAGGAAACGATGAAGCCATACATACAGCAAGTGCTGTCTCGCATACTTTCTTTTACCTGCACTTGTCTGTTTGTTCTTTGGAACACTTAATGAACTAGCCCAACTATAGTACAATGTTTCTTTGTTGTTGTTTTTTCCATACAGGGCACTAATTTTTTTTAATTACCTTTCCCATGTTTTGTCAACTTGTCCCTTTATTTCTTGCCATCTGTCTCAGGAATATAACTTAATACAAAGCCCAAAAGCCTACTGGCAGTCCAGGCATTAACTCTTTCAGTACCGCGCCATAGAAAATCGGACACGGAGTTACGATGACTTTCAAAGCGTCTGAAAAAATCAAAATTGGCGCGTCAAGACAGACAGCGCCACCTAGTTTGCTCGTAGACATCTACTTTTTCAGTTTCGGTTTTGGTTTTCATCTTCTGACGTGAGACGGCGCTGTTAAAAACGAAACTTAAACCAAAAGTTACCGCGTAGTCGGGAGCCATGGCGTCAAGTTTGCCGCGCGCACCTCAAAAGCGGAAGGCTGTTGCAAGCACTTCGGCCGCTTTTTCTGCCGATTTTTGTGACTCAAGCAGCAGTGATGACTCCAGTAACGATGCAGGGTCGTCAGATTTTAGTTCTGACAGCGACACTCCAGCTCAAGGTCCGGGAACGTCAACAGGAGCTCGCAGGTGTGTTTCGTTTTAGCTTGCACACTGTATTTATACAAACGCGCGCTTTGTATTTGACGACAGCGTTTTTTCTTGCATGTTTAGAGTCTCAACAACGTACGGCAAGGATACTTTTCCGAATGCGTCGCGCCGTATCCAGTTTTCGCCCAAGAGACAGCCCGGTGTCCATGTTGGCGCAGCACTGCGGAGCGACTCACGGCGCTTCTCAAGAGCACTAGATTTTTTTCTTTTGTTTTTCACTTCCGAGGTGGTAAGGACTTTGTGTGAGAACACAAACAAATATGCTTGGATGCACATTTTGGACCGGCAGACATACGCTCGGCGTGACGGCTCCTGGGAGAAGGTCACACCGCTCGAGATGCTGCAATTTATTGGGATTCTCATCTACATGGGAATGGTTGAAGTTCCGCGACTGCACTTATACTGGAAAACAACAGGAATATTCAGAGGCCTTCTACCACCAAATATTATGCCAAGAAAGCGCTTTTCTGCGCTGCTGGCGTTCTTACACGTATCGGACCCGGAGGACTGTGGAGCTGCAGCTTCTGTCGGCAAAACCTGGAAGGTATACTGGCTGTTGAAGCACATCAATGAAAAATCAGCAAGTTTTTTCCAACCACGGCGTGATCTCTCAGTCGATGAACGCATGGTAAAATCTAAAGCCCGATCAGGAATAAGGCAATACATTCGAGACAAAGTGACGAAGTGGGGATACAAACTCTGGGTGGTGGCAGACTCAAGAACAGGCTACACCCTTCAATTTGTTGTGTACACTGGCAAGCGTGAGACACCAGGACCTCACGGTCTAGCTTTTGACGTAGTCACCAAGCTCTGCACAGAGTACCTTGATCAAGGGTACAAGATTTACATGGACAACTTCTATACATCAACGAAACTTTTCGACCACCTCCTTGCGCGCAAGACGTTTGCATGCGGCACATCTCGCAAAGATCGCCGATGTTTTCCAGCTGAATTGAAAGATGCTAAATGGGAAAGAAGAGCTCAGCGGGGAGATGTTAGATGGATTCGTGAAGGGAACATCCTCTACATGCAGTGGAAAGACAGGCGTGCGGTAAACCTGATGAGCACGATGCATACAGCAAACGAGCATGTTTCGGCCCAACGAAGAGAAAAAAGAGGGGACAAGTGGACTTTGAGGACCATCAAAAAGCCGCTTCTAGTCCACGAATACAACGCTGGAATGTTGGGAGTCGACAAGTCGGACCAAATTATTGGAACATACAACGTCCTGAGGAAATGTGTGCGTTGGTGGAAGACGCTATTTTTCCATTGTGTGGACATTGCATGCGTAAATAGTTTTATACTCTTCCAAGAACACCGCAAAGAGAACCCAGACGTCCCAGAACTTTCCAGAAGTGCCTACTTTGACCAGCTGGCATTTAGAGAAGAGCTAATTCAGCAGATCTTTGAGTACGATGGAGCAGCGCAAAGTGGTACCCCCTTCTCACCTCATGTCCCTGCTTGCCACCAACCAAAAAGAATGGAGAGGAGAAGAAACTGCAAGCTCTGCTATCGAAAGACAAAATCCCAATCCAGAACAAACGTCTTCTGCGCCACATGCGAAATTTATCTTTGCTTCCTACCTTCACGTGACTGCTTTTCTGAGTGGCACAGCCTTCGGAACCGCTAACTTTGCTGGCCACGAAAAATACAGAACACGGCGCACAGAACTGGAAGATATTGAAATGATGGCTAGGGCCACTTGCAACATTTTGTATATTTCAGAATTTCGAAAATAATTTTCTGGCTCAGTACAGCCACTGATTTTTGTTTTGTTTGTACTTTTTTTGTCAACTTTTTGTTCATTTGACAAATAAATTCTCTTCACTGTTTGCACTCATAACACTACAGTTTATTTAACTATGATGCCCAGCTAATAACCTACAGTTTGATAAATAGCAAAGCTTAATGCGGCTAGTAGTCGCAGAGAAAAAAAATATTTTCTAGAAGCACTGAAAATCAGTCATTTTTCCGCGGTAACGAAAGAGTTAAGCTAAAGCTAACATTTTGGAATTAGATCACAATATGCTTTGGCGATGGTGATGAAAAGTCAATGCGCGTTGCTTCCCTCTGCCTTTCCACGTGCATGTCCATGAACGATCGTATCTTCTGCTGGATCTGAGGCGTGTTCTTTGCATCTCGTGCTACGATGGGTATGATGTCGTCGAACTGAATTATCTTTGATGGCCTGATCTCTTCATCCAGGGAGGACACTGCAACGAATGGAGGCCTAAATGAGATCTGTTCCTCACAAACCCCGATACTATCTAGAAGAGCTTCAACAAGAAGTTACATTGAAAACACTTTAAACTAAATAAATCATGCAAAGATATCAATGTGAAAATTATGCATTCTATACAACGAGCCATGCCACGGATGAAGCTTACAAACCTACTTAGTCTCGAAAAGTAAAATTCAGACCAGTGTTCTGAAATAGCATCGGCTGCAATAGTTACCGGGGCTTCAGTCAATCTGGTTTCGTTAATAACAAAGAAATCACAAAAAAGGCGACTTCACTTCAGAGAAAAAGAAAATGTGCAAGCAGATAAATTTTACTGTGGGCAACACATTTGGGACTTTCTTAGTACTGTAGCTTCTAATTTATATTATAAAATTATTTTTCTTAAAAAGATATGTCAAAATCCAGCCCCACGCAATTGCTTTCAATCAAGCACTAATACTTTCCATTTTTACAATAGATTTATGATAGCTGTGTTCCCTACAATAGACCCTAGAGTTTCTAAACATTTCCAGTCGAAACTACTGAAACCAAAATCCGCAGAAAAGCAATAGAAAACTGCTCTTATATATCATTTATCTAATGTAAAGGCATATAAGTCATGCACTGCCCCATATATCTTGCAGATGCTGTAGTTCAAGCTCAAGGACTACTGCTTTAAGACACTGCCCGTTCAAATCAGCAGTCCTGTATACAATTCAATACTAATACCAATGCTGTTTGGGCTTTCACAATATAGGTAAAAGGGTTTCTGACTATCAACACATCAGTAAAATGGCTCCTCGATTAGGTAATAGGCTGCGGAGTTACGCAATTGCAACAATAGTGAACAATGCAGCACGGACACTTTGCTCAAGCTGTACCAAAACTAACTGACTGCACGACTTGCACAAATACGCAATTTCTGGTGGTTTCAGATTGAATCCAGCACCTACTTTTGTCTCTAAGGGTCACAGCATAACCAGCGGATCAGCTAAAACAAAACTGTGCGCAGTGAAACACTCATGAACAGAAAATGTTTTGCAGCCTTTTAAGTTTAATTTCTAATGAAGACCATGAAACTGCAGAATTTAAAATAGCTTCCCCTAGTTGCAGCAACTCCATAAACACATAGGCACAGAGAGAGAGAGAAACACCAAACCTCTTCCCAAAGCATACCATTTTCTTTGCCTAAGCTTTCCAATAGTTCTTCATACTTCTCCTTGGCATCGTCAGTGTCCATTTTGTTGACTGCCAGTATGGCAGGCTTCTCAAGCAATGCTTCCTTGTACAACTCTAATTCCTTTGAGAGAAAATTAAAAGTACTTGCATTCACAAATGGCTATTACACACACATCACTGACAACCTACCAGAGCACTATGAAATTCCCAGTGCCTAATAATAGTTGAGGAAGAACATTCCCTCGAAAGTAAAAGTAATCCAATATGCTAATGGAGACATCAAGGCAACACCAAGGGAGAACATTCCCTCTAAAGTAAAAGTAATCCAATATGCCAACGGAGACATCAAGGCAACACAAGTCTCGGTGCTCACTTCTCGCTGTTGACTTTTCTTCAAAGTTTGCAGCTGAAATTGGCGTTAATTTTGTGTAGTTGAAAACTCTATTTATTGAAGTCTATATTGACCACATTTTGACAAAATTAGAGATATCTATAAGATGAAAGGCAAAAGGAAATATGAAACAAGCCGCACATTTTCATAAAATAATGCTACACTGCACGATAACTTGCAACACAGCTTGCAACCAGAATAGAGGGCTAGAAGAATATCGGCCATTGTTAGAAATCTGTGGCTTAAAAAAAAGCGTGTTTCTTACTAGAGAAGCAGTTTTTAGAGACTCCAGTTTTCTTCACACCAAGTTATCTCAACACTGATTGGTGATTTATCCGAGGCTCCCAGCATACAGGGTTTCTAAAAACAACATCTCTTATATCCCTTACAGCCAAGTTAATCTTCAACTCCAGGACAAATTGACCAATCGTAATCCACTCCCATTCACCTTGCGAATGCTGAACGCTTACCTTGTTCAGGGACATGACGGTCTCAAACGCATTCCTAAATTTTGACCTCTCGTTGAGCTGGAAGCCATTGACGTCCACAATGAACAGGAGCATGGATGTACGCTCAACGTGCCTCAGGAAGTTGTGCCCCAGGCCGAAATTGCGGTGTGCTCCCTCTATGAGGCCAGGCAGGTCAGCCAGAGAAATCTAGAATCGGGCAGGAGTGTGTCGACATCTGGTCGGAGACTACAACAAATACTCAAAGCGAGTGCTCAGATGCATGCACACAAAAGCTAAAAGCTGCAGGTGAATACGTATCTAAAGACAAAAACAGAAGAGGACCAAGTCATGTCCATGAATCTCTTCTATTTGCCAAGTCGTTGGCTCCTAAAACAGTTATTGAGACAAATTTCACTTTCTCTTTTGTCAATGTGACAAGTTATTTTGTCAGGCATATAGCAATGTAGCCTAGGTGGCCCTTCCTGTATTTAATGACCGTGTTGCTGTCGGCAAAGATCTGCTTCCCGCAGTGCGTACGCCATCAACCGTGCTTCATGACTGGCAGCCCTTTTTCCGTAAAATATTAACCAATGGCTTTGTGCTGCCCGTTAGGTATTTAATTGACCAATGGCTCTGTTTCCTTCTCTTTTTATTAGGCTTCCCTCCAAGCTGGCATAGCCAGGCAGTTCATGTCAGCAGTTTATAAAACAAGACATTCCAAAGCAGATTAGATAATAAATGCCAGCAAAAGCTTAAGAAACAGAGCATCAGTGCCAACCCAAACATGTTAGAAGGTCTTGACTATGAAGACAGTGCAAGATTAAAAGATCTAAAAAAATACAAAATCTAATAAAAAAAATGTCATCATCAGCAGAAAAGATAAAATTATATGACTAAATATAGCACAATGATAACCCTAGCAAATTTTCACATTAAATCAAAAACACTAAAAATGCAGACATAGTAGAAACATTATATAATGTTCCATGCCATTTGTGGATAGATAACGCCCAAGTGTCCAAAAACGCTGAACAAGTGTGTTCTTGTTGCAGCGGTAAAAAACGGCTTAATGAAGATTGAACAAGGCGATACAAAAATTGAAAAAGCATTCAAGATATATGGCACATGATACATAAAAAAAGAAAGAGAAATGTGAAATAGCCCAATGTCGTGTCCGCGTGGTGATGACAACTACAGCCCGAATACTTATGAGTTTAATATGACCCAGAAGAGCCTCAGTGCCTAGCTTGCGCCATCGGTAGCTCGCAGTTCCAGAGTGCGCGCTCAGGGATCGCGCGCACAGGGCAATGCCGATCTTCGTCCTTTATGCGCGAGTGGCGCCGCGCTGGACATCACACTCCTTCCCCCTCTAGATGCCGTCGCCATATCTTTGAGGAGGTCGCCTTTGACGTTGAGGTCTAGCGGAACTATTTGATGGAACCAAGTCGGCATTGGGCTGCACTTCTGCTTGAGCCTCTGGGGCACATTGCTGTTCTGCTGGTGACGGTTCCCCAGTCGTCGGAATGGTCCACTGCGCTGGTAAACCTTGTGGGCCATTACTGGTCTTCGCTGTCGAAGATGCTTCTGTGACAAAATGTCTCGGGTGGTCTGTTACCGGGTTCCTTATGTGATCTTCGTGTCGTCGTACTGTGCCTTGGTCTGTTCTGATGATCCAAGAACGAGATCCAAGTCTTCTTATGATTGTTCCTTGGATCCACGACGGTTTGCCTGTAAAGTTCTTAACGAACACCTCTCGGTTAACAGAAAGATTTCTGGGAGACTTGGTTGTTCCTGGTGTATCCTCATCTCTTCCCCTTGCTTGCGGTTGGAGGCGAGTGATCGCCGTTGACAACTCGCGACCCAACATCAGCATGGCTGGAGTCTGTCTCGTCGCGCAACTGATGGTGGTGTGTTGCTTAAAAAGAAACCGAGCGATTCGGCACGATAAGCACCCCGTCTTATCCTTCGACACCGCTTGTTTGGTCTCGTAAACCATCCTTTCAGCTTGTCCGTTGGTCGCCGGATGGTACGGTGCACTCGTGACGTGTCGAATACCGTTATTCTTAAAGAACTGTTCGGTTTCGGCTGATACCAGTGACGTACCGTTGTCGCTGACGATCTTGCGTGGTACTCCGAATGTTGCGAATACATTACGGAGTTCCTGGATGAGTGAGCTGGAAGTGATGGTGTTCATTTGACGAACTTCCAGCCATTTGCTGAAGGCGTCAACTATTATCAGCAACATCTTGCCTTCAACGGGTCCGGCGAAGTCGATATGTAATGTATCCCATGGCGTCGTCGGTCGTTGCCATTCCGGAGAAGGTGCTTTGGGCGGTGCCCGTTGATGCTGTTGGCAATTGCTGCACGTTCTTGCCTTGGCTTCGATGTCTCTGTCTACACCAGGCCACCAAACGTAACCTCGTGCAGCTGCCTTCATGGCCACCATGCCTCGATGACCTGCGTGGAGTAGCTCGAGGACGTGAGCTCTGGCTGCACTGGGAATGACTACCCTCGTGCCTCGCGTCAAGCAACCGTTAAGTGTCGACAGTTCAGTGGCGATAATTTTGTACAGCCCGCACTCGTCCTTGCTCAACTCTCCCAGATTGCCGTGATGTATGGCCTTGTAGACGAGTGCCAAAGTTTTGTCTTGCGCTGTGAGTGCTGCAATGCGTTCTGGGCAAAGTTGAGGAATAGGCGAGCCGGCCAACATCAGTACATCTCCAGGTTGGCAGGGCTCGTCGACACAAGCAGGTAGCGGTAGCCTGCTCAGAGCGTCTGCGTTTTGATGTAATCGTCCCCGTCTGTACTTCAACTCGTAGTCGTATGCACCTAGTTTGATGCACCATCGTGTCATACGCGGGGATAGCACTTGAGGTATTGTTTTCGAGCCTCCAAGTATTCCCAGAAGTGGTTGGTGGTCCGTGTAGATGGTTACCTGTCGTCCAGCGATGTATTCATGGAAGTGACATACTGCATAGACAATGGCCAACCCTTCTTTATCCAGCTGGGAATAGTTTTTCTCTGCTGCTCCTAGCGTCCTCGACGCAAAAGCAATCGGAGCCTCACGTCCCAAGGCGTCTCTCTGAGCAAGCACTGCTCCTACGCCGTAAGGGGACGCGTCGCAGGAAAGAAGCAGGGGCTTGTTTTCGTCATAGTGGGCAAGGACCGTGGATTCCTTGACTAGTTGCTTGAGCTTTCGGAACGCTTCCTTGTGACTGTCCTTCCAGAGCCAAGGAACATTTTTCTGGAGAAGCTTGTACAGGTCTGTTGCGACTGTAGCTCTGTTCTTGAGGAAGCGGTCATAAAATGCCAACAACCCCAGAAAGGCTTGCAGCTCAGGTTTCCCGGTTGGCTCTGGAGCGTCTAGAATCGCTTGCACTTTGTCAGCGGTTGTGTGAACCCCTGAAGCATCTATTTTGTGTCCCAGGAAGGTAGCTTCGCTGACTGCAAACTTGCATTTTTCTTTTTTTAGTCTCAGACCGGTGCTGTCTAATCTGGACAGTACTTGTTCCAAACGCTCAGCATGTTCTTTCTTGCTCGCTCCACTGATGATGATGTCATCTAAATAGACACTTATTCCGTCTATGCCGGCGAGTGTTGTTTCCATCATTCGCTGGAAGATCGCTGGTGCTGCTGAAATTCCGAACGGAAGTCGTGTCACTCGGTACAATCCTTTCATCGTATTGATTGTAAGTACAGCTGCCGTCTCTTCAGTTACCTTTAGTTGCTGGTATGCTTGGCACAAGTCTAGCGTGGAGAAAGTAGTTCCGCCTCTGAGGTTCGAGAGCACTTCTCCTGTTGTTGGTAGCGGATAACTGGCCTTTTTCGATGCGGCGTTTACCGTACTCCTGTAGTCGCCACAGAGTCGGATAGCTCCGCTCTTCTTGCGAACGAGTACAAGCGGCGTAGCCCACTCAGAGTGTTGAACTGGCTCAATTATCCCTTGGTTCTGCAGCTGTTGAAGCTCGTCTGTCACCGCTGATCGTAGCGCGAGAGGAACAGGGCGAGCCTTGCAAAACTTTGGCGGGGCTCCTTCCTCCAGCTCCAAGTGCACTGGAGGTCCCGTGTATCCAGAGATGTCGTCTTGGAATACCTTGGAATGTCGTTGTAGCACTGCCTCCACCTCCGGTGGCGTGGTCTGCTGCTGCATCTGATTGATTCCTTGAACTCGGATGTTGAGCGCGTCGAACCAATCTCTACCCAAAAGGCTGCAGCCGGCCCCTTTCATTACCAGAAGCGGCAGTAGGTAATCCTTGGACTTGAAGCGTACTCGAACTTGAAGCGATCCCAGAAGTTTCAGGCCTTCGCCACTCCAAGTGTAGAGCTCCAAGTCGTTCTTCGTGAGCTTTGGTGGGTTCTTGGGCCAGGTTGAGCGAAATGTGTCTTCGCTTATCAACGAACAAGCGGCTCCAGAATCGACCTCGAACTGAAGTGGTTTACCTTCAATCCGAAGGGAAACATAAAATTTCGGGAAGCACCTTCGCGTGGTCAGCTGGTTCAGCTCATGACATGTACATCTAGAAGAACACGCTGGCTGGCTCACCACTTCAGTCGCTGCTTCAACGTTGTAGTTAGCTTTCTTGTAGCCTGTTTTACCTTGTTGTTTTTTCTTTGCAATGCATGCCTTTTCAATGTGTCCTTCCTTTTTGCAGTAGTGACACTCGGTAGTCTTGAATCGGCAGGCCTGTGGGTCGTGTTGACCTGTGCAACGATAACACGGACGTCCCTTGTATGAAGCGGACTTGTTGCATGCATCCGTTGTCTTGTTGACCTGGAGATCCTCCTTGTTTTTTATACTCTGTTGTTGTTTCGAGGCACTCTCAGCACGGACGGCGATGTCTAAGGCGCTTGCGAACGTTAAGTTCTTTTCTGCGAACAGACGTTGTTGCAGAAGTTCGTCACGGATGCCGCAGACAAACCTGTCGCGCAGCATCACGTCCAGTGGCAGTTTAGTGTCCCATTGTGGAGTTGCCGGTTGTGCAGCCGTAGCCACTGCATCGGGTGCTGCTTGTGACGCCGGTTGCTGCGACGCCGGTTGCCGTGCCGTTGTCGATGCCACAAGCGTAGTTGCGGAAGCTAAGATGCCGAAATTGCAGTCTCCAGCCAGCATTTTGAGTGCCGCAACGTAGCTGTTTATGGACTCGTCCGGTAGTTGGTCTCGCCTCTGGAAGTTGTACCGGCTATAGAGCTCCGAAGGTTTTGGATCGAAGTGCGCGCCGAGGATCGTCACGAGTTCTTCGAACTCGACATCCCCGGGTCCTCTGGGTGCTACCAACGCTCGTACGATGTCATATGTTTCTGGACCGCACAGCGTAAGTAGGACAGCTCGCTTCCTGTCCACGGCGCTGATGTTATTCGCCACGAAGTAGAATCCGAGGCGCTCAATCCAGGATGCCCATGACTTGCCTGAGAAGGCTTCCATTTTGCCTGACTTAGACATGGCTCGAGGTCTGAGGTTCCAGGCGTCGTAGGTCCTTGATTACTCGTCGCCAGTGTCGTGTCCGCGTGGTGATGACAACTACAGCCCGAATACTTATGAGTTTAATATGACCCAGAAGAGCCTCAGTGCCTAGCTTGCGCCATCGGTAGCTCGCAGTTCCAGAGTGCGCGCTCAGGGATCGCGCGCACAGGGCAATGCCGATCTTCGTCCTTTATGCGCGAGTGGCGCCGCGCTGGACATCACACCCAAGAAATGAAGTCTTTGTAGGTCAACCCTCGTTTGAGTAAACATATTATGTTACTATTTATTTAGCAAACCTAATAAACCCATTAGAGGCTTTACATCTCGTTTAATCCACAAAATAATGGCACATCCATATTACTTTGTCATCTTCAATAGAGGTAAGCACTCTTCTGGCCATACCTTTGTAAATCACTATTGTGTGCTGCACATTAAAGACACTTGGAGAGAAACAACGCAACACTTTCTAGAGCGTTGATAACCGCAATAGAAACAAAGCCAGCTGTCTATCAACAGCAGTGCAGAAAATGCCTGGTTTAACTGCTGACAAGAGCAGAAGTCATCCCCCAATAAGAGGGCAAATCGAGATAAAACGGTGCCTAACCTGTCTGTGATCCTCATATTCCATGATCCCAATGTTTGGCCGTATTGTTGTAACTGAGGACAAAGAAACGTAAAAAGTGCATGTAAGACATTTGATATTAAAGAAAAATAAAAGCTGAATAAAGAAGTGGGGAGATTGCTAACTCGACAATTCCCAGCTAACTGGACACAAAATGATCAACTGCGGAACAAAACTGGTCCCATCTTTCTACAGAACTCAAAGCGGTTAATCTTGAAACAATTCAAATTGTGAACAAGGTGCTTTCAAGACTGCAATAGCCAAAATAAAAGGTAGAACAAACAACAAAAAAAAAAAGATAGGGCAGATGGGCAGAATTAATTTCCGTTTGAGTGTCTGTCCATTTTGTTTCCTTCCTGCGATATTATTCTAGATGGTTGAAACTTGCACCATCTCCCGCATTTCCTAATACAATTGTAGTTCAGGCAAAGTGCATTCACAATCACTCGCATCCTTGTGTTCCCAATGCTGCATGCCATTTTTGGCATAATATGAAGCACGCCTTAGGGAAGTCAATGGACGCCCCTTGCCTAAGCCAGAGTGAAAGAATTGAAGGAGTGGGTCACCTACAGGGGTAGTTGGCCACCTTAGGGACTGCCCTTGACAGCGCCCTCAGCAGCGTTGATTTGCCCGCATTAGGAAACCTACGCATAACAATGAGAAAGAATAATGGTGACAATCTCAGAATAGCATTCACCCGGTCTCAGGGATGGGCAGTATTTCAAATACAAGTATTTGAAGTATGTATTTCAAATACTTTGTGTATTTTGCATTTGTATTTAAATACAAATTGGGTAATGTATTTGACATGTGTATTTAAATACTAAAACGTGGGTATTTCAAATACAATTGTAATTAAATACAATTTTGTGGGCGAAAATACATCCCTCAAATTTATTGTCACGACTCATTTTGCTTATTCTAAGACGTGTCCAGAGCAGGAAGAAAACTATGTTGTGCACCGAATGCAGTGTCTCTCAATCAAGCACAAGCGTTTAGTGACTTTGTGATTACGGTGCTAGTTTAGGGCAAGAATAGTGACGAAATCGACGTTCACAGGCAGACTGGCTAAATAAGTGCCTGTGACAACTTGTGATGCTTTCCAGCCTGATTTCCATCCATATTTTTGCCTGGAACATTCTAAATGCGCGGGTCGTCCAGATTTTCGTAACTGGTGCGAGTTGCAACAATAAAACATTCTCTGGCTAGTGCTGCACATCTTGGTCGTCTCGGTTCTTCGTTGGTCTATACCAAAATGCAGACATGTACAAATTACTCAAAAAAGGTAGTTAAGTTACCGAGTATCGACGCCAAAAGTAGTTGAAGTAGAGTAGAAATTACGCATTTGTAATAGTAATTGAGTAAACTACTAACTACTGTAAAAAAGTAGCAAATTACTTTGAAGTTACTTTCGAAGTTACTTTTTATGTTCTTGTGGCAGCAAAATGAGCAGAATTTTGATCAGTGAAAAACCATGCGAGCCGGAAATAAATGCAGTCATTTTATGACTTCCAAAATAGTTTATTCACTCGCCGAAGCAATTGTCTTTCAAAGTTGTTATCGGAGAGTTTTTCTCTTTTCCTTCTAATGACGTCCTCGGTCAAGCTAAAAAAACGTTCCACCGTGGCGCTGCATGCAAAGACAGCGTTCAATTTCAGAAGCAGGCTGTGCAGGGTCGGGTAAGCGGGTGTCGGCATCTTTGGTGTCTATGACGAAACATGTGAGGCTTGCCCCGGCTAGAGGGTCTTTTATAACAAACTCTCCTTTTTTTTCCTTTTTTTCTTCGAAAAGTTGAGATTGTTATGACTGGCCCCTCTTTATTTTCATGACGTTCGGACATTTCACCGAGCGAGTGCACCTGACCGTCAAGGGATCAAGTCTCGCGCCACGACGATGAGATCATCCGGATGACTGCGCGTCTCGTTGCAATGTTATAGCTACGCCACTTAAAAAAAAATTGTTTGTTGACGTTGGGTGCAACAAAAGGATCTCCCAAGGATGACTCGAAATCCTCGCCGGCCACTACGGTATCCTGACGCGCCTGACAAGTAAAACATTTTCAACAAAGAGGAGGTCTCCCTGGCGTGGAAGGTCGGAAGGACGCGAAGGATTACGTGAACAAGCATTGGCGCTCGTACAGTAGCAGCTGGAAGCGGGAACGTGCTCCCATGAACGGATTATCCGTGTCTGCGTTTGCGCGCGGGGGAGTCCGGCTTTGCAAGGGAGTATGCGCTGACAACAAGGCGACCATGAGAACAGGCACCCAGCTGCGAGGTCATCCCAGTGGCGCCTACCGTGGAACCTACCACTTGAGTCAGAACTCACTAAAGGCACACCATGAAAACAACAACCCTCAGAGTGTCCCCGCCTTTCACGTTTGCAGCTGGAAACGCGGCGCTTGCGTGCATTACCGGATTAGGTCAACACCCGACCAAGGCTTGTCAAGCACCTCTGACTGCGTTCGTGCGCGCCGGTGTTATGTTTTGGCTGCTCGTCGTCGCCACCTTGGCCCAAGGACGCCCGTGATGCAGTTTCTAGGGCTGCCGAGTGTAAGTGCGTGGGAATGGAATGTGAGGGAGCCCCTTGTTCGCGAATACCACTTAGTCTGCCAGCGTCTTGTTTATTTCTGCACTCAAACTTTTGTGATGAAAAAAAAAATAGGAATAAATTTCGAAAGTAGTTAGTAATTTGAGTAGAAGTTACCTGAAAAACGTAGTTAAATTAAACTACTAATTACCCAAATAAATAAAGTTGTAATTGAAAGTTACCAAGTTACTCGGAAAAGTAGTTAAACTACAGTAGTTTGAGTAGAGTAATTGAACTACGTCCAAGTCTGCCAAAATGTAATCGACAAAAAAAGCTGCTTGAAGCTCTGTACTTTTTTCACATATTACGTCCAAACTGATTACATTTTTTTTTTTTTTTTTGTGATTATATTTTTATTACGTTACTAGAGCCTCGCACACTAACTCCCGAGTGTGCGATGCAAAATTAAAATGAGACACCCAGAAACTCGTTGCAGGTGCCCTGAAGTCGCTGACGCAAATTCTGAGGAATGTATTTGGAAAAGTATTTGGAGGAGACCACATACATTTGGTTGTATTTGTATCTTGTACTTAAATGCTTTTTTGGAAATGTAATTAGATTTGTAATTAAATACATTTTTGGCGAAGTATTTTGTATTTGTGTTTAAATACATATTTGCATGTATTTTGCCCATCCCTGCCCGGTCTGAACATCCATCATTCCATGAATGAGCCAGAAAACGAAAAGACACTGAAAGCTAAAAGGTTTGGTTGTTTTCAAAGAATGAAAAGTTCTTGTTGTAAACCATTTATGAACAACACTCCTACTTGGACACTTCGAAAGTTGGACAGTTGATCAAGGTTTGGGTGCAGCGCATGCCCCATTAATCCCACAGAAAATGTGAACCCCATAAAAGGAAACTACAAGTAGTATCTAAAAGGAACTGCAAAAGCCTTATGCTGCATATAAACTGTGAAGCTTCCACTGAAGGCTACTACCTAAGTGCTTTAGACATAAGTACTAGGACAGAAACTTCTTTAGAGACTGTGTTATGGCTGTCCCGCTTTTTTCCTACCTTTATCTCATGGTTAAGTTGTTACTGAGGGAGAGCTAACGTACCGGGGGCAGAAATTTTAGGAATCACAGTCAGAATGTCTACATATTATAATTGCGGAGGAAAAATCCCCGACCTTTCCCCAGTAGTATCCTGAAAAATTTTGAAGGAAACAAGTGTCCAGAACATGAAGCAGCAAGCCAACTCACCCTACAAATCCAACATCTGCAATCAGCTTTAGGTGGAGGGTGATGACATCTGTCTGTCCCTTGGTTCCATGGAAGTCAGTTGCAGGGTTGCCACCCTTCCCACCCTTGACCGCCAGCACCTTGTCTCCAGGCTTTATTAGATCCCCTAAAACAGCAATGGCATGACTGTCTCTTCAGTCTATTCACAAAGCCCAGTAGAAATTAATCATAGTAGTAATCTTTACTAATCATGATCAACAATACAAAATGTCAGGTCTGCCAAAGCCAGAGTAAGGCTTGTGTGGTGTGACCTGGCGGTAAAAGCACATTCTTCACAACAACAAATACAACGATCAATAACTGGCGCTCCAATTTTTTAATGCTTATTTCTGTCCTTAAACAATCTTTTCACAATTTTGTTCTTTAAGTGACGACTTGATTTAGAAATATAGAATACGGTAACACGTTAAATATTCTCAACCATTAAATGCCCTAATGCTTTCTCCATTGGCAAGGAGATTGAACTATAGGGGGCGCTCTGACCCGTTTGTTGTCCCCACACCTCGGTGTTTACCCAACACAAGGCCTGTGCACATGCCCACAGGCTTTGTGGGCATGTTCATGTCATATTCTTCAATAGAGTGCCGGGCGCAGTGTAATGTAAAAATACTAACAATAAACGAAGTGACGTTAAGTGCCGGATCTCTCCCGAATGCAGCCATTAGAGAATGCGAGCTTGACTCACTTCCGCTCTTGTGCTGAGCTGGGCGCCGAGCATGCTGCATTGTTCGTGCAGACCGGAGTGGTAACAAAAGAGCCCCCCCTCCCCCTCAGGCGACCGGAGAACACGAACTCCAGCCAAACGCTGACACCGTGCTCGGTTAAGTCAGCCGAGCGCTGAGTCATTGTATTTGTTGTCCCCATCCATGTAGTTCTAAAGTTAACCGCTTGGGGCGCCACGGTCTGATCTCCTCTTTAATAGCGACTATACATTCATGGAACTTCACAGCGAGTCTTACACCTTGATGTATATGTGGTGAAATTCTTTGAATTGTGAAATCACTGTACCAAAAGTGGTGCTGAACTACAGTTTGTAGAAAGAGTGAATAAAAACAAGCTAGCTGAAGCGAGGAGAACAGGTTGTCCCTAGATCACATTGATATAATTGTAGGACACACTTCTCAACATCCCCCTCAAAACACTATCCATTCGAGCGTGCCATTGCAACGAACAATTAAAAAATAAAGTAATGCCTTAAGAGGTACACAGAGAGATGCAGAGCAGATCTCTCCGTGTGCCTCTTTTGTTCTGTAGGACCTCTGGCAGAACCCTAAAATACTACAGGTCGTATGAAGCAGCCCATTTGAAGCGTGTCAAGGGTGACTGCATTATTATGCTCCGTTTCATGATAACTTAGCTGACCGTGGAGGTTATGGCCCCCGCGACCCAATTAGAGTGTCGGAGCGAGGCACGTGACACCATGTCACGGGTGCGTGCGTGTCATTGCGCCAAATGCAAGGCCGGAAGAAATTGGCTGCCATCTGCTGGCTAAGAATTGTCTGCTGCGAAACCAGCCAACTTCGAATGAACGTCCACCGCCATAATAATGCAGTCCACTAGAGTAGCAAGCCCTCCGGGAACAATTCATTAAACAACCATACACTCAATTTACCCCCAAATCTGTGGCGGGTGCTAATGTCAGGGCGATGTTTTGAGAGGAAGCGGTCGATTACATGGCTGCGATTGCCAACGGCCACGGCGCTACAAGGAGAAAAAAATCGGGAGTGAATACGGATGTGACGTTCCTTTTTGGTTTAAATATAGTAATTGAAATTTATAAATTCGTAAATATTTATTCCTTACCTTTATATCTTCTTCTCGATAAAGATGAAATTGCGCGAGTTTGATTATCGGTAAAAGTAAAAGGAGCATGGACCTCCTTTTATCGCGGAGGGTACCGTAGCTGTGACGGTAACGAGGCCTCTGTGGCCTCGACCATGGAGTGTCATCACGTGCCTTACTCCGACGCTCTTGCTGGGTCACGGGGGTTGTAGACTCCGCAGTTTGCCAAGTTATCGTGCAACGGAGTATAGCCCTCAATAAGCACATAGAGCAGAGATCTCTGCCCTAATATTTGAACAAACAACAGTTGTCTACATGAACCCATTCAAAATCACAAGGCAATTTTTTTTACCTCTGTATGTTTTTATTTGGGAGTTTTCAAAATTGTCCTCTTTACTGTCTTCTCTGGTTACTTTCACACTTCTGACTGCTTGAGCTCATATAAAATCTGCAACTTGCAACATCTCTCCTCACCAGTTTGTCATAGTAACTGAGTGGCAACATGTAAAAAAATATGTAGAGAATATCATTGACAAGTCAAGGTTTGCGCGTCGAGCAAAGAACTTTTTGATAAAGAAATATACGATACACTTCCGTAATCACGAGACACTGTAAAGGTCCGATATTGACCCGAATGTAATATGAGGGCCAGCATCGCAGCACTCAAGAAAGTTTGACAGAGATAATATGAAGAATCATTGCTCGAAACCTTTAATTGCCAAGCTTTGCCTATGCCTCATCTTGCTGTCGCTCTTCTGCCAGTTCCCTGTTAGCTCAATCACTCTACGCCACCGCCTGTCCCGAAGAAAGCAGTGATGCACACAAACTGTTACGCTCCCATCTGTGTTCAGAAATGTCCTCCTTGACATTCTTTACATATAGCTTTTACTCTTTCCTCGGGAACCTAACAATACAAAATGCTTGTCCTGGTTATAATGAGGACTAGCCTTCAGCACACGGGGTGCCAAAAGAAACTTTTATATGCCACATTCAGGATTTTAGTATGCACTATAGAAGTAGGAAGCGAAACAGCTACAGTAATAGCTGTCAGGTAAGTGTAGATATCTGACTGTTAAATGTAGCCAGTCAATTTATGAATGAAACTCCCAACTTTAATTTAAATCCAGCTTGTCATGAAGCTAGTACAAACAATGTGTACCACTAAGCATTGAATGTGTGGAAGAGTGGGTGATGGACCACATACTTAACAAGTTTTAGTGACTATTGCCCTAAATAGACTTCATCACTCCTAGGTTTTGCTGTCACAGATACTCCCTTTGCCAGGCACTCTGCAAATGCTAGTAAAGTATTCGTACAGCGTGACGCTGCTTGCAGAAGACAATGAGAGAGATGGGTAGCTCACCGATGAGATGTCCAAAGCCATTGAAGACGGACACCCCCACTGGTACATTCACCACCACATTATGGCCGTCAGGTCCCAGGATCTGGGTCGACCTGGAGATGGCACCCAAAAATTGTAAAGGAGACTGACGTACTTGGGTAAAGCTAATCGTGGAACTCCTAGTAGAAGCAAAAAGTTGCTCTGATTAAAATGACTGGAGAAACCTGTCAATGACTAGGACCTGCGATACATTTGCCTCCCCAGATGCCGACATGCAGGGTGGAGAATAAAAATTAAGATGATTTAAATTGTGATTAATCATGCATGTTTTACTATGATGATTTAAACCAAAGCTTTCCCAAGCACATAATCTAGAAAATATTTTTTTAAATTTATTGTTCGGTATCATTTCATGCTTTTTGTGGGTACTTGCTTGGTATTTATATTAAATCAACTTATTTGGTTCGTGATTCGTTACTCTGGCTGACCGTAACATATATTCATAGTGCATTTGTTTGTGATTTTGCACTGCTGAACTGTCAGGGTGCAGAGGCCTGTCGGGTACTTTGCCTTTATCTCAACCCTATGCGTAAAAAATCCACAGAACAAATAAAAAAAAGAGAATCATTGAGCAAGAAATATTTATTTCTACTGAACATAAGCAAAAGGCGATGAATTTTTGAGCAAATAAAAACATTGTTTTACTGCTTTTTTCTACCTTCCACTGTGTTGGTCAGTTCATAATGCCCTTTTGCAAGCAAATTATAATGAAAAATAAAAAGTAAATCATCCTTCTGTTCTAGCATGGCAGGGCTACAATAGAGAGCACTTAATTAGACTGTTCTTTAAATTTACACTAATTCTTTCTTCCATACTGTCTTCAGTGACACAGTGATTCTAGAAAAAGTAATTAAAAAAAATAATGTTTTTTTTCATAGCTTGGCGACGTGAAGCGACATTTTCCCGAGCACAGTTCTATAATTGAGTTGCAATAGACAGATTGGGTGCAACAATGTTCATGTCATCACCAATACAGATTTAATGGGACATCACAAAATATGCAAGGTCAATGTAAAAAAATAGAGTAGAAAGAGTATGTGCATGTTTGCCAGTGTGCAGACCTGTTCTGAACCATGTAAACAGAAAACAGGGTAAAACCTGAGAGGGCTTTGTGAGACCACCTCCTTATTTGGGACAAGCTCAGAGAAAGCATTGCTGGAACTAAAACACAAACCGAGTAGCCAAGCCCAGACTTGACAGTGCTTTTTATTATGCTGCCTAAAATAGGACGCCGTTTAAAGCATGTCGGCCCTGATGTGCGTCCACATCTCAGTGTTAGCGATTATGCCGCTGGCCAACATTTGGCCGCTGAAAATACTGTACCGTGTTCGACCACCATAAAAGTGTGTCCCAGTGAAAATCAATAAGATACTGTGTCAATGTTGCCTTTACCCACTCCAGACATCAACCCATTTCATTTCAAGTTTGTTATTTAAAGAGGCCCTGCAATCATATTTAAGCATCTGCCTTTTTTGCGGTTTCCAGATCTCTTGGGGTTCGAGCAAGCCAGCGGCCACGGAGAAAGTCATTAAATAGCAGTGTGTCATATTTTAACAGGACAACGCGGAAACCTCCTCCACCCACAGGGGCGACCCGCGGTGCCGAAAGCGCGCGATATGTGAAGTCTTTGGTCCTGGGCTTACTTCTGGTCAGTCACTAAAAGCTTCTTTTTAGTCGAAATACAATATATAAGTGGTGCAAACCATCTCAATTATCTATGAAAGTGTTTTTGTTCAGTATTTTAGATCAGAAAAGAAACAAATTCAGTTTATAAAGTATGGAAAGAAGAAATGACCCGTCGACATACCCGCCACTAAGCGGTGGAAAAGGCGGCACATACTAGAAAGGGGTAGTGGGATGAAGCACCGAAGAGCGGTGAGCGTAGAAATGTACCGGATGTATGCGGCAGCGCTGCAGTCATATACGGGCTCGAGGGTTCGACCGGTTCCAAGCGTCCCGAAGGCCTTCGGCGAGCATGTTTGGCTTGCAGCTTGGCCGTTTGGAGGTATGGAAGCGCGAAGCGGCTCTTGTTCTGAACTGATCTTTACCCTGTGTTTCCTGTCGTTTGTGGCCAATGAAGTGTCATGCCGAATTAGTGTTTAATCGCGCAGAAAATGCAATGTGAGCCGCCTTGGCTGCCCGCTTCATACAGCCTATCCAGAACATGCTTTAGTGGCACACTCTCAAGCCGTTGACACGGAGTGCGGCAGTCGTGAGCACTCGCTGAGCTTACTACCCCTCCTCTAGTTCATGGCCACTCAAGCGACCAAGGACGTCATGAAGGAGGTTATTTTTTGCTTGTTTTTGTAATTTTAATTTGCCAATATCGTTTAAAATAAAGCGAAATTCGAGAAAAGAGAAGTTTCATTAAGTTACTACGTTCAGTGTGCTCAGGTTTGATGCAAATTAAAAACCAGTAAAAAAGTCCTTGCAGGGCTCCCTTGAGAAATGACCTCACGTACCGTATTTTCCAGTGAAACGGTCCCAGCTGGTTTTTTCCTTAAATTTTCATCGCTGCATCTTGTACAGCAGTGTGACTTACATGTGTTTTTTTTCTTTATAAGTATGGACCTTAACCGTGCAAGATCTAAACCACATCGACATTCACTACAGAGGAGGAAAAGCACAGCACCCGCCGATGGCCTGCTCTTCTAACAGTATGTTAGCACGCCTATACTCCGTCTCACCTAACGTCAAGCCAGAGCGGACGCTACGAGCCATCCCAGCCAGTTCAGCTCTGTGAATGTAGCACGTGACCACGCTTTCCGCGCATCACGGCACTTTTTTTTGAAGGTCACAGGAAACTTACACAGCCTTGGATTGGCTCCGATGGCTCGTAGCATCCACCGTAGCTGGACGGAGAATAGATCCGTTGGCTGTAGTCTTCGAGTGCTGCGGATAGCCCTTCCGTCATAATCCGCGCCCAGCAATATGGTAAATACCTGCAAAGATGATGGCTGGCACATTGAAACAAATTTGCTGTGGGAGGGGCTGTATTACGCGCTCGATTTTGTTGGCAAAAACATCCAAAATGACTTCTTCTTCTGCATATATCACAATCACGAAACACATGTGCTGGCTTATCATAGAAGTTTCACTGCGACGACCATACAAAAAAGCGTAACTTATGTACCAACTTTTTTGCAAAAAGGGTTGCTTATAGACCAGTAATCTCGAACTCACTTAAGTGTGGGGGCCAGAAAGCCCACCTTCGAAAGGATCAGGGCCAAGGATGGGGGGGGGGGCAAAAGAGAGGCAATTTTTTGCTATTTTGGGACAAAAGTGTAAACAAACAAACACTAGTGGTGTTTCACGTTGCAAAGCCTGCAACATCAAACATCACAACTGTTTGTTTGTTTATACTTCTCAACACCCCAAAACTTTTCTAAACAAGGAAGCTTGTGCTGTCTGCTTTTTGTAAGCTCGTGGTATTGCCGTCTTCAGCTATCATTTGCATGATTGACTACTTTGGGCCCCCACATGATGTTATAAAAAGATTTTAAACACCACCACACCACAGCACTGGCAGTTTTTAACAGAATGAAAGCAAGCACACCATTGTTGCCTTGTTAAGCAATTCACTAGGCTCAACAGGTATATACAAATCTCTCTTCATAAGCCTGTGTCCACTTTCCTACTTAATTTTATAGCAGCATTAAAACAATCTTTTTTCTTTTTCTTTAAGCTTTTGTTTGGCAGTTAGAAGCTCGAGCTCATAGCTTTATTTTTAGTAGTTTCTTCTGATTAAGAGTTTGTGCAGCCAGGGTGCCTCCTTGAGCGAAGAGCTCCCGCTTGTAGTCTAGTAGTGGTATTGCCATTCCAGTTAATTTAGACAAGAAAATAATGAGAAGCCAATATTCAGACAAAGCAATACTCCGTCCAAAAGATAAGCAGATTAGTGCAAAATGTGTGACAACGTTACAGAAGCAGAGTTTCTATTTGAGTGGAAATTAATTGATGATATAAAACAAATAATCATGGCGCATATGGCACTTGAGGCATATGAACGGGAACTCACAGCTGCGGGGCGCTTGCGAGCCATTTCCCAAAGCACCGCGGGCCGCGTGTTTAAGACCCCTGTTATAGACCAACACGCTGTTTACAAACAAGTCCACATTTGCCTACAGCCCAGCCCACACCAGGTGTGGGCACTGCACATATGCAGATTCGTGTGAGAGAGGAAGTGTCTGTGCATCCGCAGTGCCCACAGCAGTGCCACCGCAGCTGCACGACGTCACAGCCACGCATTGGTCTATAGAGGAGTGCAGCTTAAAGGGGCCCTGCAATGACTTTTTGACTGTTTTTTTATTTGCACTGAACCTGAGCGTACTGAACGTAGTAACTTAATCCAACTTTTCTTTTCTCAAATTTCGCTTTATTTTAAAAGTTATAGGCAAATTAGAATTACAAAAACAAGCAAAAAATAACCTCCTTCATGACGTCGTAGGTCCTGGCTTGAGTGGCCTTGAACTAGAGGAGGAGTAGTGAGCTCATCGAGCGCACAGGGCTGCCGCACTCCGTGTCGACGGCTCAAGAGGGCGCCACTAAAGCACGTGTTGGATAGGCTGTATGAAGCGGGCGGCCAGGGCAGCTCGCATTGCATTTGCAGAGCGACTAAACACTAATTTGGCATAACATTTCATTGGCCACAAACGACAGCAAACACGGAGTAAAGATCAGTTCAGAACGGGAGCCACTTCGCGCTGACGCACCGCCAAATGACCAAATCGCCAGCAGGGCCCGCGCCGAAGGCCTTCGGAACGCTCGGAACCGGTCGGATTCTTGAGCCGGTATACGACCACAGCGCCGCCGCGTACATCCGGGACCTTTCTACACTCCTCGTTTGTCGTAGCCTCATCCCACTAGCCTTTTCTAGTATGCGCCGTTTTTTTCCGCCGCTTGGTGGCAGGTATGTCGACGGGTCATTTCTCGTTTCCGTACTTTCTAAACTGCATTTGTTTCTTTTCTGATCTAAAATAGTGAACAAAAACTACTTTCATACATAATTGAAACGGTTCGCGACACCTCTATTTTGTATCTCGACTACAAAGAAGCTCTCAGCGGCTTTGACCAGTGGCAAGCCCAGGACCAAAGACGTCACATTTTGCGCGCTTTCGGTACCGCAGGTTGCCCTCGTCAGTGGAGGAGGTTTCCGCGTCGTCCGGTTAAAATATGACGCACTGATATTTAGTTACTCTCTCCGTGCCCGCTGGCTTGCTTCAACCCCAAGAGACGTGGAAACCGCAAAAAAGGTAGACGCTTAAGGGGGGACACTACCCAGAAAAAACAATTTCTGCAAAAAAAAGTTGATTTTGAAAAATGTCATATTTACATCCACTAACATCTAAAGAGTGTTCCCAGAAAGTTTCATTAGTTTACACTGCATAGTTAATTTTTTATAAATTATTTTCGGTCCTCCAATGCTAAAGAAAAGGCAGGGGTTGGAGCACTTTGAATGCAATTTTCTCCATTCCACTTTTTGGCATAAATTTCACTTTAGGAAAACTATCCTTTTGTTATTATGCAACTTGGATTCATTTTTATGAGTTTTTCTGGGGTGAAATTTTAAGGGGAACATAACTATGAGCTTGTATTTTTTATTTTTGTCATTTTTCATGCTCAAGAACTAAAATTTTGGACAAAGGATGGAAATCTAAAAAAACTGTATTTGTGTTTATGTGGCTTTTTTGTCATGAAAGATGGTATAACATAGAAATATAGCTCCATAGTTATCTGTTCTGAACTGTCCTAATGCAATGTAACACATGAAAACGACAAATTTATAAGTAATTTCAAAACGATAGTTTTCCTACGCAGACACGCCCACTTTCGTCTTTGAACGTTTGCAATTTTTTTTGTACTTCACCCAGGTTAACAAAAATTGGCAGAAATGTTCTCAACATCAACAGAAACAAGCCCTGTAAATATAATTTAAATCAGACAAGTGGTTCAAAAATTTACTTTTTTGGGTAGTGTATATCTTTTTGACGAGTCTAGTGTCACAAAACTAAGTTTCAGAAAACAGATGCACCGTTTGAACGAAGCGAGAAACGATGCATGCATCCAAAAAACGATCATCGCACTGCTCGCTCTTAGCGCGAGATTTTGCTGAAATTTCATTAAGGCCTGTCAATCACCCGAAGCAGAAACGCGGACGCTGCCAATGGCCACCCGCCAATGCAGCAACATCTTTTCTTTGAGGCACAGCGAGCTTCCGAAGAAGCTCCGTTTTTGGGCGATCCCGTACCCAAGCCAAAGTCAGAAAAAGAGAACAAACATGGTAGTGAGCGACAAGCAAAGAAGCAGTGCGTACGGGCACTACGTGTTGGCAGTACAAGATGTTGGGGGGACGGTGGTGGTGGTGGCGGGCGAGAGCAATTTTCCGCCCCCTCCCCCATATTATTTCTATTATTTTACAGCAGCAGCTGTACTGGGCTTGTTGTATGGGCAAGTGTCAGGTTTGCAAAAACGAAATGCAAGTTTATCGCAAGTGACTTTGGCGCTTGGAAAGGGCAAGTACAGCAGTGATACCCTCGCCCTTTCGCTAACTATAGTAGCGGTTGAGGTGCAGCGCGTTGGGCCAATTGCGATTGCATTGGAAGTAATGTGATCGCCCCCCTCTCCATTTGCTCTTTTCTGCCTTCGGTCGCCCATTTCCTAGGCACTTTAAGCCTTTGCATGCAAGGGCGGGGTGGCCGAAGCATACGCCGAAGCGAGCAGCGGCTGCTCCACGGTGTGAACGTGCCTGTGAGGGAGAATTTGTCGATATGTAGGAGTCAACAGTCTCACCTTGGATGTTAGGGTTGAAGGCATTCGACGTCAAGATCATGCTTTGCATGAATGTGAAGTAGCCATAGAAGATATTGCTACCGAGCAAAGGATGGATGCACTGGTGCGACCGAGCAATTTCTGCAGCGTGTCCGTGAAAATGCGTTTGGTGCTAGATGTTCTATGTGTAATCGATTGCGGTCTACGCTAGACCTGCTGTCTTTGCCGGTGGCTTGCCATGAGGTCCTTCAGTTGTCGTACCCGGACAGTGACCTGATTACTTTCAGGGAGTGTGCTACGTGCCTATGCAATGTCCGTGTGTAGGCGCAGGAAACACATAGCACATATGTAGCAATAACAGCACAACGCAAACAAAATGTTAAAAAAATAAATGTTACATTATTGCAAAACGCAACAGCTCCGAAATTTTCACTCAATCACGAAGCAATATCATTGACATGTCACACCAGCTGATACTGTCCATTCGCATCAAATCACGTAATCGTCCGCACAATTTTTTTTCTTTTAATATCTGAAGAAAAAATTGCATGTTTGGCCCCCGTTCTGACGCCACTGCAAGCACTGCATATAAACATGATGACTGGGGATAACTAATCTTTTAGCGGTGCAAACATATCTGAAATCCTTCGAGATCATCTGCCTGTTCCTTGTTCGAAATCTTTCCCCGGTTTGGCAGGCCAAGTGAGCCAAATCAAACTAAGTTTATCGAGTGATATTAATAAAGCAGACTGTCTCTTATCACAGTGCATACTTCATATCATTTGCTCCAAAATACTTGATAAACTTGGTGCAGACGAGGTTTGGCAAAAATACTTGCGAGTCAATGCGTCAGAGTTTTCGTGCATCAACTTCGATGTGTGAATAGCGATTGCGCGAAATCTCGGTTTCACAAAACTGTTGCGCATTGAAGAAATGAACCATGTGAAATGAACTTTTACCTACGGCTGCAACGTATAGACAGAAAAATATGCCACTCTGTCCCAGAAGACAACAGTGTAAGCTGATACCCCACTAAGCCACTCCCAACGACATGCACAGCTTCTGTACATTACCCAGTGGAGCAGAGGCTAGCAACGACAAGGAGGAAAAAACGACTAAAGTGGGACATGATCAGAGGACGTCAACGACTACTCGCTTGCTGTTCCCTCCATGACCGGCCTTGATCGTCTTGTCTGGGTACTTGGTGATGATGTCCTTGAGCTCTACTTTGTCCTTGGCCTGCACGTAGATGCTGCCCCCTTCCCCGCCCACACCACCGAACCGGGGAAGTCCAGTGCCGCCGTTGCCACCCCGAACGTTCAGCCGCAGCTTGTCCAAGAACCGTTTTGTGCTGCTTATCTGAAAGAGCCCGACATCTGACTTTACTGAGTCCCTTCTGTTTAGTGGTGGTTAAACATTTTTTATTGATGAAAGGTTTATGTCAAGGACTCTTGATAAATACCATCTAGCCTTGATGGGGATAGGGAAATGGGTGGTTTACAAACTCGTGCCATCTATGGGGTGGGGTGATCCTGGTACACTTCCTATATGCATATATTCCATGCATATTTTTTTCCACACTGTAACTGAAATAATTTTGGCAACGTTATAAGCGACTATGTTACAGGGGCAGCTGTAGCTTTGGTTGCACTAGTGATCGCAAAATTAAATTACTTACCATGCATAAAAATCTAATTCAAGGTGAGCTTTTCTATGGGGCTGTCAAGACGAGTGTGCTTGTCTTCGGATACGCCAAAAAGTGGGTGCGCTATTCTCCGGGATTCCTTGGATTAACTTACAGTAACTAACACAGAATACCGGTAATTCAGCCACAAATTGGACACTGACGTCGGCATGCCTGACATCAATGTGTTCTAAAAAGAAAAAAAAAAAGAGTTTGCGCTATTTTTCGTTTACTCCAAAACGGTTAATCATTTGCCGAGACAACACAGAATTCGTGGAAAAAGTGAGAAATTTCTGTGGATAATGGAAATCGTGCGCCTTCGCATCCTATCTAAAAAGTAAAAATAAGTAACATATATCTTACCCGAACTACACAACAACGTATATGAGTAAGTACCACCATTCTGGAGAAAACAATGCGGACGATAAATGATAGCTTCAGGACACCTGCGACATCAGGTCAATCTTGTTTACATCGGAGACGAATGATGAGTCGGACATGTGGACGCACACTGTGGAGCACTGCTGTGCAGTCTGGACGCAATTTGAAGAAGACTTCGCTTTATAGGTGCCTCTGTAAGCGTGTCGGTATTAAGAAAATTCGTTTTTAGTTTATGTTGTCAACTAGACCTTATTTATTTAAATGTAATCAAATCATGCCTTTGCACTTTTGAAGTAAACAAGTACAAGTAAACATAATTTTTTTTTTATATAAAAGTAGTGATGGCTAAGCCTAGATACCTATGTTATCGCCAGAATTGGCAAATGTTTTGTGTTTTGTCCGGTGTATGTTTCAAACAAAGAGCTAATATAATGCACCCATATGGCTACAGGTGGTTCAAGGATGTAAAGCGTCTAAAAGAAAATAAATTAACATGGTAAACAAGTTTTAAAAATTTAGAAAAAATAAAAGGTGCTAGGTAGCGCAAGCTACCGCCCACTACAGAGGGTAGTGGCATTGTCATTTCTCTATTCATTTAGCTGTCGTGTTGTTTTTGTTTTGGTGGTCTCGGTGGAGCCGTGGAGCTGCCAGCAGAGCTGAGCGGAAGGCTGCGACGATATGATGTGCGGTTTTAAACATCATTAGCTAACATGTAGCAACTCTAAAAATTCCGCTTAAAGTTCTTGAAGACGACAAACAAAAAAATTCACCTCATTACGGTGCAGAATTCGCTACATGGACGTAAGTATAATGCCAGGTTGTCGTCTCGTGATCACTCCGAGCCGTGTCCTCGATACGGAATATTAAATTGAAGAGCCGGAACGCGTTTTTCGAGCTCGTTGTTTCAGAGTTTCCTCGTTCGCGGCGTAAACGAGTGTCGTACCCAAAAAGGTCGTACCACTGCGCTTTCCTGCACCTGATATTTCCGGCGCACGTCAAAGATATCGGGTGAGTGTCACACCGCACAAGCCAGATCAAGTTGATGCGCCGTCTCGGTCCGTCAAGACGTCAAAAACAAACAACAGACCCAACTTATTCTCAAAAGCAGGCTTAGCTCGCGCAGCAAAAATATCATTGCCACGAAGCAATGCCTCATTCGAGAAGGAATTGCCCGAAGTCATGAAGTCGCCAGTGGCACAAAATACGCACTAAATAAGCCGAGTAGTCTCATCAGTTTCGTCGCGTTCTGTTCTGTGACACGGTGTGCGTACGTCCGATGGGTAATTTATTTATTTTACAACTCCCCAAAATACTGAAGGCTAGGGCGCAAACGAGCTGGTGATGGTTGAACATTATTGACTAAAACACCGAGACTGGAACGAGAAAGGATTGTGTTTGTCCGTCCCTTCTCGTCCCAATCTCGGGTGTTTTATTAGTCAATGATGTTCAACTCCGAAATACGCAGTTCTCGCACGCATCAATTAACTTGTCCTTTAGTCTACGTTTTACCCTTTGAGTATAAAGACCAATTGCGCAATTGCAACCGGTTGTCTCTGCTTTCCTCTTGGCTCGTTGACGACTATTATGAGAGATGAACAGGAGGGGTCGACGGAAATGACTGGCTTAGCACAAGTTAGCGTCGCTAGTCGCAGTTCGTGACAGTTGTGCTGATTCAGTGCTCCCTCCTCTTTTGGCGCAGGAAATGAATCAGGCGGCGAGGGAGGCAGCCCGGAACGAGAAGAAACGGCTCTACATCTCCGAGTCGGAGAAGACGTTTTCGTACGACGAAACCCGTCCGGACTTGCCTGTACCCCCGCTTGGTCAGACCATTAAGAAGTACCTCGATTCGGGTAAGTTCGATTTGCACCCCGACGCTTGGCAGGGCGCTCTAAACTGCACCCTGCGGCTTACCTGTTGGTAGTAAAAAGCTTGACTTCTTTTTTTTTTTTTTTTGTGAAGTATTGAATTTAAGGAATGTATTAGTTTTACTCTGCAGTGGCCTCAATCTCATTCTCGACTGATTGCAGTTCGTGCGATTGTGTCGGAGGAAGACTACAAAGCGACGGTAGCCATTGCCAAACAGTTTGCAAGCGGAGTTGGTGCTAAGCTTCATGAGAAGCTGTTACAGAAGGCAAAGCATTCACGAAACTGGGTGAGTCTATTTGTTTTTTCTTGCGTGGCTGCTTTGTTTGTGGTGAGGGAGTGCTTCTCAGTGTGCTATATTGGCACTCCAGTCTTATTGTACAAGCCTTTCTTTGAGACGGTCGGAAGATGCAATAGTTTGAAAGTTGACCTATCAAAAGCCTTACCCAGTGTTTATTGCCACACTTATGTAGAGAAAGATATAAAAATCAATTGTCCACTCTCTGCTTTCCCACCTAATAGGTAGTTCTCGCGGACGTCACAGCCGGGAATTATGGGATATGTCAGCGCCATTACCAGGTACTGATATCATTTCGGGATTGGCGCCGGCAACGTTGGCCACTGCTGCGTTGGCTGTGTCGCTACGGCATTTGCGGCACACTCGGTGCACGTCTCTTTATTCTGATGTGCGGTCGCAGTGGTGCAGTCATACCGATGTGTGCGATGTTCGGCTGCCGAAGCAGAAGCAAGTCCTCTGCACAACAGAGTAACACAGAACCAAATGTAAGGCTGCGCCGTTTGCCAAAGAGTGTGAGCGTACAAAGCTGCTGTCCGAGAAACGCCGAAGCGTCTGGCTTGCTCGCATACATAGGAAGTGTCTGTGTCTGCGGTCGTCACTTCATTACCGGTAAGAAACGTGTTGCTGAATTGTACATGGATGGCTGGAAGCTTCTGTTCGCACCCTGTGTGCGCATTGCCTTGGCGGCCAAGGCAGTATTTGGTGTCTGGTAGCGTCACGCTGCAGGGATATGCTTTTACCTTTCTCACAGCATTCCTGTAATTTTGTAGTGTTTGTAGCACACGTGTTGCGGTGTTGCGCGTTGCAATGGTGTTGCGGTGGCGGCGCCGAGTTTACCCAGCTAAGATGGTGCCAATTCTAATGCGGCAAGTATGGGCACATCTCTTCGATTGCAGGCAAACCTTCAGTTCTTTGGCTCTCATAAAGACGGTTGTTTTATTGCCTGTCAACCCGCCTCGCTCAGCACAATGATACGCTTCAACAGGAGACTCATCACTGTCAGGCTCTTCACCCATCCACTCGTGAAATAGTTATGGGCATCCAGGGCCTTGAAGGCCTTCATCTATTGCAGCGACATATAGTTCGTCGACAAAACCAGGTAGTTAATCATGTGCATGTGCGTCGTGGCTGGCTACACGTTCGCATCTGGAGTAATCTCTGCGCCGACGCGTAGTGTGTACAGATCAACGCTGTCGGACATCTTCACTTTAAGGCCCGTTCACACTCTTGCGACCGAGTACGACTGAGAGAGACGAGATCTCTTACAACTTCTTAAATGTTTCTAGAATGAGGGGACACACTGACATTGTGGCGCCATCTATGCGGTGACCCTAGAACTGCATTTCACAAAAGCGAAGGTTTTGCGGGATTTCCGAGGTCAAATGTGCGTAATACCCATAGAAAGGCTCGTTTATAACATTGACAAAAGTTTTTCGAGCCAAAAAAGAAAGGATATTGCGCGAGAAATAAAAAAAAATATGCCAGACCGCCGAGTTTACACTGCTTCCCAATAGATGGCGCCAGTGTGTTCTCTGGTTTAAGAAGTTTTAAGGAACCCAGGTTTAAGAGATCGCAAGCAGTCGCAAGAGTGTGAACGGGCCTTTACACTCGCACTGAGCCCGTGGTGGGGCCCACAAGCTCTTCGAAATAGGAAGGGCAGAACTCGTGGCGAATGGCTTTTGGCATCGCGCTGTTTGGGCAATACAAATTTCGTAGCGAAGTAGCAATCGAGCGACGCACACGCGGCAGCAGCGTCTGAATCTGTTTCTCAGTACCTGGCAATGGCGGCCGGCGGGCGGGAGTAGAGGAAGTGACATTACGTGAGAATAATGTATACATACCACCATTTACTCATATAAATCGTTTTTAGTGGTGTCAGCGCTAAAATGTTTCGGTGGCACTCTCTTATGGTCTTCATGGGTGACGTCATGACCAGAATTTGCCTCACCGTGATGTCAGAAGTTGTTACCCTGGCTATCTATCATCAGCATACCTCGGCAAACCTCACTCATGAGGGCCCTCACTCACTCTCATCTTCACAGGTGAGGTGAGGGTGAGTGAGTTTCTGAACCAGGAAAATTCATGAGTGTGAGGGTGAGTGAGGGCCGTGAGGGCCGTGAGGGCCGTGAGGGCCATGAGGGCGGTGAGGGCGGTGAGGGCGGTGAGGGCGGTAAGGGGTATGAGGGCCGTGAGGGCGGTGAGTGGCGTGAGGGCCATGAGTGCGTGAGTGGTGTGAGGGCGGTGAGTGCGTGAGGGGTGTGTGGGCCATGAGTGGCGTGAGGGCAGTGAGTGGCATGAGAGGCGTCAGGGCCGTGAGGGTGGTGAGTGCATGAGGTGTGTGAAGGCTGTGAGGGTGGTGAGTGCATGAGGCCCCCTTCAGATCAAGCAACTTTCTCAGCAATTTTGGTGTTAATGGCGGGTTGTTCTCTAGCTTTCCCTAGATCGACACGAATTGCTGAGATCGGGTTCGGCTCGAAATAAGCAAGCAACTCGGAGCAATTCGAATATGTTTAAAGCGACTGCATCCAATTAGGGACGCAAAATTTTCACGTGATACCTCGTGCCGGTGATGATGACACCGAAATACTTGGTTCTGGTTTGAAATCGATCGTTTTTTTTGGAAATAAACTGTTTCGGAAAGGTGCATTAGTATTCTTAACGAGATTTAAATGCATAAAAACATGTTTATAACGCGCAATTGTGTCTAAATAGAGCAAGAAAAATAAGATTTTATGATGCCGATGGCAAATTGCAGCAATTAGTTACTGCGTGTGATCGCGGGCGGCCCGTGTTGCTGGTGTTGCGACGTAAAGTTTCTGGGCAAAATTGCCCCATCTGAAGCTGGCCTGAGTGGCTTGAGGGCCATGAGTGCGTGAGGGATGTGAGGGCCGCAAGGGCGGTGAGTGGCGTGAAAGCCGTGAGTGGCGTGAGGGCTATGAGTGTGTGAGGGCCGTGAGGGCAGTGAGGGCCATGAGGATGGTGAGTGACTTGAGGGCGGTGAGTGGCGTGAGGGCCGTGAGGTTCAATGAAGGTGAGTGAAGGGCTGAAGGTGAGGATGAGTGAGGGGCTGAAGGTGAGTGTAGCTGTGAGGGTGAGGGTGAGTGAGGGGCTTAGGTGAGTGTGGCTGTGAGGGTGAGGGTGAGTGAGGGCGACCTAAAATGCCGACCTCTGATCATCAGTTGCAACAAGGTTGATGGCATGTTTGAAAAGCACTGTGGAAGCTAGAAGCCATCGCATTCTTCGACTAACGCTGTTGAAGTTGACAGTCTGACATACCCTTAAGCCTGACCACAGCGGCACTTTTGGTCATGCAAACTCCGTGTCTCTTCCTTGTTTCTCGTCCACAGCTGGAGAAATGGTGGGAGGACATGGCATACCTGTCGTCCCGGCAGCCTCTGATGCCGGCCTGCCACATGGCCGGCTCCTTTGCCCAGTTTGCAGACGCCCACTCCTTCACCGGCACCCGCAGTGCCTGGGCTGCCGACAACGTGGGGCACTACCTGGAATTCTGGCAGCTGCTCAAGCAGTGAGCACCATTCAGATCATGTCAGACTGTGCAAGAGAGCCTCTCTCTAACGGAGTCAGGTGTTGTAGTGCCCATAAAGGGCAACTCTGCTTCATTTTTGATATTTAGAAAACTATGCAGCCCACTTCAATATCATAAAGGAAGACCCCATGTGAAATATTACAATCTAATTCCATCTGTATATTTAATAAACTGACCAGCAAACTTTCGAATCAGCCAAGTCGCCGAAATCTGCCAACTCTAGCGTGCGACGTGAGGCGCAATCGTCAGCGCAGTCAATGCGACGGAGTTGGAGCGGCCAACGTTGAGCCACTACGTCAGAGGCATGTCTGCGTCATTCTCATGTTTTGTTTGTTTTTACTTCTCGAAGCGAAATTGAACGGTGACGTCACGAGTTTCTCCTCCCGGTGTTGGCTCAGCGGCGTCCACGTGATCACCGTAACGCGGATGCGCTTGCGCTGCCCTGCGCGCTTATCGGCCCTTTTTCTCCGCTCCCCCTCTCCTCTTTCGGCTTCTCCCCTTCTTCCTCTCCCCCGGGCCATCACCGTCCAAGCCATGCGAAGCGACCTGCTCGCATCACGTGTACTCTACCTCGCCCCCACGAACGTCACATGACCACGTGGTTCAACGTGACGTGGCCATGCCTCTGACGACAAGAGACCAATGTTGCCTGACGCAACTGAAGTTTCGGTTTCAGTATCAGCTGATGTTTAAGTTAAGATTACACAAATAATATTCCACATTTCGTGAATCCGAAGACGTAGAGCTGTTTAGTAATGCTTTGTGAAATGGAATCACATGTAAGCCTCAATTTTTCGGAATTGAGCGGAGTTGCCCTTTAAAATTGAATCAGCCTGTAGAAGCTCTTTGTCATAGGTTGTCTGGCAGCGAAGACGAGCAACTAAAGACAAATCGTGCTGCATGCCATGGTACTGCCACAACTATGTTGGGATGAAGTACAATTTTGCAAGCAATAGCTTCGTGTGGGAACCCTACACCGACCTTGCTTGCTTGTGTTGGTTGCATCGTAGCAAGGTAGTTTTGGAGTGAGCGTCAGCAACAGATTTCAGCTGTTGGTTTGATGTTGCAGCATGTGCGACCAATGGTGTTGTGCTGGGCAGGAGTGGGGGAAGGGGGCATGAGGTGCACTGATGTTCTTTTCCCCCTGCCCCCCTCTGTGGCATAAGAACAGGGGATGTGTAATAGAGTAGGAACTGCAGGGATGGAAGCGCTGCGCCATTATGTGCCAATCCACTTTCACTGCGCTATCCTGCTCCCAAGCGCAAAGGTTGCGCCAAAACTAGTCAAAAAAGCTTTTTTTTTTTGTGCTACAATTTGATGTTGTGTCAAAGCAGGTTATTCTCGTTTGATAAGAACAGGTGCCGAGTGTCTCTTTTCATTTAAGGAGAATGACCATGATTTTTTACGGACCAGATAAATAGCCCGTCAAGCGCCAGTAGCACGAGCAACAACACCGCTCAAGTTGGTTGTGTCCACCATTGCGAACGCGAGGAAAAGTAGATGCTTTTGTTGTTGTTCAGAAATATACCCTATTTGGACGAATAATGACACGCAGTAAAAGTCTTGTTCTTATTTCCGTTCCCCGTACCAGTGCTTTTGAAGCACTTGTTTGGGCGTGTTGCTTTGAGCCGTCAGTGCCACAGCTCAGCCAAAAACGGCATGTGGTTGTCTGATCTACGAAAATGGGGCATGCATAGGTGGCTTTGTCAGAAGTACTAAAACAACAATTTGTTATTCACTTCTTTTTTTTGCACTGTGCGAAATATTGCACGCTTTAAATTACGTATACCGTAAAGTCTTCTATGAATGCTCGCCTCCGAGAAATCACCCATCCTGTTTTTTTGGGCTAAATATCCATAACATCAAAATTCCAAAATATTGACCTTCCCCCCCCCCCCCCCCCCCTCTTGACTCCTGCTGGATATCGATCTCACAATGTCCGATGGGAATCACATCAATTGCGCGATCTGCGGTATTGATGCTTTGGACAAGCGTGTTCGCCGCAGGTTCCCTCGTGCTTATCGCACTGTGACATGCGGATCTGCAGTGCCCGTAGTCTTTGACAGGCAAACTCCCAGCTTGTCCCCGCTTATTTTTCATTTTTTTGTCTATTTGTGAGTGCTGTATTGCTTCCCGTGACACCCGAGTTTGTAGCGGGTTCTTGCGTGTATATCGCGCTGTGAAGCGCAAATGCGCTGTGTCCGCATTTTGCTGTACCCGCGACAGAAGAGCTCATAGCGAATTCCCGTGCACTTATTGCACCGTGGAACGCAAATTTGCCGTGTCTGCAATCTATGGTATCATTAATGAAAAAGTTAGTGAGTGTGCACGCGAGCTGGTAATAGTCAGTTATGATCTCTAAAACCTCAGACTGGGGGTGGGGGGGGGGGGGGGGGGGGGAGGGAGGGGGGGAGGGAGGGAGGGAGGGAATATAGGGACTTTGAAGTCACAGAGTTCCCAATTCGCTTAACTTCCCCCTCCCCCCTTTTTTTCAACCTTATCTCCAATTTTTTTTTTTTTTTAGCATTTTTTAATTTGGTTTAATCCATATTTTTCACTAATTGTCCCTTCATTTTGATCGGGCATTCTTTCAGGACTTTACGGTATATAAAGGTATCTAAGAGCCCGCTGGTACCTGTTCACCTATCGTGTAATCTCTAGGGAAAGTGATAAGTACTCTACAAAATTAAACAAACATTTGGCACATAGTATTTTTTTTTATTAGTGTTTAGGGTGTTTGTTTTTGCTGAGATCACTTCCTCGCTCTTCATTTGTGTCATAAGCATAACAATAAAAGCGATAATTGATTGCCTCATCTGTAAACTTTTTTGTAAATGATGTATGTGGCAAATACATGCGGCATGTATACATCAAGCCAGCGGGAGGAAAATGACAACAGTGAGAATGTCCTGCTGAGTGACGCAAACTCTAAACCGTTGTGCTTGAAGGCACCAAAAAAAATATACTTGTGAGTAAAACCTGCCGATTTATGGTCATACTTGCTAATTCTGTCTTTCACTTTTTTTTATCAAACTCTTAAACAAGCTTTGTTTTCATTCTATAAGTCATGGTTGTTGTAGTAAGGATGTATAAGCAGGGGTGATATGAAATTTTCAATAATCTGCATTTGTACTCTTATCAGAGAGTAGATTTGCAGTCTGTTAACTTGAGTTTTGGAATATATTTATATTTGCTAAGCAGGTGCTTGAAACATTTGTGCTTCCTAATAATAAAAACTGTAGTCACTAAGTACTGGGCTTCATTTCACACCATACCGTATTTACTCGCACAATGAACGCACTCGCGTAATGAACGCACCCCCCAAATCGGCTCTCAAAATTTTGACTTTTTTTTTCACTCGCGTAATAAACGCACCCCCAACTCCGACCTCAAAATTATGACCCCCTCCCCCACGCGCACGAAATGAACGCGCTTTTCTGTCCTGGTGCAGCGAGGTCGCGAATGCATGCGCAGAGTGGGCGAACAAAACGCCTTGCAAAAGGCGTTAAAAAAATTCGCAAAAAGCCAACGGAAGCAAAAAAAAACATGAAGAAGAGCTTTATTTATTTATTATTTTTTTTTTTTGCACATTGCAGTCTGCACTTTAGGGTTCGCGCGTAAGGAGGTTAGAAAGAGAAGCGGAGAAACGCTCTAAGCAAACGAAACAGCTTGCGAAAGGCGGCAAAAAGAAAAAAAAAGACCCACCGAACTAAAAAAAAACAAAAACAAAAAGCTTGCTTTTTTTTTTTTTTTCACAGCGCAGTTTGGTTGCAGGGGGGGGGGGGGGGGGGGGGGTCGCGCGCCGCGCGCAAGGTGGTAAGAAAGAGGAGTGGAGAATCCCACTAAGCAAACAAAACAGCTTGCGAAAGGCGGAAAAGAGAAAAAGAACCGAACTGAGAAAAAAAAAACAAAAGCAAAAGAGAAGCTTTTTTTTTTCTTTCTTTTTTTTTTCTTTTTTTTGCACAGCGCAGTTGGTTACGGAGGGTCGTGCGTCGCGAGCAAGGGGATAAGAAAGATAAGCGGAGAGCCCTCGCCTAAGCAACGCCTAAACAAACAAAGCTTGCCAAAACCGGCAAAAAAAAACCAAGGAACTAAGAGAAAAGGAAAACAAAGAGGAGTTGTTCTTTTTTTTTGCACAGCTTAGTTTGGTTACGAGGTCGGCGCCGCGCGGAAAGAGATAAGAAGTTACTTCGATTTTTCAGGATAAAAGGTCGGTTCATTAGGCCGAGTAAATGGACGCAAAAATTTTACTTCGCGTAATGAACGTCCCCCCTAACTTTGCATCGATTTTTCGGAAAAAAAAGTGCGTTCATTCTGCGAGTAAATACGGTATTATTGCAACTTGAAATGGTTTTATTTTCAACTGAGGGAACTTTTGATAAATAGGCACAATGTTTTGTTTTCATGAGGCTTTAGTTGTGCTTCTTTTGTTATCTATGCCTTTTATTGAAAATTCATAAGAGGAACCATCCCGCTACCAGGACAGTTCTCAGTGGCTGCCATTAAAAAAAAAGCTGCAATTATGCTGTTTGTTTTTTATGCTATGAGCTGGATTCTATTTAAGGAAAGGGTATGTTTGGAAATTGTTCTGGAACGTCAGATGGAGATGCTTTTTTGTTGAGATATTTTTGTTTTTAGAACAGCACCTCTTCGCTTATAGCCTCAAGTTTTACCTGCGTGACCAGCTCCAAGATTTACTTATACTACTACGAAACTTTACTTTTGTGGCTCCCGAGCTACACCAAAGCAGAACTTTTACTGCTTTAAAGCTGCTCCAAAGCTGCTCTAAAGCTGCTCCAAAGGGGCATCTTTACTGCTCCCAGACCTGCTACAAAAGGCTGAAGCTTGTTTCCACCCCTGGAACTGTATATTTGTGCCATCACACCTTCATTGCCATCCTCTTTATAGTGCTGCATACCTGCCAACTCTTCCGAATTTTTCGTAAAATGTATGAATTGGGACTAATTTTACGATTTTACGAATCTTGCTTCAAATCTTACCAAAAATATTTTTTTTTTTTATTTTATTATTTATTTTTTTTGTTTTTGTTTTTGTAACTCCGTTGTTGGCAGTATCTTGCACCGCTACCAGTGGACAATAGGTACCGTCCACAGCAGCATCGTGGTTTTTACTATCCGTCTATCCGGTGGCCACGGATCGAAAACCAATCCAAAGCTCAAAGCCTTTGTTTGTGTGTTCGGCGGTGCACGGGTGCACGTTGGTTCGGCGTGTTCAAACGTTGTTGAACCTCGTTGTTTCGGCCAGTTTCGAGGCGAGAAGTACGGCGTCTGTGTTTGTTGCACGTGTAACTGTAGCATTCTCCTGGTCACTGTGGCTTTGCGGCGCAATGCCGAACTCTAAACCTCAAGAGGTACTTTCAGGTGTTCCTGAAGTCTTACACGTCGAAATTTCCGTGCTTCGTGCTGCCTAAAAAGCAAGAGAAGTTTGGATTCTGCAGCATGTGCACGTGTGATGTAAACGTTTTGCACGCTGGCCAGGCTGACATTAAGCTGCACATCGCTTCGCGTAACCCCCCCCCCCTTCGCCACGGCCGCGGGACTTTTACGAATTTGAAAGTCCACAGGTTGGCAGGTATGGTGCTGTCTTTAGTGGATAAAAAGGGTGTGTGTGCTGGATGCCCACCCTAAAAATGTTTCTTAATAAGTGAATGGGTCGTCCTTGCCGCTTCAAGGTTCGTCACTGTTAGACCAGGATTCTCCAGCATGCTGCTCCCACTCGCACGCTTCTTCTCGTGCCTTTTGGTTTTCTCTCTTTGCTTCTTCAAAAGTGTGGTGACGGCCATGGCATCAACCCGGCTTATCCTCAGCTATTCTACGTAAAATAACGAGTGCCGAACGAGTTGTATGAATCACTTTGGCAGAAGGCAAAGATTTGCAGTTCTTATTTGTGTTTCTTTGTGATTTTTCGTGCAGGTCATTTTGGTTTTTGAGGTGACACGTTTATTAAACCTTTCAGTTGTGTTTTTATCTTCAAGTTGCATAGTGCAGATCAAACCTCACTCATGAGGGCCCTCGCTCACCCTCATCTTCACAGGTGATTTGAGGGTGAGCGAGTTTCTGAACCAGGAAAATTCATGAGTGAGGGTTAGTGAAGGCCGTGAGGGCGGTGAGTGCGTGAGGGGTGTGAGGGCCATGAGTACGTGAGGACGGTGAGTGGCTTGAGGGTCATGAGTGTGTGAGGGCGGTGAGTGTGTGAGGGGTGTGAGTGCGGTGAGTGTGTGAGGGGTGTGAGGGCCATGAGTGCGTGAGGGCGGTGAGTGTGTGAGTGGCATGAGGGGTGTGAGGAGTGCATGAGGGGCGTGAGTGTGTGAGGCCCCCCTTCAGACGGAGCAACTTTCTCAGCAATTTCGGTGTTGATGGCGGGTTGTTTCCTAGCTTTCCCTAGATAGACACAAATTGCTGAGATCGGGTCTGGCTCGAAACAAGCTAGCAACTTGGATTGAAGCGGCTGCATCCAATCAGGGATGCAATATTTTCACGTAATACCTCGTGCCGGTGATGATATCAACAAAAGACTTGGTTCTGGTTTGAAATTGATTGTTTTTGGAAAGAAACTGTTTCAAAAAGATGCATTAGTATGCTCAACGAGATTTAAATGCATAAAAACGTTTTTAGCACGTAATTGTGTGTCTAAATAGTGCAGGAAAAATAAAATTACATGATGATGGCAAATTGCAGCAATTGGTTGCTGCGTGTGAAGAACACGGGCGGCCCGTGTTGCTGGTGTTACGACATCATGTTTCTGGGCAAAATTGCCCCATTTTAAGTGGGCCTGAGTGGCGTGAGGGACACAAGTACGTGAGGGCCGTGAGGGCGGTGAGTGCGTGAGGGGTGTGAGGGCTATTAGGGCGGTGAGAACTATGAGTGCGTGAGAGGGCGGTGAGTGCGTGAGGACGGTGAGTGGTGTGAGGGCAGTTAGGACGGTGAGTGAGTGAGTGGCGTGAGGGCCGTGAGGGCCGTGAGGTTCAATGAGGGTGAGTGGGCTAACGGTGAGTGTGACTGTGAGGATAAAGGTGAGAGAAGGGCTGAAGGTGAGTGTAGCTGTGAGGGTGAGTGAGGGGCTTAGGTGAGTGTGGCTGTTAGGGAGAGGGTGAGTGAGGGCGACCTAAAATGCCCACCTCTGGTGTAGATATCCCGTAAAATACTGCAGAAGCGGGCACTTCGTTCAGGTGCCCACTATAAACTTTTCCCAAACTTCAGAATTCTGCAAATTATATGTTAAGCGTCCGATTTGACCAGACAAGTGCCCATGTCTAGATTAACCCAGTTTTCAGTGAAAGTGGGCTGGGCGCTCCCCTGGTATCTTACAATAAGTTGGAGGTCAAAGCTGTCACATGCTTTCGCACTGAGTCTCGTAAATAAACTGTTTTGAAGCATTTTGTTGCAACTTTTCCCAATCTTTTGTACATTAATGTCATAGTGTTACCAGGATGCACCTATGTTTCCCTTGTGCGGGTACAAAACGTGGGCTAATTTCCTGGTTCCCTACGCTTAACAAGAAACTGTGCTTTGACGAAAACTGGAAGTCTGTCTGAAAGTGAGGCTGGTAATTATGCAATCTGCATGTAACTCTGCTAATGAAATGCTTTGCTACTTTAAGTTGAGTGATTTGTACTGTCTCAAATTTTCTTCCTTGTTTTTTTATACCGGTAAGTAATAGTATATTGCCACGTGCCATATACATTACTAAGTGTTTGTAGGTAGGACATTTTCGTCTCGGTGGTATTTCATCGGGCAACCAATTTACGAGCCTTTACCTCGTTGTCTGTCCAGGGAAAAACTGAAGCCCCAGTCCTTCCGCAAAATTCCATGGACCATGCATCAGTTCCGGAGACTGTTCAACACCGCCAGAATCCCCAACGAAGGGAAGGACGAAATAGTGAACAAATTCCGAGCTGGTGAGTGTGGCTGCCGTGTACTATGAGTTGTGATTGTCTTTTTCGTTCATACAGGACAGCTCAGTGTTGTTTTTGTCAGTGGATTGAAACAAGGGTTACAGTGGCTAACTGAGCTATTTATTGTATGTTTGTGGTGTAGGCTTTTTAGCTCTGCTTTTTTAGTCATACTAACTTGATTCTGTCAATTGTTGATTTCTCTATGTCGCTACAGATTTAGGGGTGTGTGCGCGTAGATGTGTCGAGTGGAATAGTGTAGCTTGCCTCCAGGGTGCCTCCCGATGGTTCTAGATTTCACCAACTCAATTTGCTCAGAAGCAAAGATCTAAAGAATAACAGGCCTGGCATCTACAGACTAGGTACAGCAAGATGACAAGATGGACGTATGGTTTTGTCAAAAAGGCTGCTCACAGGTGCCGACATCTTTACTGACATAAATTTATTCATTCAAATTATTTTACATGCCCATACGGGGCATTTTGTGAGGGGATATCTCGGCCAAAGCAGAATGAAGAAAAATTTGTAACATATTTATATTAACAATGTAAGCAAAAGATGTGTGATGCTTCAGCGCTACCTGACCTTAGATGAACAAATTAGTGCAACAGTACACATCGCGACACTGTTAGCGCAAACACGGCATCGGCGCATTTTCGCATTTTACTTCTACATAGTATTAGCGATCACGAAATGTTATTGCTTACATTCTAGAACTAAATGAGCTCTTTCCGAAGCAATAATAACTTGGATGACATCACTTGGTTTCAAAGAGGAAAACTGAATAAACCGGAGGTCGCTGGTTCGCGCTAACAGTGTCGCGCTCTGTAGACCAGTGCTAATTAGTGGTAGTTTTGTGGCGTCTCTTTACACTTCCTATTTCCAAAGATTTCTCTCGAATGTTGGAGGGGAATTATTATACCATCCGGAGTTTGAACGTTTGTTTCATATCGAACTCGCTTCTGAAAATTTGTGCATGGGAATCAAAGTCAGATACAGCCCACTGTTAAAGGTTGTTTCACATTTTGGTGTGGCTGTTATGTAGGATAGCATGTAGGTGGCAACTCTATTATGTCGGACGTTAATAACACTGGCCACTAGCTCTGGATGTTCATGTTCCTTTAGGATTTCCCAATTCGACCTGTGTTGCAGAGTCCGAAGAAAGCGTTGCGGGCAGGTCTCCCACCAACCTCATAGTTCTCCAGCAGGGCCACATCTTCTCCTTTGAGGTGGTGAATGAGCAGGGCGACGTACTCACCAGGAAGGAGATTGAGACTCAGCTTGAGCGCATTGACGCCGCCTGCACCCAGCTGGGCCCCTCCCAAGGGGTGGGCACCCTCACTGCGGGGGACAGGGACACCTGGGCTGCTGTAAGTGAGTGCATCACTGTGCTGGTTGGAGGACGAATGTTAGGTGGGGTCGCAACTGCTGCAAAACGGAGCACAAGTGCCCGCGTGAAGGTTGGAGATAATAAAAAAAAAATTGTCGATGGCCCCTTGTTTGGTCTAAGAGCAGAAAAGCAAAAGAAAATGAGCCGTTTGCGTTTAAACAGCACAGGGTCTGCCTTTGAGGTGCGGCGACACTGATTTACGCTGCGGATGAGAAATTTAGCCGGTGCGGCACTACTGCTAGCCTAGGGTCTTAACGTGCATCATGCGGGAGTGATAGGCCACCACGCGCAGGCACAATGCTCATCCAGATTGAAATGGGTAGGGGTGGAAATGAGCCCAGGATCCCTGGGTTCTGCAGTGCAAGCTTTTACTGCACACGCTCCTAGCTGTGGTGCACTAATGCAATTGGCCACCGACTCCCCAAGCAGAAAAGTAAGAGGGACACGTGGTAAAGTAGGCCCTTTTTTGATTCAACGTAACTGTAAAGCAGGAGGACATGGGCCTGGCAGAACCCCACTTTGCCCCGGTGCTCTCGCGTCCAGCTTTACCTCTTTGCATCGATGCACACACCTAAAGCTTCGCTGCTTTGCACCACTTTTTGGAAAAGCATCTGACTCAAAGGAGTGCTCCTGTTAGCTCAGTAGGCTCGGAAGTTTACTGGGGTGGGCATTTTACATGTCTCTTGCCTATATTTCAAATGTTTTATAAGTATGTGGTGGGCACTTCCTGGGGGCATGGGCATATTCTCAGTATTTTAAGGTATGTGCCCAAAATGCATCTCCAACTGCTGTGTTGAGTCTTTGCAGCTTTCATGTATGCTAGAGGGGGCATCACCGTTGTCCTATGCGGCAGACAAATGAAGAAAAACATAGTGGTCTACTTAGAGGGACCATGACATTACCTTTTTACTTTTTCCAAATAACTTTTACATTAAACCTTCAATGTTCACTGAACGCTGAACGCATCCGTTTTTGTTTCAGTTTATTACAAGGGCGGTCCGATAAGTACTTAGCCTCACCACCCAGTGGCGCCACTATCGCAAGAAAAATGTACTATCGTGTAGTACATTCTCGTAGACAGCTACTATCGAAATTTCAACCAAATCGGACTCATAGTTTTGTTTTGACCGCATGTGGAAGCGGGCGTGTCCGTGAATTTTAGAAAAATGGAAAAAGAGCAATATCGGTCGGTGATTCGATTCTTGTTTTTGGAAGGAAAATCGTGCAGTGAAATCAAAGAGCGCTTAGATGCTGTGTACAGTGACTCTTCTCCTTCGATGGCGACCGTCAAAAATTGGTTTAACAAGTTTCAACATGGTCGCACGTCGGTTTTTGAAGAGTCACGCCCAGGTGCCCTGAAAACGGCTATCATAGAGGATAATGCGACAAAAATCCACAATCTTGTATTGGCAGACTGCCGATTGAAGGTGCGTGAGATAGCTGAGACAGTAGGCATCTAAAAAAACCGCGTGGGTCATATCCTGCATGAAATTTTGGGCATGAGAAAGTTGTCGGCGAGATGGGTGCCGCGTTTGCTCACTCCGGACAACAAGCGCAACCGTGAGACCACTTCGGAGCAGTGTTTGACGCTGTTTAAGCGCAATCCGAAGAAGTTTCTGCGTCGTTTCGTGACCGTCGACGAAACATGGATTCACTGGTACACACCAGAGACCAAGGAACAGTCGCAACAGTGGACTTCACCCGGCGAACGTGCTCCGAAGAAGGCGAAGACTGTCCTATCGACCGGAAACGTGATTGCCACCGTTTCTGGGATTCACAAGGTGTGATCTACATCAACTACCGGGAGAAGGGCAAAACGGTTACAGGGCTGTACAATGCCGAATTATTGGGCCGATTCGACACCGAATTGCAGAAAAAACGGCCCCATTTGGCAAAGAAAAAAGTGCTCTTCCACCATGACAACGCACCGGCTCACACCTCCGCCCTCGCCACGGCCAAATTGGTCGAATTTGGCTACGAACTGCTGCCCCATCCACCGTATTCTCCAGATTTGACCCCGTGCGACTTCTTTTTGTTTCCAAACTTGAAAAAGTTACTCGCCGGGAAGAAATTTGAGTCGAATGAGGAGGTCATCGCCGCCACGGAAGAATACTTTGCAGACCTCGAGAAAACCTATTTTTTAGATGGGTTAAAAAAGTTGGAGCATCGCTGGGTCAAGTTTATCGAACTAAAAGGAGACTATATTGAAAAATAAATCGCCGCTTTTCCAAAACTTTTTGTTTTTCTTTTGTAGGCTAAGTACTTATCGGACCACCCTCGTAACTTCTACACGAAAAATTATTGAAATATAGAGCTTTTCTTTTTCTCCAACTCGCCGCAAAACAAGCTGAGGCGTAATTTGGACACTCGTAATGTCCGCTGTCACCAGAACCGGAAGTTCTCTCGGCAGTAGGAGAATGGTAGCGTTATCGGCGAGCTGGCGGTGTGCCGGTAGGTTTTACCACAGGGTTTTACTTCGCTGTTGGCGCCGATGCTACCGACATATTTTCTGAATCTGCACCTCTCATCACCGCTATAGCTATGGACACCTAGCGGCTGAGCGAAATTCAGTTAGATACGTTTCGCTACAGCAAAAGCATGGGACTGGTCCCATATGCTGGTACGAAGCGTAGCAGGCCGTCAGCACGACAGCCATTTCCACGGTATCTCTAAAAAGAAGGGGACGCGTTGTCACTCAGTGGCGTAGCAGAAAATGCACAGACATTTCTATGGGCTCAAGCTTTATTAACTTTTATCTTGCCAGGATAGGCTCGCAGAGTGGAGTGGATGAAAAGAGAAGAGAAAAAGATGGAGTACAGCATCTTGGACTATTACACCTTTAAAACAACTTTGCTGATAGTACATATCTCACCACACGGCTTTTCTATGATTGCAAAAGACGATATAATCTTAGCAAAGTTACAGTGCAATCCACTTATATTAATAATGAGAAAACCCGAATATGCAATCATTAAAGACAATTATCGTTGTGTCTGGTCTAGAAACTGATCATTTCTAGTCTAGAAAAATCATCAACAGAGCAGTGGTATATCATTATATGTGGTATCGTTGTAAGTAGATTGCACTGTATAGTAACATAGAAATATGATTTCTTGATCACAAAGACCAGAGGTGGCCAGGCTGACCCAGCTTACGAGCCGCAAACAAAACCACAAAACTTCCAAGAGCTGCGGGGGGAGGGGGGGGGATTTTTGTCCAGAACAATAAACGAAACTCGAATAATTTCCAATCTTTCCGAGTCCAAACTGTACGTAAGGTAGCAGTAGCACAAGACTGCCAAACCGCAACCTGTCTTTCGATTTAAAACGCGTTTCATATCTCTTTTTGGGAAACTGCTCGTGTGACTTAAAATAAATAGGGGGCTGGGGTGGGGGGGAGCCGCGAGCCGCACTTTAACACGCGAAGGGCCGCATGCAGCTTGCGATCCGCAGCTTGGCCACCCCTGACATAGACGTTGCAATCGTTCAAGGAATGCTAACACTAATCACTTTTCTCGGGTGATGAAAACGCTTCAAAATTCACATTTTTCATAGACTCCTTTAAATACATCATGCACCAGTAATATCTTCAACTTGATCACGCACATGGAATGCACGAAATAAGAAATCCGGGCGATGTTCGAGAAGACAGATGCTAAGAAAGCACCATTGTAGTTGAAGTAAACAAAGACGGCTCGAGCGTTTCTGCTGTCTTGGAAGGTGTCGCCACAACATCACCGCATGAGTAGATCGATCTTCCCTTCTAGGACTTGCTGGGTTATCGCGACACGCGACGAGAATTCGGCCAAGGATTGTGCTCTACACGGAACGATGACCTTCCACCATGTCGACCACGTCGATCATCACCACCGATGCCATGTTTTTCAGCTGACAGGCGGCTATGCGCAGGCGCAGTCTGATCTTTCTCTTGCTTCGTTTATCACACAATAGATGGCGCATGTAGGTGCGAGCAAGCATTATAAAATTCGGCAATTTCCATCACATCGCTAATTATTTAACAAAATGTGAATCAAAATATTCTTTAGCAAACATTTTAAGATACATTCGCTGGCAATTTATTGTTTAGGATCGCGGTGCTGGTGAGGTAAGCGCTGATCCAATGGGCAATGTGGATTTGGCTGACGTGCCGTGGTACCGCGAATGCATCGCAGTGAAAAGGCACAGAGCTTTCGAAGGAAAGAAGGTATAAAGGAGTCCACTTTTCTTTTAAAAACTCTATAACGAAAATATTTTTTTGGCTTCCTGTTTTTCTGTTTTGGTTTTCTTTTTATACCTTTTACAGCGTGCAGTGGACACAATTCCAGTTCGAAATCATTTTGTGGTTTTTAAAATGGAGAACAAATGCACAAAGGACGTTCAGCGACAGCTGTGGAACGTCTTTGCAGCATGGAAGCTAGCATTTATAGAATGCCGAGTCTGTCGTTCTTCTCGACATCAAGGAGTGGAAGGGAAACAATTTAAACATTGCCATCCAGACAGTTGTACTGCAAACATATATCAGCATATAATTGGCACACTTTACGAATGTGCACAATGACGTACAGACCTTCAAAAGTGGCTGCACTTGCAAGGCAGGCAAGTCAATCGAGCACTAGTGCTTATTTGTGAGGTTAATTCACTGCTGCAGCTGAGCCTGCAGGACTTGGCACACTGTATTAAGCGCTCTAGGGCACGCCAGTGTGCCCCCTGTTGGTCTGCGAGGTTGTGTCGCCTTCTTTAAGGGGGGACACTACCCAATAGGGTTAACTTTTTAACCTATGGCTTATTATGAATGAAATTTAGAGTATATACTGGAAGTTGCAAGGCAGAATGCAGTGCAAAGTTTCATCAGTGTACATGAGTTGTAAAATAACTTGTAGTCATTTTTATCAGGAACACGCCAACTTTGTTTAGGAAAACCATCGTTAGGAAACTAATGTAATACCGAACATTTTTCTACTCTAGATCTGCAGCAGAATGCCTAGAGAGTGCAGCTGTGAAAAGAAAATTTCCAAAAAGAGATTTACTTCATGTTAACATCGCTGTGAAAAATCAAATAAATTTTTTTGCCTTTTATGTCAAGCACAAAATCTTAACATCTTTCATAAAAGACATCCACAAAGTCAAAAAACAATTCCACAGTTGCACTGCCCATAAAATTCCACTTGGGAAAAACAATAAGCGAGTCTTTCCTCTTGTCCCATTAACAAATGATAGTTTTCCTAAAATGAAAATTATGCCAAAATGTGGAATGTAGAAAAATGTGGTCAAAGTTTTCCAACCCCTACCTTTTCTTTAGCTTCAATGGACCGAAAATAATTTATAAAAAATTAACTATGCGGTGTAAACTAATGAAACTTTTGTAAATACTCTCCAGGTGCTGGTGGATGTAAATATGACATTTTTCAAAATCAGCTTTTTTTGCTGAAAATTTTTTTTCTGGGTAGTGTCCCCCCTTAAGGTGCAACTCTGGTCAAGTTTCAATGGTTAGAAAACAGTGCAGTCCTACGTCGTATCATTCAAAAGCCTACACGTAAAATATTATGATGCAATTCCACCTAAAAGTTTGTTGAACCGACCAACGAAGTTGAAACGGGTCCGCGTTCATCAAAGTCCTCCCAATCTAGCGGGTGACACGCGGAGCAGCATAGTCAACACCGCCGGTGGTCACAGCCAACACTGTGCAGGACGTCAACAACTGGAAGAACTGTCTTGCTTGTTTCTTACTTTTTGTGGCACGGGCATGAGGGCAAAAAAGAAAAAAAAAAGAGTGTGGGGTGGAGAGGGAGGAAGCACGTCTCCGCCACAACACGCGGCACTACTACCGTGCAACCTTGCCGGGTCAACAACGCCATCCGCCGCTTTCGTTCTTGACATGGCCAACTTCTCCGTACCACGTGATGTCCAGCAGTTGATGAGCAGGTTCAATCTTGCCTGCCGGGGGCAAAGTTTTGGTTTTGCTTTGTGATTTTCGTTTAAGGGCACACACCCCCTGAGAGGGTCAACTTTTGAACCCTTGGCTTAAAATTAATGAAATTTACAGGGTGGGCTTGTGGTCATGCTGGAGGGTGCATAACAAAATTTCAGGTCTGTTGATTAAATGGGAAGGAAATTGGAGCAGCTTCTATCAGCAACACGCCTACGTTGTTTAGTTAATCTGTCGTCAAAAAAGTATCACAATATTCAAGATTTTTTTTTTCGCTAGATATGTAGCAAAATGCCTAGGGGGTGCAGCTATGAAAAGTTTTTGTAAAAAGTAATTTATTTCTATAAATTTTCTCTTCTGCAAAATTGGTCAACTTTTTGGTTTCTATGTCTTCAACAAAATGTCGACAAGAAGTCCATAGCCGCATTCCTTAATAAATTTCAGTTAGGAAAAGTGAAGAGTGAGCATTCCCTGTATTGCCATCATCAAACAATAGATTGACTAAAATGGAACTTAAACCAAAAAGTTCAACAGAGAAAAGTGCATTCAAAGTGTACCAAACCCTATCTTTTCTTTAGCTTCGGTGAACAGAAAATAATTTATAAAAACTTAACTATGCAGTGTAAACTTATTAAACTTTCTTGGAATACTCTCTATATGTTGATAGATGTAAATATGTCATTCTGAGGGTTCTCCCCAGGAATTTTTCAGGGGTGGACATAACTATTATCCGAGCGGTGGGGCAGTGGTGGGGCGTGTAGTTTGCAATGCTGCGCGATCTGGCTTGCAAACAAATAACACTTTGCGTAGGCTATCTAACTTTGTGGCCCTGTGAGTGGTGCCATGCCGTGGTGATAAAACAAAAACAAAAATTGCCTCGGGGGGAAAAAAAAAAAAAAATGTGGGGGTGGAAAGTGAACAGGCGAAGATAAAGCAAGCCACGGCGCCAGGAACAAGCATTGAGCAGCAAAAGAAAAGTCCTCTCCACTTTCTGCTCTTTGGCACTTGCCGCCTGCAAAGAGAACTGCTGCGAGGTGCGCGTTTGTTTATTTTGCGTTCTTCCTCTGCCTAGCACCCCCCTCCTAACCCTCCCCACACTGGGAAAAAGTACTGGGAAATATCGAGAAATAAAACCTTTTTGCGACGCTTTGTGGGCCACCAACTTCCGAAACTGTGTTTGTCTAAAAACAGTGAAATGACGTATTTTAATTAAGTGTGTATGTGTTCCAGTGATTCACGGGAACAACTGACCGCTTCTCATTGTGCAGTTTCATCAGTCGCAAATTTTTATTGGGTGCAGGCTGGTTGCCTAGCAGTTACTTTTTGACAAACTTTTAAAGTTGCCTAAAGGGCCCCTGAAAACAAAAAAGGAAATTTTTTAACAGACACGTGTGTCATAAAATAAATTTTATGTGAAAAAAACTAATTTTTTGCAATATTGACGGCGCGAGATGCAATTTAGTCGGCAGTCGCCTCCTTTCAACTTTATTTCTCTCGGCATTTCTTGCGCGTGGAGGAGAGGTGGATCGGCTTTGGTTTCCCGTTGAGGTGGAAAGAGCGAATGCCCGAGATATTCATTCCGGAATGACCTGTGACGTCATAAACTTTGTGCGCAGAATTTCAAAAAAATTTCTCGCCGTCAATATTGCTCTAAAAAACTTTTTTGGGGTCGTAAAATTTATTTGATGACACTCGTGTCCCAACCAGTCTGTTCAAAAAAAAAGGTATTTTTCTTTTCAGGGACCCTTCAAAAAGTCCCTGAAAATTTTTTTTTAAACAATCTGGTTGGGACACACTTGTCAAAAAATAAATTCAAAGCAAAAAAAAAACAAAAACAAAATTTTAGAGCAATATTCACGGTGAGAGATTTATTTGAAATTCTGCGTGCAAAATCCATGACATCGCAGAATGGTCATTCACTCTTTCACCTCGACGTGAGGCCGAAGCCGATCCACCTCTCCTCCACACGGCCGAAATACCGAGAGAGAAAACAAGTGGAAAGTAGATGACACCGACTAAATTGCAACTCGTGCCTTTAATGTTGCTCTAAAAAAAAATATTTTTCTATTAAAATTAATTTTTTGACACGTGTGTCCCATCCAGACTGTTTAAAAGAAGCCTTTTTTCTTTTTTTCGGGGCCTTTTAAAAAGACATTGCTCTACCTTTGTTTTTCAGAATCGTAGGCTGCTGCAGTCCCTTCATCCAGATAACAAGCGGAACTTGGAGACAATTGAAGATTCTCTTTTTGTGCTGGTCTTGGATGATGCCAGTCCTGAAAACCGCCAGGAGGCAAGTGCCTAATTTGACCCTACATCGTGCCTACCGAGCAGCCCACACTTGTTGCTCAACATGGTCAATTGGTGGCTGTATTGCATTGACATCAGTGAGCTGGAGTGTTTGAAATTAATGTTAGGTATGCCTAGGTTGTGTCCCAGGCCAGTCAGTCAAAAATTGGCAATTCGACAGGAGCCAATCCAGGGCCGTGAATGGGTTCAATCGTTTTACAGCATTTTTTGGGATCTGCCTTGGGATGAGAGTGAGTCCAGTGATGCGGTGTCCTCTGTGCAGGTGATGATTGAGTCCCTCAAGGGGGATTGTTCAAACAGGTGGGTGGACAAGTCATACTCGCTTATTGTCTTCAAGAACCTCACCATTGGGTCGTCGGCCGACGTAAGCAAGACACTCTGTTCCGTTTTGTCTGAAGTGTTGACTGTACAGTGAGTCTACCACACAAGCTCAACTCGGGTTCAGGTTAATCTTTTTTTATGACCACAGTTAAGAAATTATAAAAAAATGTGTTTGTGTGTATAAGCCTGCAAGAAACGCGAACTGCCGGGTTGTTCGTAGCGCATGTTTTCCCCTAAAATGGCCACATTAGGCGTGACTGTTTTGCTTGTATAGTAAGCTTTAACAGTAAAACTCGGTGCAGAAAATAAGAAAACATGTTTATTTACATGCTTAAGTGGTTCGTTCAACTCTTTAAATCAATAGGCCCTCAAAGATTCTTCCTCGTATGAAAGATTTTGAAGCACTCCATCCTCGGTCACTTAGGTGTCGCACAACCAGCACGCTCTTGTCGTGGTTCGGGCTCGGAACTGCTGTTAAAATCGCCTCCGTTGTTGACAGAAGTCTCTGAAAACTCACTATTTTCACCAGACGTCCCATCATCATCGCTGTCGAAGATGATATCTATGATTTCATTGTCAGAAAGGCCACACCGTACACTGGACACTGCCATCTTCTCCAAGCAGGCAGCGATTGAGCAGGAAAGACGACACACAAAAGAACTAGCTCAAACAAATGCAGCGAACAGACAACCCTCGCCATCTGTTGGCAATGTATCTAACTGCGCTACCCCTAGTCTACATAGCGTGCCACCTATGAATGGCTTTTTCAAACAGAAATTCATGCAGACTGGCGAATCACCAGCTTTGGCAATATGGCCCCTGACAGCACGCCCGGCGATTCGCCGGCTTTGGTAGTGAATGGGTTAAAGGGGTCATGAAACAATTTTTCTTCTTTTAACTTCTTAGCTTTCCTCCTCAACTCACAAATTGCGCATTGTACCAAGCAATTCAAGAAGACGGAAAGGGGGACTCTCTTCTTGCTCGGTCTCTCGTTTTGTGCACCCAGACACTGCCATTCTCCTCCTAGAGGATTAGCTTGTCACTCAAAGGTCAGACAAAGATGGCTTTCCCCACCCCGTCCACCCCTAAGCTGACAGAGCTGTGGAAGCTACGTGCTCGTTGGGCCAGCCACACTTTTGCCACTTGATCACGCTCCCTCATGCATACCCACACAAAGAGAATGAGGTCAGGTGATGAAAGGAAGGTGGCTGATTGATCCGGCAAGCGCATAGCTTCCACTGCACGGTCAGCTTAGGGGTGAAGAGGTCCGGTGTCGTGTGACGTGCGTTTGGGCCGGATGACGCGCTTTGGGTGCCGCGGAAGTATCACAGTGAAAAGACAGAGCTTTCGAAGGGAAGGAGGTACGAAATAGTCCGCTCTGTTTTTAAATTTTCATACCAAAAATCTGGTTTTTGACTTCCTACTTTTTTTCTTTTGGCCCACTCATTGATATGCTATTAGTAAAATCCCAATCTAAATTCATTTATCCTAGCCCAAAATTCGTTTCATGGGCCCTTTAATGAAATCTTGCCTGCCATTTAAAGGCCGACCTACAGAATCCTCTTCTGCCGGGCAGAAAACCAGTTCCCAGTTTCCTGCTCTATTCCCTCTCACACTCTTCTCTCCCGCAGGAGTGAGTCTCTGATCTACTCTCCACAGAAAGGAGGAGGGTCTTCCTCTTTCTTGAGTGGAAAGGAGGAATTAAGGAAGAGCTTCCTCCTTTCTGCTTGTTGGTCGGCCTTTAAGGCTTCCGGGAAGTTGCTTTCCAAGTTGCCCCTGCCAGGTTCGACTACCTTTGTAATTGATTGCCGCATTTCAGGATTCCAAGGACCTGTCATATGTGCAGACTAAAAGATATGAAAATATTGCAGTGCAAATATTGTGGTGTGCAGTGCAATTCACTTATAACGATACCACAAATAACGATGGACCGCTTATAACGATTAGTTTCTAGAGGGACATGCATTTTTGTGTGGGGTATCCAGTCCGGATACGATAGTTGGTTATAAGGATTGCATTTTCTGGTTTTCTAATTATTGTTATAAGTGGATTGCACTGCATCTCAATTCTGCAGAACAATGCATCTTCTGGACGACACATGGTATAGCAATTCACTGGACGACACATGGTATAGCAAACACGGGGTGTTTTTCGACATTGTTTGTCTTGGCACTTCTAAGCTACTGACAAACCAATGTGGTTTGCAGAAACTTTTAGATTGTATGCCTACTTCTGTCACTTGATAGAGCTCTATCATTGCAGCACACCCCTTTCGATGGGATGGTTCCAGTCTCGTGCGCTCACTACGCCCACCTGTCTCACATCGCCGAAGATGAAGACGCCGTGAGTTCAGTTGATTGTTCTGCAGTGGCTCTCTATGTAGGGTAGAGTGAACAGACACAGAGAACTAATTTTATAATTCTTAAATATTGTTGCACATACTGTTCATTCATTGTCCAATTGTTTTGGGGTCAAAGTTTGTACTCCATCTATTGACAAAGCTTTTTCTCATATCTAGGTTCCTACGGTGTTACCGTGCATTGGCCTAATGGTTGCCCTTTTATACAGCAAGATGGCTAGGGCACTGCAAGCATATAAGCATGGTTTATCAATTAACATTTCTTAATAAATAAATTTATGATGCCCATTAGTTTCCATTAAAGGGATACCGAATCGAAACTTAACATATACTTCTCACGTTCAGAAATAAGTTAAACATAATCAACCTTACCTGCTAATGACAATTGCACGCTTTGCTTGTATTTTGAGCGGATGGCTATATTTTTCGTTCCAAAGGGCCGATTCGAGCCAGCGCTCGAAGATCGGCCATCGGAGAGCACGATGCAACACGAGAAACGTGGCATCAACTGGCCCAGCATGGGCAAAGTTGCTTGGGGGCTGGCGTAGTTATGAGCTCTGCCACTTGTTGTGGTCAACGGATTACTACCTGAACAATTTACAGTAAAACCTCGTTATAAAGAAGTTGAAGGAGCGGTCGTAATTACTTTGTTATAACCATTAGTTTGTTATAGCCAATGTCCATTTCTTCCAACTATTCAAGCAAGGGGAATTATGATTGCTTTGTTATATCCATTTGTTTGTTATATCCCATTTTGTTATAGCGAGGTTTTACTTTAGTTGCCCCTCCCCACTCTTCCCGCAGTAGTTGAATAGGACGGGAGGGAAGCAAAATCCGGTTGGACAGGGCTCGTGCGTACGCAGCTTGCTGCCATACTTCTCCGGGGCAGCGCTTCGTTTGAGGTCATAGTGACGTAACGAGCTTCGATTTATTCCTTTTAAATAATGTTGCTGTCTTTTCGAGCAAAAAAAAAATTGACGTCGCCATGGTGTGGCCAGAACGTGGTCAACATTTCAACAATAAAATAGGTGCTAGAATTTTGTTGCAGTATCCCTTTAACACTTGCTGCAGAGATATGGTACACTGGTTTTGCAACTTCTCAAATATTTAAGAGCACGTACAAAACTGCTGAACTCTTTAATCGAGGTGCAGTTTTCTGCGACCTTGATACTGCTTTCAACTAAAAGTTTTGTTAAACTGGGATGTTTGTTCATTTGAACTGAAAGTTCTCTACATTTTAACTAAAAGATATATCAATGACCTTTTTAGAGTGAACATGAGATCAGAGGTCCCCTGCCAGAACCCGAACATCTAGAGTTTCATCTGAACGATCACCTCTTGAACGAAATTGACCTGGCGAAAGCGGAATACCTCAGACTGGTAAGATGTTTTGTGACATTTGTTTTCTCATGGGCTTGCTGATATACCAGATATCATAGGGAGGGCTGTTTCACCGCGTCCACGGTGGAAGCAATGTTGGCATTCATTTTTTTAATGTGAAAGCATTAACTGGTCCCATGGAGCGAAGCTGGCCTTGTCTGTAACAGCGAAAAACGGCACCTAAATTCTGTCTGTAGCAGCAAGAAGCGGCACGTAAATTCCCATTGGCTGCGACGCATCATGTGGCTCTATAGCAATGGCATCATTGTTACTAAGGGGCCAGTCAAACTGCTGGCGGCGCAGCGGGAGGGAGGGGGGGGACAAGGGTATGCGCTGGCCTGACATGAGGCCTAACTTTAGGCTTACCGTTACGCTTTGAGGTCTAACGTCGCCAACTGGTATGTGCAGCTGTTTGACGTGAGGAGGGGACCCGGGTATGTGCTAGCCTGACATTAGGCCTAATGTTATGCTTTAAGGTCTAACGTCGTCAACCGGTTCCCACAGCTAAGGCAATAATGATGATAAGAGGACACGTGATTTCAGCACACGCCGCACTGAGCTTCGCTCTCTTGCCACTGCCTCACCTAGCGGCGCATCAGTTACCAGCGAGCCAGGGCGTTCTGTGCAGCGCACTGCCGCACTCTGTCCGGCACTGCAGCCGCTTCTGCCCCTCTCGGCGCTGAGAAACATGGCGGCGCCTGAAGCATCAATAAGACGTCCCAAGTCGCCAGGCTCGACCTAAAATGGACCGTAAAAATCGACGCCTGCCCATAGCAATCTTTAACTTTTCGTCAAAGGTGTATTTCACAGGTGGGTTTTCTTTTGTAAAATTGCAAAGCGTAGCTCCGTTTCTGGAAACCGTAGGGCCGAAAAATGAAAGCCGTTAACAACTACCTGTAACGCCGAATTAGATCGCAGCTCTTGAGGAGGGGGAGGGAAGGGTACTGAGAGGAGTGTATACCCGTCCTCCCTCCTCCTCACCTCCTCATTCTGCCTGCAGCTCCTCCCTCCGAGCGGCATCGCCATTGGCGTAATTGTGAGGTCACATGACGTCGCGTGACCAGGGTGTAAGATAGACAGGTGGGGAAACGGCCCATAGAAGCCTACCGCAGCGCCGTGACTGGATTGTGTACTCATTTGCTTGCGGGTATCGCCGATTTGCGACATATGGCGCTGCGGCGAAAAGAAAATAATCGGAATCGGATTTGCATGGAACTCTATGGGAGAGTGCCCAAAATAAACTGAGAGCACGACAGTCCTCCATTGAAAATCCACGAAAAACCATCTCCGTCAGATTAGCCGGTCGCCACCGGTCACCCACTCGGAGTGAGAGTTCGCAATGCTCCACATAGGTGGTGCCACAGAAAAAGAGAAAACCGAGAGGGACACAGTCTGGTCGCTCATTTGGCTCTCGTTTTCCCACCTGTCTATCTTACACCCTGCACGTGACCCTCATGACCTCAAAGGGGTCACGTGACGTCACGAGGACGTTTCACGCAGTGCTGAAACGTCCCCATGCCGAAACGTTGCCACGGTTACGCCCAGGGATTTCCCTAGACCCCCCCTAGGGGGGGTTAGGACCCCCCCTCGTTTTTCCGAAGGCACCCCCTTAATTCGCAACGACTCCTATATTTGCAATGCCCCCCCCCCCCCCCCTTTAACCCCCCCAAAAAAATTGAGACACCCCCCCTCATTTCAATTCCTGGGGAAACCCCTGGTTACGCCGCTCAGGCCGGAAACGGGCGCCTAAGAGCTGCGCTCTAAAAACTTGCCAGGGTCAATGGTGGGCGGCGACACATACGACCAAGCCGAGTATTGAGGCTATTGAGGCTCGTTTGACGCTCGTATTGATAGATGGCGCTACCTCCTTATCGAGATTACAGCCCCTAATTGAGCCTGCTCGCGACCACCGTGGTTTATTGAAATGAACATACTCTTTTTGTAATGTAGCTCTTGTTAAAAAATAAATGCGGACACAAAAAGCAAAAAAAAAAAAAAAGTGTTCGCCTAACGACGGCGTTATGTTACCAATGCCGTTTTATCTGCATGTCATCTACTTTTCTTCGCTGGTCAGCTACACCTTCTCACGCATGTTGACGACGCTGCTCCCGACACCGCTCCCGACACCATCTATAAATTTGCGCGCCAAATGCGTCCCGCAACTCGACTTGGTTGTCTGAGTCGCCGCCTGCCGTTGACCCTGACAAGTTTTTTGGCCCTATGTTTTTTTACAGAAAATAAGCTACCTTTGTAATTTTACAAGAAAAAAACAACCTGTAAAATGCACCTTTCCCGAAAAATTCAGATTGCTATGTGCAGCTGTCGATTTTTACAATCCATTTTAGATCGAGCCTGGTGACCTGGGGCACCCTATGTATCGTTGGCGGCCGCAGCCTCGGCAGTAGCAAAACGTGGCCATCCACGCCAGTACACCGCAGACAAACTAAGGGAGCAGAAGAACGACATTAATGCTTTTGCATTCACAACTCATAAAAAGTGCTTAGGTGTCCTCGGAATTTTGGTTTCTTCAGTGTGACAACATTGACATCCTCTGTGAGGTTTTCACCGGCTATGGGAAGGGCTTCATGAAGCCAGTGAGGGTTCATCCCGAGGCCTACTTGCAGCTGGCTCTTCAGCTCGCCTACTACAGACTGCACAACAAGTGAGTCTTGCAAGTGGCCCCTTTCATGATATATTTAAAGTTAGAATTTGTTTAAACCTACCATATTGGGGGTTGTTTGTTGTTTCTTGTAGGGCCTTCATATGAATTCTTTTATTTTAGCAGACATGCTACATTTAGTGGTCGTTCCTTAGTGGCATTTTTGTATACTTGATATTCAGTGAAGCAGTGTTCACTCTTGCCTTGGCCATTGTATGGGTGGCTGGAAGCTTTGTAAAAAGAACAAGTGACAGTTGTCAACTGTTCCCATAGAAAAAAAGGTGGATGGTAGAGTATCTCAACTAGTAAGTCAGACTCTACTGTGTCAGTTCTGGTAAGTGCACACTGATGTACTATATTTACAAGAATGTAGGTCAACCTATTTTTCAATTTATGAAAATCTAAAGTTGGGGGGGGTGGGGGTAGACTTATAATCGAACCAAAGCATTTTGCCGCGGTCAAAAATGAAACAATCGCAATATCAAGAACACCTCAGCTTGTTACAAGTTTAGCCAGCTGTACCTGTAGCATTGTGCCATTGTGAAAATTAATTTTACAAAATCTTTTTTTTTAATTTGTGCAAGCAAGTACCATTGATAGTGATTTGCAAATCAGCCTAAATGTATGGCGGTGAACTGCGCACATGGGTGCACGGCGCGCCCAACTCCCAGGGTTTGTGGCACTTGCTGCAAAAGCAACTCCGGAATGGCCGCTGGAACAGCCTCACCCAGCCTCACTCCGCACTGCTTTTTTCGCACAAGTCACGGTCGAACATTGTGTGATCGAGTGTCAAGATTATGCTTGAGTGCCAACTACGTTTTTCTGTATTGTACGCTGATCCGGCAGTTTAGGATTTTGGTGCTCATTTTGGCCATTCTTCATCCAAACGCAACCAAAAACTGCGCTGCTGGATGCAAGTTCGACCTGTCGGAACGGGTGGTGCTCCAGCAGCGTCTACAATGGCGCAGGGTCTTACCTGTGACGGTAGTCTATAAGAGGCTTCCACGGGCCAAAGCTTGCAACGTACGTCGCAGAAATTCACAATCAATCCCTACCTGTGACGTGCGACGCGATCACCGAGCGAGCCTGGAAGATGCGGTTCATGCGGTCATTTGCGAAGTGCTAGATATTGTTAGACGACGCCAACGACATGCTTTGAGACCGTAGCAGTGATGACGACGGTAACGCCAGCATTAGTGCGGACGGATCGTAGTCTCTTGTAGAAGACAGAGTGAGAACGACAGGTAGCAGCTTCAGTTGTCCCGCCTCCAGCGCAGGCTTCCTAGCTTCGGTAACGATTAGGCATCTTGTGCGCCTCGAGCGTACATGCGCAGCCAAAGCATGCCAGAAAGCATCGAGTGCGTGCTGGAGGCCGGGCTTTTGAAAGAGACACCCCGCCGTTTTCATACGTTTGCCGTAGAGTGCGCCCCTAAAGTTGTTTTCTTTTTGTTGACGTTTAATGCGGGACCAACTCACGTCTCACGGGAATCGATATAGAGCGCACAGGTCGCGGACAAACTAATGTCACGGGAATAGATACCGCGGATAGTGGACGCAGCAGATTCGCATTTCACGATGCAATATACACGCGGGACGAACTAAAGTGTCCCGGGAACCAATACCGCGTGCGCAGATCACGTACTAAAACGCGGGAACTTGCTATGGCTCATCTCGGACATCGCGTGACATCCGACGGGAATCGGGGAAGCGAGGGGGGGGGTTGATGTTTTGGAATTTTTATGTTACAGATATTTAGCCAGTAAAACGGGATGAGCAATCTCGTGAGGCCAGGCGTTCTCTCGGAACGTTACGTTAGTACTTTGCAAGTTCTGTTTGCCGGTGCCTCTTTTTAGAACGTTCCTTGGCAGTTAAATTTCTTAGTGTGGGATAAATGGGCTGTTGGGTCGCATAGTTTGTATCATGATTTAAATTCCCATGGCTCGTATCTGAAAAATTAGCAAAAAATAAGTTACTTTAAAAGGATCGATACGCCTTTTCCCTATTTACCCAATCACCAAAGAGCATGCTGGGAACGTAGGCACATATGCTGCATGCACTTGCCTCATCAGTATACTATGAAAGATTCGAAGTTGCCAATATAAGGCTTTTAGGAATGCACATGCAAAGTGACATTTCCCTCGATTTTTCACTACAGAACAGCTACTACTGCAGATGCCGGCAGGTGTAACTGCACTCACAGCATACTTCTTGGTGCTTGTGTAGTATTGCAACAGCCTGTTTGCAGTGGTGATGTCTGAAGTTGCTTTAGAGGTTTAACGTTCCCTTTCCATTTCTTTCCTAGGCCAGCCCCTACGTACACAACGGCATCGACGAGGGAGTTTTACCACGGGCGAACGGAAACGTGCCGGTCATGTACGTGCGAGATGATGGACTTTGTGAGGGCAATGGACGACGGGCACAGTTCTGTAAGTGCTGGGCTCATTGCAAGCCGCTGTGAAAGCTGCTATTGTTTTGTTGCATGGCTGAGGTTAGCTTGCTGTCTAGGCAAAGTTGCTTGTGAACAGTCTGATGTGCCGACAACGTTTTTGAAGTGACGAGCTTTTAATGTGGCGAATTGCAGTTAAAACAAGTGCTTTCCTACTTTTTATGTCTTTATGCCACGGGGCCATGCTTCACTTTAGTTCAGCTAGCAATTCTCTGCTTCCATTTTCTGTTGAAAGAGTGCTAAGCAATAGATATAAATTGTATACTATTATTTTTTTAGTTTCCCACCTTTAGAGCATGAAAAAGTTTTAGAATGGGCTCAGTCCTGAAAATAGAAAAAAGTCTGCTATTTATATATATATGTTTTATCATATACTGTAAATGACAGAATATTCGCAAGGACCTATATTCTGTTTAATCTTATGATGTACCGCAGGAAAGGCTACAAGCGCGAGCTCCTTGCTCTGGGGCACATCTTGGCGGCACAAGCTCTCCTGACTTAAGAGCAGCTGCCAACGCGATGAGCTCGCGCTTCTAGCTTTCGCTGCGGTACAACATAAGGGGAAACAAAGTATAGTGTTTCAGCATCTCATGTCTTGAATTATAATGCAAAATATTGATTCCGCATATATAATTTCCATTGCTACAAAACACATTGCGTACCACGCCGGTTCGTGAAATTTCGTGTTCGTAAATTATGCCTGAAAGCCACAGCCCTTAGACACAGCTGTTTGCAGTACTGTCATTAATCAGAAATCTACTATGTGCAGTGGACAAAACTTCCTGTTTAGACATTTCAAGGCAAGGAAACATTTTCTTCTTCCTCTTCTTTCCTTAGCCAGCCACAATTGTTGGTTTGATGAATCGAGCCGTGGAAAAGTTTGGGCATCTCATGGTTGACTGCTGCAGGAACCATGGTTTGTGCATCTGTGACCTCTCTACTCTATTTAGCTTTTTGCTGCATTATAGCAGAAGCTTTTCAATTTTATTCCTCCACTTCATGCTTGGATAAATCCATTCACACATGTTTGCCACAGGTTCATGCAAGGTGTGTTTATTATGATTGATTCCACATGTTCCAAAACTAGAAGTCGTTGAATCTCGCCGAATTTTTCCCAAAACTACCGTAATGACCTGGAGAGAATTCTCCCTCTGACGAATTCAGTAGCACTTTTTTTTTTCTATGCCCAGTTCCTGAAGCTTGTTTTTAATCAGTCAATATCGCACAACCAGCTTTAATGTAATAAAGGATGAAGAGCAAAACAACAATAATAATCCCCGGAGAAGGGAAACAAGGGGGACAAATGACAAACAAATCTACAAACACAGCTATCGCATTGGTGCAGGGGAAGACTGGAGAAAGAATGAACAGATTGTGTCGTCTTCGCCTTACATTTTTATTCTTCAGTTGTGGCGACCCGTCACGCCGACGCGTTAAGGCAACTCTTCACTTGAAGCCAGCAGTGATAATCTGCATTATAAACGGTATGAGCTATGAAGAACGGCTTTTACTTGGAAACTGTTGTGAACCATCTTGACAAAAAGCTAAGCATGGCACACTGTGCACCCCATTTGAGCGAGCTAAGTTCAGGCTCCACAGCCAGTCGACCAAAATATCACTTTCATTTTCAGTGGTGCAAGGAAAAGACCTCAGAAATTTATTTATTTAAATACCTTAAGGAACCCCCATAGGGGGTATTACATGAGGGGTGGCATACAACAAACATCAATAAAAGGAAGGTACAATGTCATGAAAGCAAATGTGCATGTAAAATAAAACAAAAATCGTCAGGAAGTTAAGTATGCAAACACGAAAAACACTTCAATAGTACCTTAAATGCAATTGCACGTAATAATTCTTTAAATTCTAATCAGTCATCAGTAGTTACAATGTTCTTTGAAAGCCCGTTCCAATCAAAGGCATCATGTGAAAAAATGAGTTCTGAAAAGTGATGGTTCTTGCCTTTGGACGCTGTACATCGATATTCTGACCCATGCGACGGTTGCGGCTTTCTGAATGAGCGATGTATAATAATCGGTGACATGGGCTGTGAAAAAATTTGTGAAAAAGAGATAGCTTAGCTAAATTACGGCATTCAGAGAAGAGGGGGAGCTTGGCAGGGGTTCGAAGCGATGCGACGCTAGTGAAGGAAGAGTTATCTGAGTGAATAAAACGTAATGCTCGTCACTGGAACTTATTCAATGTTATTAATGAGGTAGGCTTGGTAAGGGTCCCAGATAGCAGATACGTATTCCAGTTTAGGGCGGATAAGGGATGAGTAAGGAAGTTTTTTTTATGTGAGGGGGGGAGGCCAGGGCCAGTATCAAGTTGCACCTCAGAAAACCTAAAGAGGGATTAGCAGAGGATATGGTGTGACTGATATGAGTGGCCCAGGAAAGATCAGATGTAAGCAGGGTGTGCACAGGTCCTTGAAACCTTGAAAACCCTTGAATTTGAAAGTTGTTTTTTCAAGGCCTTGAAAGTGCTGGAATATCTTTGCCGTCCTTGAAAACCCTTGAATTCTTAGCGTTTCGCGGGGTTCGGTTGCGCGACCCGCATTTTATAGCGGTTGAGCGTGGTCCCGGGAAAATTCGTTGCTTGCTTTCCACGACACCGGGATCGCGAAGTCAAACCAATCAAACTTCCTGCGCGAAAAAAAAAAAAAAAAAAAAAAACGCGCGGCCGCTGCGCTTTTTTATTTTCTTTTCTTTCATCTGGCTTGCTTCAACTTCAGGGTTGGCCAAAAGCCATAAGTGGCCACAATGAGGCTGGAGAGCCTGGAGAGTCTCGACCTCTTCGTAAAAAAGGCATGTTGCGCCAGCGTGCTTATTTGCAACGGAAATGCAGTTATATGAAGAGTTAAATTTAGTAGTATTTAATTCTTTCTTTTGCCTTCGTCTTTAGCTGGATTTATTGGCGACCCACTAAAAAAGGCACAGCCCCATATTCCGAGAATTGTCTGTTGGCCACATTGTGCTTTGTTTATGGTCTGTGCCTACTCCGGATGCTTTGTTCGCTGTTTGTTCCCACGTGTCGCTTATGGTGCGTATAGTGACCCAGTGATTCGTGCATTCAGATGGCATAGAATAATGCCCGGGAAATGTAAGTTCCAAAGCGCTTGGCTCAGCAACGACGACTATAAGCTTTGGGTTGCGCCAGATACAGCAAACCCTCACTGCGCAAAATGCACACGCTGCACAAAGGCGTTCAACATTGCTTCGATGGGCGAATCTGCCCTCAAAAGCCATGCAAAAAGTACAAAGCACTGTGGAATCATGCAAATGGCAGCTGGAAACTCGATGGAGAACTATCTGGCAGCAAGCGTAAGCGGGCGGTCCACTGCCTCGGCTCTGCCGCAGGCGACCGATCTAAACAGCGCCTGCAAGTCACATGAGGTGGTTACGGATGCGGAAATTCTGTGGACAATGAAAGTGATTACCTCCCACTACTCGTACAGATCGTCGGCACAAACCGGCGATTTGTTCAATCTCCAGAACTAACTTCACCTAGTCGAATGAAACTGTACGCGCAATAACTTCAAGTACGCGAGCGTCGCGGCTTACGTACAGACTCACTCGGCCGAACGCAACCGAGGAGTCTGGCCCCGTTCACGTGACCGATTTAGCACATTGCTGGCTCGTTGACGGTTGTGCTGGGTTCATAGACTCCCTGGACATAAGTGAAGTCAGTTTTCTTTGTTCTGTGCAATAAAAATAATGTGTGTGATCTACTCTAGTGTTCTTTATTTTTTGAAAGGTCTTGAAAACCTGTACGAACCCTGTGTAAGGTGAAATCTGAGATACATACTTGAAGGAGTGAGTTTTTTTTCCAAAGGAACGCTGTTAAGGGAGTAGGAAAAGATAGAGGGTTTAGAGCGACGTGTAAAAGACACAAGCTTGCACTTACGGACGTTGAGAGACATCTGCCATGTTTTACACCATGCTTGGATGCGGTTGAGGTCATCTTGGATGAGTAGGCGATCTGACAAGTTAGTCACTTGGCGATAGGTGACACAGTCGTGAGCGAAAAGACGAACATGTGATGTTATTGATATAGGCATGTCATTAATGTAAATTAAAAATAGAAGGGGTCCCAGGACTGATCCTTGAGGAACCCCTGAAGTGACTGGAGCAAGAGAAGATGACTGGTTAGCAGTAGCAAGTTGCTGTGTGTTAGTTAAACAGTGAATGATCCAGTTCAGAATCGAGGAATCTAAGTTGAGTTTAGAAAGCTTGTACATGAGTCGTCTATGAGGGGCTTTATCAAATGCTTTGGCAAAGTCAAGGAAGATGGCATCAGTTTGAATGTTAGAATCAAGGTTAACATGTATGTCATGGGTAAACGATAGAATTTGAGTTTCACATGAAAAATCCTTTCAAAAACTGCTGGGATGGGTTGATGAAACAAGTGTCTGACAGGAACTGAATGATGTTAATGTAGATGACATGCTCAATTATCATGAGATGCTTGTTACGGAGATGGGTCGATAGTTGAATGAGAAGTATTTGTCGCCATTCTTGAAAATCGGAACAATCTTGGCCACTTTGCAGTTATTTTCACAATCACTTGCAAGGGATTGTGAAAATATTTTAGCTAATATCACACTAGCTAAGTCTTCAGTGTTTTTTAGAATTTTGCCTTTATGTTATTCATGCCTGCTGATGAAGAGATTTTAAGGTTGTCAACGAGTTTCGCGATGCCTGCAGGTTCAAATACAAACCCAGACATTGGTGTAGGAATAGCAAGAAGAGGAGAAAAAAAGGCTTCGCTACTCTCATGCGTAAATATGGACCAAAAAGCATCATTCAGTAATTCAGCCCATTCGTCATCGTGAACCGATGTGTCACCGTCATTTCTAAGTGTGACTGGAGTATGAGATTTAAGTTTTATGACTTTCCAGAACTTCTTAAGGCCCGTTCACACTCTTGCGACCTCTTAAACCTGGGTTCCTTAAAACTTCTTAAACCAGAGAACACACTGGCGCCATCTATTGGGAAGCAGTGTAAACTCGGCGGTCCAGCATATTTTTTTTTTATTTCTCGCGCATTATCCTTTTTTTTTTGGCTCGAAAAACTTTTGTCAATGTTATAAACGAGCCTTTCTATGGGTATTACGCACATTTGACCTCGGAAATCCCGCAAAACCTTCGCTCTTGTGAAATGCAGTTCCAGGGTCACCGCATAGATGGCGCCACAATGCCAGTGTGTTCCCTCATTCTAAAAACATTTAAGAAGTTTTAAGAGATCTCGTCTCTCTCAGTCATACTCGGTCGCAAGAGTGTGAACGGGCCTTTAGGGTCATTCTTAAGCATACACGGTTTGCATATGGTTTGCATATGGCTAGAAAAGAACTAAACCCTGAGACGAGGGGACTAAATTAACTGGCTTAGCTTTTTCAGGTTTTTTTTTTAGGGATCAGCGTCCCTAAAAATAGCAAAAAGAAAACAATGAGGTAACATGGTGCCCTTCTGAACATATAGAAAACTTAATTTTCAGAGAAGATATGAGCTTCTGTTGAGTGCATGTTCCTTGAACGCCTTCCTTTTGAAGTAAAGCAGTTGTATGCCAATATGTTTCCCCGTGTCCTCTGTTGTGTCACTTGTTGTAACCTATACAGCAATTGAAACAGCTGTCAGTGCTTTTGGTCACAGGTTGTGACAGGCACCTGATGGGACTGGCCCTGATCGCCTTCGAAGACGGGACGCCCATGCCGGAGCTGTTCCTCGACCCTTCCTTTGTCAGGAGGTAAGGGGCTACCCTTCGGAGCACTCTTCCACGCGTGTGTGCTCCTGAGCTCCCATTGGAGTAGCACCTCCAGTGTCCTTAAGACACTTCTTGGTTTGTATTTCTCAATTTTTTTATGAAAGAAAAATGGGAGGCACAAATGGAACAGCAGCACCGTTTTTACTCGGATCTCTGCACAGCTTCTTGAACAGTGCTACGAGTGATTCGGGTCTATAGCCACTAAGTTCATAATATTCGTTATAGATGAAATGACTAGGTATCTCCGGACACATCAGCGTTATGCTCGGACCTTTGTTAAACCCAACTGGTGAGGGTAATGGTTTGACTGGGGGTGACTTCCATCCATTCACTGTATGCATCCAATCTGTTTGCTGTACAAGCATCTATGACCTTATCTTCATCTGATCATCTTATTTTCTTATCTGAAAAGCATGCAATTGTTGCACATTTGCTACTTTGACCCTTTTATTAATTTTTTTAAATACTAGCAGTAAACCTTCGATACCAAAGGCGTTAAAAAGGACATTTTTACAATCAATAAAAGAAAGGAACAGTGCTGTTAGTAGTACTGTACTTCTAGTAAAAATTGCTCCTAGTTATACAATCTTAGCTAAAGCGTTTTTGATTGTTTGTGATCTTCAACAGTCGCCGTTGTTACAGAAAGGCAATTCCACTAATGATATGTGTGAGGTTAAACTTCGGAAGGAAAGCATTAGTCGTGCACGATGGAGTTCTAGCCTTATGAACATAAACTGAGATGAAACGCACTGGGAAAGTAAAATAAGTTTGTCGCTCACAAGTAGGCGATAAAATAACCCCTAGAGTCTAGGTGTGCCTTAAATCAGTGACAAAACATTTTTGTTTTATCTAGTTTTATTAAGCTGTTACTCGCCTGGAGAATCAAGACTGGGCCTTTTGCATGGTTTCCATCCCTCGGAATATTTATTCACAAAGTTTGTAGTGCTACCCAAAACAGCAGTCTTTCAAAGGATGATGAATGTTTTTATTGAGACAGTCAGAAATCCATTGCGATAAACTTAACCGTGCACAGGCCCATTTAATTTGATTAGGTACTCATATTTGTAGGTGTGAGGAAATTGCGTGTTTAGTTCATGGTCCTGCAGCCTTTTATTACAAGAAAGGCCAATGAAACTGCTGCTGCAAAAGGCTGAGGACCAACACTGTTGTGTTTATAACCTAGATTCTCGGGTGTATGGCCTCATCATATGGAATGCCAATGTGCTGCGACATAAATTACCATTATGACTCGTTGCTTGGGGAAGGTGACAATGCAGAGTTGTTGCATTTATTTTCTGCAAGCTTTGCCTATTTTATCGATCTTTTAAATGCAATGGTCCAGCTGAGGTGACCATGTCATCGCATCTGTTTGTATGCACTCTTGTTTTATTATATTTTGATTACAATGTGCAGCAGCAAAGGTGTTGCAGAATCGAAGTATGTAACTAGTGCAATATTAGATGTGGTTATCTTGGTATTCTGTTCTTAAAGAGATTTTTATATGCTTTTGGAATGTTTTAATGCTTGCTCTATGGTATATTTTTTAAAGGTATGTTGTCTTTATATTTTTTAATTTGCATTTTCCATCTTTTTTTTTTAGAAGTTTTGTCTTGCATTGGTTCAACATAAACAAGTCACAAAGCTACCCAGCCCCACCGATTTATGAAAAATTGAATGTTCCTAATAATGCTTCATCCTGTCATTTGGTAGTAACAACTATATAGTCAAGCTGTGATACTTTAATACATTCAAAGTAGGACATTGTATTAAGAGCACCTCAGCACTGACCCTGTTGAATATCGATCCTGTGCCTCTGCCAGTTTAAAGTATCTGGTTAGCTGGATAAGTCCCAGCAGGTGGTAGCTTTGGTGTTAGTGTAGTTTCTGTGCATTTTGTGGTAAAACTGATAGTGTTTGATGATGCACTGTTCTTCTGTTCCTTTCAGTGGTGGCAATGGAAACTTCATCTTATCCACCAGTTGCAATGGTTACACACCCCTCATCGGCTGTGTGGCTCCAATGTGCAAGGATGGCTATGGGGCATTCTACAGTATTGAAGAGACAAGGTCAGTTACAATACTGTTAGTTTGACTTCTGACACGCTGGCTGGATAGCTTTATATCACTGATATGCTCATCGTAATATGAGTATAGAATTCATTAATTTATTTACAATACTGCTACCCTTTCAGGAGTATTCATTTTTAAAAGGTATAAGAAAATAAACGTTGCAGCTTTCTAGGGGTGTTAATTTCGAAAAAATTAATAACAAGTGTATAGCTACCAATCATCATAAGTACAAATTATGCTATCAATGTCATTATAAAAAAACGAAATTCTTTTATGATGAATGAAATTCTTTTATGACATACTTGTGAACCAAAGTTTGGTTCACGAGTGTGTGGCTCGGTGAACTTTCCTCTGCTCGAATAAAGCTGACTGCATTTAAATTTTGCGCGTTTGCCGTCCTTTTGTTGCGAAACACTCAATAGCCCCCGCCAGACAACACCGTGCTCTGGGCATTTCTTGTGAGTCGAAACGTCCAAGTTGCACATCAAACGGTATGTGCGATCCAGCCGATTGTGCGAAACTACCAATGCACGTAAACAAAAAACTCATTGCATGAACCATGCAAAGAGGTGCGACTTATATACCAACTTTTCTAAGAAAAGTGCTCAATATACGGATGTGCGACTTATAGTCCGGAAAATACAGTACCTAAAAATATCAAGATTTAGATTGACTGATCGACTTTGATTCAAAATCGATTTAACTCATGGAAACTTCCTTCCATGTCCAGATCTGAGGAATGTTCTTATATTTAGAGATCAATGTGTGTGCTTTTCTCTGGACATTTTCAGAGTCATCATCGCCATATCTGCCTTTAGGGACAGCACAGAAACCAATGCCAGTGCCCTGTACAAGGAAATAGTGCATTCATTTACGGACATGCAGAGCATCCTGCTCGCTGCCAAGCTCTAAGTCTCAGGGGACCCATGAGAGCTGGAAAGACTAGGCCTGAGATTCTGTGATGTATATTTTTTTATGTGCGCCATTACCTATTTTTACACACTTTACTACATGCATTTTATAGGATATTTTGCATGTGTGTATGTGTGGTATGTGCATACTATGACAGGTTCCAGGTAACCGAGAATTAAGGTGCTGGGGTCCAACAATATTTGGTAAGTCACAACCCATCATGTGGGCAATGTGGTTATTAAGAAAAAAATTGTATAATTTTAAGATGGCAAGTAGGCTAGTTGGTTGTACATTCTTTAAGTAAAATGGCTAATGACAGGGACAAAAGATAGATGCTGACAGGACACGGCATTTTAGATGCCAACAGGACACGCCATGTCCTCTTAGGATCCACCTTCTGTCCCTGTCTCTAGGCATTTTACTTCACATGTATAATATTAATGACAATGTTGTGAAAAGCTTTGCATTGTTTCACTCCTCTTCTTAATCCACTTCGCCCTATGGAGCATGCTCAGGAAACTCGGTCACCTTTTTCACATAAGCAGTTCCAGGAATGAGCATTATTAAACAATTTTTTAAAAGCTTTTTTTTTTTTTTTTCCCAGTTAATTTTAATTTGTTTAAAGTGAACTCATAGAGTTCACTTTGCAGCTGAAAGTGAACTCATAGAGTTCACTTTGCAGCTGAAAGTGAACTCATAGAGTCAGTGCACTTTCCTTTTTCTTTTTAATTGCAATTTTTGTCTTGTGGTTTGAACAGTCATTGTATAGCACTTCTCTGCCTGATTATACTGTCCTCGTACCAAAATGGCAAGCTTTAAGAAACCATATTATTTTAATTTTGCTAAGTGTCACACTTGACAGGTATTCAATACCTACTTGAACACTTATGCTTGAACACTTATTCTTGAAGGCATCTGTCGTTTTAGAATAGACGAGTAATTTGTGCGCTCGACAATCCTTTTTGTTCGTTTATTGAGACGCATCGCATGAATTTGAATTGTCACAAGCACGAAATTGGTCCTTCACTGCACTTTTGTAACTGGCACTGCAGACAGGATCGAATGCTGATTGAAATTTATCACCATAACGCTATACGTTTTTCCTCCAGTCACATTCATAACTCGCAAGGTGTTTTCGTGTCTGTGTGTATGTCCTCCACCCCAGCAAAAATTGCGAGCGCGAGCCTTGCAGCCTTTACAAAACAGACCTGTGATTGGGGCATGGTCTCACGGTCCGGAATGTATTTTACATTACGAACTGTGTCATACCAGAACTCGTGTGAAGACATGTGTTGGTCTAGTATTTTAATTAAAAAATAAAATATATGACACAATGTCTTGCCTTGCATCGTTTAATTGGGTCTTGTTTGGAACACCATTGAATCCCCCGCATCTCTGAACCTGTTTGTTCTTGGAAATGGTGGGAACTGTTGGGTGAGGAGAGCGTCCTTTCCTGCTCTGGGGTCGAGAGATGACAATTCTCCCACGATCGCGCAAAGCGGCAAAGCATGACAAAAGGCTTCCAGGGTTGTTATTTTCTATTCCTTTTTTTAATGCTAAATTAGTATTTTGTACATGACTTTTAGCCTTGAAAAAAGTGAATGAAGCGTGCAAGGTCGGAGAGAGTTGGTCACCTGCCAAACGTCTGCGCCACGAGCTCTGCCAGCCACAAAACACAACTGTGAAAGAAGAAAAAAGAGACAGAATCCAAAAAGGTGGGCAAGAGGACGACAAGATGACCATTTATTTTCCAGCGCCACAACGCTACGGAAGATGCAACAAATTACTGAATTTTGACAATGGGTCGTTGGCTTTCTCGTTGCCGCCATTATTTTTTTAGGCGCGAGTCGAGCAATCAAGTTGTCGGGAGTATTTGAGCAATTCTTAATTAACTGTATTAATGGACATCTCTCCCCGAAACGTCGTGTATTAAAGCCTCTACTGCTGTTCAAACATTTTTCTACGTTTAGCAATTCTTAAGCTGGCTTACTCATTCCTGATTACACAGAATAGCCATATGGAGCAGTCCGAAGGAGAAGGTCATCATATGCGCTCTTGAAATGCTTGAAAATGTGTAGAACAACTGTGATTTGTTTTTAACAGTTTGGTCAGGAAGGATTTCGATGTCCAATCTGTTTTCTCTCCCCCCTCGGCCCCCCCCCCCCCCCCAAGAAAAAAACAAAACAGTTGTAATGATTACATTATTGTTGTAAGCTGTTAAAGGGACATTGACAGGGTATTTATGCTCGCCAAGGTTTTTTATTTGTACATGACATGTGAGAGCCCAGCTACCCAGAACACAATTTGCGACTCGAAATTCGTTTTCTTTCTGCCCCAAAAAAGCCGATCGAGAACTGGCCGGTTTGAGTCGCGCTCACTCTCTTCTTTGTGATCATGTGCCGTTTTCTATGGTTGGGACAACCACCAAATATAATCAAGTCGTGGGTCATCGAAGGCACACACTCAATATTAAAAATAGAAAAGAAATATGATACCCATTTTTTTGTGGCTTGTAAAAAGCCGCAAATATTTGGATTGCAGAAAAAAAAAAAAAAGAAAAGTCACTGCCATGTGACTTTTGCCAACTCTCGGCATCTGTACCTCCTTTCCAAAAAACACTCGACCCCAGGGGCAACAAACCGCTTTCGAGCCCAGTCACCGAGTTTGAGGCACCGGCGTCCCTCCTAACCCTAACCGAGTGGACTGTGATTTCAACAGGCGCAGCCTGCGTAGGCGCAGTTTCAAACGCTGTTGGCGGTTAAATTCTCGTATTTTCCCGCTATATTTTGTGTTTAATGGTACATGTATGTCCCCGAGGACATTGAGAAAGCATTGTGCCACATTTAAAAAAGCAAAAAAAAAAAAAGCTATTTTTGTTGGGTACGCGCGCGACAGAACGAATGCGACTAGTATGTATAGTTCTAATTATTTATAATGCAAAGGGGCAAGCGAGCTGGACAAGAATTACGAAATCAATCCCTGGAGAAGGGGGACAAAGGACAAACACAAATCTCCAAACACAGCTAGGTGACTGGTGAGCGACCGAAAAAATCCGCCTGGTCCGGGTATCGAACCCGGGACCTCTCCATTACACGTCATTTCGTCATTCTTGTCCAGCTCGCTTGCCCCTTTGCATTTAATTGCATTATAATTATAACATTAAATTGCAAGCTTCACCCTTGTTGGTGTTCGACTGGTGGCAGCTGATAAAACCCGTTTGCTCTACTGACGTCTAACCCCTGGTTAGCTCCACGTGTAATGGAGAGGTCCCGGGTTCGATACCCGGACCAGGCGGATTTTTTCGGTCGCTCACCAGTCACCTAGCTGTGTTTGGAGATTTGTGTTTGTCCCTTTGTGCCCCTTCTCCAGGGATTGATTTCGTCATGTATAGTTGTTTTTTTTTTTTTTTTTTTTTTTTTTTTTTCTTACGATAAGTTTTGACGGCGCCGCGGGATTCGCCGCTTGTGAAACGACAAAGCGCTTTGCTCAGCAAAGCGCTTTGTCGTTTTATCTTTGGGAGGGGGAGAACAATGTTCGCAAAATCGCGTCGAGGGTCGTTCGACGTCCTTCACCTCTTTCGCTTCCCGTGAATGTAATGCAGAAAAACTTGAATGGCAGGCACTTACCAGCCTTATTTCTCACAATGGAAGATAAAACAAAAAGAGTATGCAGCACGCATAAGACAAAAAAAATTAAGTGGAAACTTTCAAGAGGGGCGAGAAAACGTCAAATGCAAAACCGCAAAAACGTAGGTAGAGAACCGCACTGAGTGGGTCTTTACAGTCGTCACAGCAGTCACAGTCCCAGAGAGCGGCAGAAAATTTCTAGCTGATAGAGGGCGCGAGAGTCGCGCCAGCCGCATCAGCAACATGGCGGCGGCCTAGGAGCATTTTTTGGACATCCTCCCCAGTGCAGTTTCGGTTTCGAGCAGTTGCGTTTTTTTAACCCTCTTAAAAATATATGTGATGCTGTAGCAAAATATTGATTGGATAGTCTTGACACCTTAATAAATTGCCTGGCAAAACATAAAAAGTTTTGGGGGTGTCAGTGTCCCTTTATTGCCCAATCTTTTGTTATTCAGATTCCCCCAATGTCTTTAACGCGACTCAAATTAATTTTTAATAAAAATTCTAACTTCTTTTTTTATTATTGCCAAGGTCTTTGGTGTTCTGCAAGAAACTGCTGTTATGCATGGTACCGAATAAAACTTCAATCGACGAGTGAAAGACGATGAGCAGCGAAAATGTGATTGGTCACTCGGCGCTGAGTAATGCGATTGCTGCGCCGTTTACACCCACTGATCTCAATGACAATTGCTGGATCGCGCTTGCCGCTCCCGCAAGTGAAGCCACCGGACGCAACCCCGCTGGGATACGATTTCCCGTTTTGCAAGCTTTTTGCTGCGGTTTTCCAGCGTGCTGTAGACACGTTTTCTACTCGTTCGTCGTCATTCGCCGAGGAATTTTTTTGAGACTCTGTGTATTGTTGAGACTTGCCGTTGTGAAAACGTGGAAAATTTTACGAAAGTGCAGTGTCTCAGGAAAAAGGCACAACGTGTCGAAAGGAAGGGCTGGCGGCGTGTTCAAAGCTTCCTTGGCACGCCGAAGTGCCGTGTCTCTGTGCCTTCGCGCGCTTGGATACCGACCAAGAACCGACGCCGTGTGAATGTGTTTAGCGAGTGCAATGTGCGTGAAGCCGTATCAAAAGGTACAACTCGTCGAAAACGTGTCGCCGGTGTCGCGGCGTGATCAAAGCTTCCTTGGCACGCCGAGTGATGCATCTTTGTGCCTTCGCACGCTTGGATATACCGGTCAAGAATTGACGCCGCGCCAAAGTTCTGAACGCGTGTCGCGCGTAGATGCCTTTAGATCATTTATATATATCGGCCACGGAGTTATGGATCGTCCAGCTGTTCCGGTGAGTTGCTATCAATAAAAGGTGGAGATCTGTACGTGTTCTTATGTACTATATTAACCATGGCTATGTCCCAAATTTACTCTAATAGATTCCCTGGGAGCACAAATAGGGCAACGTTGTGGAGCCAGGGGGGTTTTCGAAAGCAAAAGTACAAGACGGCGAGAAGGAAAATCTTTGAAGCGCGGCCGATATGGTCGTGTGCTATCTGTTGACCAATTACAATTAAGCGAGCCACGCTCAAACGTCAAGTGCAATTAAGTAGGTTGATAATAAGCCAGCACTGATCAGTGATGAGGAGCTGTTGTGCACGGTATTGTGTAAATCGTCTAAGGACGAAAAAAAGACGTACCTTCCCCCCATCTTCCGTCGCTAGTGGACGCTGGATTAAGCTCGTTCCTAAACCGCGAGGGGAAAAGACGCTGATCCAGAAGCACGAACAGCTTCACGCACATTGCACTCGCTAAACATACACACGGCGTCGGTTTTTGGTCGGATCCAAGCGTGCGAAGGCATAGAGACACGGCACTTCGGCGTGCCAAGGAAGCTTTGAACACGCCGCCAGCCCTTCTTTTCGACGCGTTGTGCCTTTTTCCTGCGACACTGCACTTTCGTGAAATTTTCCAAGTGTTCACAACGGCAAGTCTCAACAATACACAGAGTCTTCAAAACACTTCTTCGGCGAATGACGACGGACGAGTAGAAAACGTGTCTACAGCACGCTGGAAAACCGCAGCAAATGCTAGCAAAAACGGCAAATCGTATCCCAAGCGAGTGAAGTCCGGTGGCTTCACTTGCGCTGCAGCGAACAAGCGGGGAAGCGCGATCCAGCAATTGTCATAGAGATCAGTGTTTACACCTAACTGCGCCAAAGTCAACTCATGTTTACAAACAAACCGGAGCGCCCGGAGCGCCCCTAGCGGACGCCAACGGCGCCGCGCATGCGCGATGGGGGTGTTGGCAAGAAGCTCGCCGTCGCCCATAAACAAACCATTGAAATGCGATGTTGTCGGCGTCGGTGTGAGTCCCCGCGCTCTTTTTTTGCATTGGAATTGTTGATTCTACATCCTCCTAACGATGTCTGACTACTTGAGCGGCGTCAGCGAAATAAACGAGGCTCGTTACACCGCAAAACTTCGCGTGAACAATCTGAAATGCGGCGATTCATTCCGCGTGGACGCAGCAGAATGTACGCTAAAGCCTGATTCACATGATGAGATTTCGCTCACAATTTTCAGTAGCGACGTCGCTTGGACTGCAAAAGTAGCGAACCGTAGCTGAGATGGTCGACGTCGACACTGAAAATCGCAAGCAGAATCTAACCAAGTGAATCAGGCATAACAAGTCGGTGATGGCCTTGTACCTACTGTTTACGTCGAGCCTGGTTACCAACCTTCAAACTTAAGTCTTTTGAGGCCTA